GCGGCTCGCCCTCGCTTCGCATGACAGATAAAAACAAATCTATCCCACGGGAACCGTACATTTTCGCTGGATAAAAAGTAGCCTATTTGTTATTCTGATGTATGAACTATATTATTGTGAAGTTTCATCAAAATCCAATCATTATTTTTGTGTACCTACTAAGCTTTATAAGTTACTATAATTTATTAATTACCCCACGGGAACTCTTTAATTTTCCGGGGAATGTTGATCGGGGATATTGGGTACTACCATGCAAAATTTCATTCAAATCAGTCCAACAGTTTCGGAAATTAGCCCATACAAACAGACAAACAGACAGAGAAACAAAAATTTTAACAAATCTGGATTTGTTCTATTTCTCTTACACCCACCCCCGTGACTCGGTTTTTCGCATTTTTCCCTATGTACAGACATTCGCCCTCTACAGTTTTGTTAAATGTATTTTCTTTACATAGTAACCTTTTTAATGAAGATTACATATCGGCAGGTACTTAAATGTTGCGAATATTATACCTAAAAAGATTTATATTCGTTCTAACTCTATTACACAACGTATATATGAAATAAATCAATTGTTGTTATTAATGTAAAATATTATATATATTTTTTAAATTAAAAGAAATGTTAAGTAATTAATATACATACAAATGACGCAATCTTTAGGAATTTATTATTATGATTTATGATCTTTTCAATTCTTGTTCCATATAAAGATTAGATAATAGTCTAAGATCCCGTTCTCTGTGGTAGACTCCTCACTCTTTTTCCATGCAAAATATATTTTTTAAACCATATAACATATTAACAAACACGACCCGCTGAGATTGTCACCGAAAATTTTCTACACGCTATTTTTAATTAAGAAACCTCTAATCAGGAGATGTTTTAGTATAACAACCCCTTATCTTTAATTTTGTAATAAAAGCAATTAACCACTTCAATTTGGATGATAGGTAATGTGGATTCGAAAAAGGTCGCCAACCGTATGATGGCATTTTCTACAAGTCTTTTCTTTTACTTTTAAAAAAAAATGTATAATTTTCTTATTAAAAATAGCCTAGAGCAAATTTTTGATAACAACCACCCTGGGTCTTGTTTCTTTATATGTTTTATGGTTTAAAAAACAAATTTCGCCTGGGAAAAGAGTAAAGGGGTCCACCACACAGATCGGAATCTCCTACTATAACGCTCATAACAAAATCATTGTCATTATTAATTTGACCTTCATAGACCCTTTAAATGACTTGTCTCTTCTAGAAACAAACACAAAGTATGCACGTAGAGCAATGTAGTTACATTTCTTAGTTCTTGTAGATATGATCGCATTCTCTACCTTGTTAGTAATTTAAATATTTTCTATTTATTAAAAAGTGAAGTATCAAGTGGAGTTTCCTCATTTACTTAAATTAACTAAAATGGTGTCCTTATTTTAAAAGAGGCTTAAAAAATAAGAAGCCTGAAAAGTCCTTTTTAGTACATAGGCGACCTATTCGCTTTTAAAGTAATAAACAGTTTAGATAAACGTATATTCTAAATTTAGGTGTTATTAATAATTATCCACGTGATTTTATAATTTCTATTTGATATTAACAAGCAATAAACATACCATCCAAAGAAACAATATTTTTAATATTCGTCTATTTTAAATACAAAGGTCAAAATTAACATCAGGTCATAATAAAGTCCCTTCTTCTATAGAAAGATCTTCTTCTTCTTTTTAATGTAAAAGAATTGTTTATCAACCAAAAGCTACTAAATTCTACTTTTATAATATTACTAGCGGCTCAGCCTGGATTCGCTCGGGTTCACCTCTAGGAAAACCAAAATCAAACCTATCCCACAGGAATCGTACATTTTTCAGGGATAAAAAGTAGCCTATGTGTTATTCCGGACTATAATCTATCTCTGTGCTAAATTTCATCCAGATCCGCTTAGCCCATCTGGCGTGAAAGAGTAACATACATCCATACATACTCACAAACTTTCACATTTAGAATATTACAAAATACGTATTAAATTCGTATGTTAAACAAGTATTTATAATTTTTAGAAACGTGTCATGTTATGCCATTCTAAAAAATCTATTTGTCTTTATGTTATAATATTTACAATGCCATTTAAAATTATTGTCCTGTAAACAATCAACTGTTTCAAAATTAGGTATATAAATAATAATAAAAATAATAGTCAAAAATCCTTAATTTGATAATTCTTTAGTCTCATACTTTATAGCATGAGTAAGGGGGAAATACTAACGAAACATTGCGTGTCCTATGGTAATCCTGGCTTCGTAATAGCCTCGTGCAGTCGATTGCTAAGGATCAGTCAATCGCCTATAAAAACGAAACACTGTATAGTGTATAAATCATCATGTTTAGTAGGTTATCTAAATAAATAATTAAACTAAGTATATAAATAAAGCCCTTAAATACATTATATATATATATATATATATATATATATATATATATATATATAATATGTACATAATAGGGAACTGTATATAATTTTAATATAAATTAAAATACTATAATAAATAACTAAAAAATGTACAGCACTTCTGTTTCAGACGAAAGAAAAGCTATTATCTCATTTACTTTAATTATAACTTTACAGACGCTTTTAAGTTAATTATTAATCTTAGAAGTAGTAAATAATATAAAAGGAATGTTATGTGATATCGTAAAAATTAAAATGGAACATATTAATCTCATGATTCTATTGTTTGTGACTGACATAAGTCTAACTATATACTTGTTATTAGATATTAACAAAAAGTTCATTATAATAGCTCATTGTTCTGTCATTTTTATGCTTGATGCTTGCTATATCAGACAAAATCTAACATTTCTCATTCAATTATTTGCACATTAACTAAATCCCTGCTTGATTTTCCTTGAAAGACAGCCATATAAAATCATATTAGGGTCGCGAATCTCTTTTAATGTATAGATAATTTAATTAAGAGTTAAGCAGTGTGTTCTATTTATATTTGTATCTACTATAAATTGAATACACTTAGATACTTCATCTTATAAATAGGAAAATGAGCTTTTCAAAAAGAAATACGATAGCAAATGCCATGTATAAGCACTTCAAGTATCATTAAGGAAGACAAAGTATTTTCTATTTTTGTGGGCTCTTGACTACTAAGTTAGCAAGCAAATCAATTAATGGTATACTTTAAGTGTTGCCATATGGATTTTATCATCTTAGGACATACAAAAAGATAATTCACATTTGCCATTGTTAGTATAGTAACCATCTATCATTGTCTAAAACGTTACAGCTGCAATAGATTATAATCAATATTTGTTTTAATGTATTGTCTAGATTAACATACACTTACATTATTTTAATTTAAACAAAGCAAGCTACTAAATTACTAATTATAACTTTCTTAGATTTACGCGAATATGTGATATTTTAATTGAAACTATCTTTTCGGATTTTGTCGTGGTTTTATTTTATATACAACAAACATGGTAACGAGAGACTAACGTCTTCTCAATAGTTATTATATAGTTGATACAGACATTATCTATCAATAAAATACGTATTCAATTTTTAAAATTACTGAAATGGTTATTTCATTATTAAGTAATTCCGTCTTTCTTATAATAACACTATAACTCTACCAGCGTTCAATTTAAACTCCCATTTCACACGCTCTTACTAACAATGGCTTTAATTTCAAAGTTGGATTAAATATTTTTTATCAACTATCTCAAATATTATCTGTTTGTCCATTTTTAAGATTGATCAGAAATTAATTATTACTAATAATTTTAAACAAAACTATCTTTTCGGATTTTGTCACGTTTCAGTCTCTCCCGTGACCATGATTGCTGTAAAGCATTCGAAACGTCGGGAAACAAAAATGCAAATAAATCCGCGACAAAATCCGAAAAGATAGTTTTATTTAAAATGTCAAATATTCGCGTAAATCTAAGAAAGTATTATATTACTAATAATGCTATTTTACTTTTGCGTACTCTATTTCTTTAAAATCTAATCTCAAATATAATTAACGTAAAAATATACCACGATTAAAACTTATTTTACTACTATTGAAAGGTATTTGACTATTATATATTAATCAATATAGCTGGATTTTTTAAGAATTCACTTCTGAAATGGGACATTACTGCATTTACGCATTATGTAGAGTCACTTCTCTAAATGACCAAGCAATCAAGGTGGCCCCTCGCCCATAAAATTACGAGATGCAACCAGACTAGGGGAGCGAATCCAAGGGGTTATTGCCTTGCAACTATCCATCAGATCATGCATATGTGTAGACTGTAGGGAGCGAATAAAGTTTATTTGTATGGTTCTGCGGCGTTGGCAGGCTGATAATCACGTCGTGCCGATGGGTGGGGCGGCCGGGGCCGGTCGCGCCGTCAGTGCCGGCCGCGACGCTAACTAAACGCAACGTATCCGTTCATCACAAAACCTTGTTTTCCATCCAAACATTGTATTACAGCCCTATTTAAATTAAACCTCAATGGATATATGAATCGAGTGCAGTGAATGAACGCGACGTGTGGTGTCTCTCAAAACGATGTTAGAGCAACCGTTAAAAGTTTTAAACCAACTTCGACAAAGTCTCTTTTTGCCGGATATTTTGATCCTATTATACGACAATAATTAGTTTTCAATTACTTGCCGTCATACTGTTTTAGTGCGAACAAAGTGTGAAATTCTGTTTAATAAAGACTGTGGGACAGTGCTAAAGTAACAGAAATTACAAGTGTTATGCTAAGCAGAAGTCGATTACATAGTCCTGTGTAACGAACTACAACGACTTTGTATAATTTTGTGTGCCATTCAAATATTTATCTTTACAAATCTAATCCGTTTTGAAAGTCAAATTAGATGGTGATTAGGGCTTATGTATTTTGTGCAATATTTAGACTAAATTCCAAAGACTAATAGTTATTTTATGAACCGTTCTTTAAATGTTTAAATCTGTAGTTTTTAACCGCTCAAGGGGCGACATGGGTGAATCAATTGAAGTTGAGGATAGCTTAGAATTGGAGTACGACATGTGGGATGGCCAATTTGATTTCGTTGGCCCGCAGGACCCACCCGTTAGAGGAAGGATCACGTCGGACAATAGTGTTACAGAAGATTTGTTTACTGGAGGCCCCTTAACACCTCATTTGACTAATGGCTTAAATGGTGGAAAGAAAACTGCCGCACATCAGTGGTGCGATAATTTATCTGACCAAGTAAGTCAATGTGAAGAGCTATTAACGTTATTGACGTTTATAAAATACTAGCATTGCTCGCGGCTCCGCCCGCGTTCAGATGACCATAAAACCAAATTCTTAGATTTTACATGTTAGTATACTCTTACATTGCAGTTTTTGTATTTTTTCTCAGAAATGAGATATTTTTCCGCGGTAAGAAGTATCCTATATGTTGACCCGGATAACCAGCTATCATCATACCAAATTTCATCAAAATCTATCCTGTAGTTTTCTCATGTTGCGGTAATAGACAGACAGACAGACAAAAATTCTAAAAACTATAGATTCGGACTCTGTATCGATAATAATGTCTATTTCAATAAGATTTTCCAAAAAATATTTAATATACAGATTCGACTTAGTTACAATTTTATTATATGTATAGATTATGACCAACTAATGTTAGTCCATATTTGACTCATAAGTGATTTCCCGTACGCGTACGTTACGTTACTATCGTTTTACTAATATACATAGTTAATTGCATATTTCTGATGTTCTGTTTATATTCAAATCGATAATCTAATTAACATGTTTAATAATATATAATATTATAATTAACACTTTACAATGTAATGTGATTATAAAATAACAATACCTTCTTAGCTTTGTTAAAATGAATCATAACGGTTAACCGAACTCTATCGAAAATAAAAGTGCGTTTTTTTCGGGTGATTGAAGCGCGACGTCTCCTCAACCTGCTGGTACCATCGCGGCGGCTTACGGATGACATGCAACCTTCGTATGAGCGCCATAAAAAAATTCGACAAATCATAGAAGTATACACCATAACTATACATAACTCTACAACATAAGATTCACTATCGCATAACATGGTATTGACGCATTTACAAATCCGCAGTTTCATCGCACGCGATCTGAAACATTGTTGAAAACTTAAATTAAAATTTACATCAATTCGTTGGTATTTTCAACAAGACTTTTCGAATAAACTTACAAGATACTCTATATATATTCACTGTATTTACTTTTAAAAAGGTAATAGATAATCCATGAGTGCTTAACATATTGAATAAACAGATTTATCTTTTCAGTTACCAGAAATCACTCAATATCAGGCACTATCTTATTTAGATAATCTGATATACTTTTTACCAAGTTATGTACCTACTTCTTAAAAAAATATAAAATTACTAACAAAATCTTCTCACACTAAAAGATGAGACAAGATTAACTAAAATAATTAAAACAACTATTAAGTTTATGATTCAATTTGTATAACAGCGTTCTTACACATGTTTCCAGGCAATTTACGCGTACATTCAACTTGTCAAATATAACAATTGCCTATAAGAGGAAACATCTCGGCTTGCTTCACATAACTAACGACACACTGACAAGACGTGTTACGTATTAAATATCAAGATAATAGAAAGTTAAGAATTGCTAATTATAAACGGTAAACCTGTTTTCATTCTCTTTCACCGATATATTTTGCATAACTGATAAAGACCCATTTCACTTGCTCTATCGACTGAAATACTCGTAAATTTTTAAATTAAGGAACTGCAATGCATATTATTATTATAGATATTTTGTAAGTATCTTTGATGATTGATATAGATATTTTATATTATTTTACACTTTTCACCTTCTTTTTACCTCTATTAAAATAAAATATTATGTAAATATAACAAAACTAATTACGTGTGTAAAATTTAATTGATTAAAAAAACTATGCCGTGGCCTTTACAATCGTCGTACTACTGGTAGTGTTATATTGGTCAATAAAATCAGGCCAAGAAGATTGCCTTCCGGTAATCATATTTCTTTTGTGTGTAATTTTTGTTTATTTTTTTATTATAATCAAGAATATATGTTATTAAAACATCTTGACTCTACATTTTGGATAAATATAAAAAATAAAATTAACGTTGACAAGAGTCAAGAAGTATAAAAAAAGTGAAAACTCTGTTTTCTATTTTTAACATAAAACATAGATTTTCATTTTAACAAACAAAGAATAAATAATCAGGAAACCGGAAGATCAATAGAACATTTAGCTACTTGTTTACCGTGATTATAGCAATGAGGGTACTCTAAGTATATATATACTAGTAATAATACGATGTACTTAATTATTCTTATTATGAAACATATTTATGTTAAAATTAGGAATTAATTTAATAATAAATTTTCAGACGTCACAATTATCATTCACAATAGAATAATAATTTAATAGCAAAATGGTATGTTGTTTGCCAGAAACCGTAAAGCCATCAATATTATATAATACCCAATATAAACTTAATTAACAAAAACTATTTTAGTTTATTGTACCCGGACCTAGCCTTACAGCGCCCTGAGGTAACATGAAATTGAAGATACTGACATATTTCTAAAACTAGACAAAAACCATTTTTTAATGAATTTATTCATTAATAATATTTATTCACGATCATATGAAAGGATAATCTAATACGAAAAAGATGTATTTTTCCACATATCGTTCACATTCATGTCAATCTATACTAATATTATAAAGAAGGTAAAGCTTGTGAGGTTGTAGGGGGTAAGCTCTGTATCTACTGAACTGATTTAGATGAAATTTGGTAAGAAGATAGTTTGAGACTTTTTATACCGGAAATCATCCCCTAAGAGGGTGAAAATGGGGATGAAAGTTTGTATGGGGAATCAACCTAGGGACGAACCCGAGCGAGGTGAGGATTAGTCGCTAGTATTTAATAAATGGGGTGCTATTTCGATGTTAAAAAAATAAAAAAAATCGTATTGTGGAAGATACTATCTTGTGAGCAATCGAGCTTGTGTTGCCAACTCTGTGTCACCCAAGTCTGAGTCGATCCTATTAAAAGTTGATTTTCAAATAACCCTTTCACAATGAATCGCTTAACAAAAATAACTTCCATGTTCCTACAGTCCTACATTCAGTGGATTATGTTGTTAATAATTGTATTTGGATGAGACATAATCTCATTTGATGTACATTAGTTACTATATAGAGACTGAGTATATTATAAAAATGCGGAAATTTAAAGCGTTTTACTTCTTACGTATTATTGAATTATAAATGATATAAAGAAAAAAATATATAAAAAACACCTATTAAGTTTCTTGCTAACTCTTTTCAGCAGATTCCGTATTTTGGGTTTTTAGAAGCATCCGCCCGGACTGGGAATATTTCTTTTGTTAAATTGAGCAATCAAAAGTGTTTGTTAAAATCTATTTGGAATTATATTTGTATATAAAATTAAGTTTAAATTCCATTGAATTGCATGTTATACATTTTATTTAGAATCACCACAGCTTCAACAGAGAAGTTAACAAATAAACCTCGTTATTGAAGTAATCATTTTAAATAAAACTATCTTTTCGGATTATTTCGCGGATTTATTTTGATTTTTGGTTCCCGACGTTTGGAATGCTTTACAGCATCCATGGTCACGGGAGAGACTGAGTTGTTACATGTCTCGAAGGTATAGTTGTTACAGACAGCCTACCCACAATTAACAAAATGAAAATTGCACCAATTATCATACAATATTTTTTGAACCAAAAATCAAAATAAATCCGAAAAGATAGTTTTATTTTAAATGTCAAATATTCTCGTAAGTCTAAGAAAGTATTATGTGAAGTAATTATGTTTATTTAGTCGTAATCTAAGTTATCGGTATTGTCAGCGTCACAGAACTACGGAGTACACGTTGAATGGTAAACTTGTCGGTATTCTCATCCTATTACACTTTACGCAATATTACCCTTATGATCTATATTACATTACTAATTAGGCAGAACAACAATCTTCTGTTATATATGAGAAGATAATTTTTTTTTACCCTTTTTAAGCATATTGCGCATTCGGGGGAGTATAAGCTTTGGCTTAATTAAAATTTATATGGAGGAATACAGAAAGGTACATTTTTCTTGCTTTTGGCCACAGTTCCGCTCACGATTTTTATTTATGTACGTCTAATCTACCCTCGTCATTTTATACTAATAGGTAAAGCCAAATAGTTCGTTTGCTTAAATATAGTAAACTTTGGAAATATGGTCTGATTTTGATCTTGAAATGATCTTTTAACATTTTTTTTGTCTATTTTTTTAGTCTATTTATTGAGAAATATTTATGGGCTATCTGGGCAACTTTGACAAAAGAACCTCACTAACTTTCAAACTTAATTTTTTTGTCGATTTTCAACCATAGGACGATCACCAGTTGTAATATAAAAAAATGTTTTAAAGTTATTAAACTCCAATCACTAAATGATTGTTATTTTTTATAGGTATAGGTATGTCAGTTTTTCGTAATGATTACTCAAATAGTGCTTGTATTTATTTTTGACGATCTTTCATATCTATATCTATTACATATAATAAAATAGTAACTAAGCTGAATCTGTACATTAAATTTTTTTTTGGAAAATCTTATTGAAATAAACATTATTATCGATACAAACACCGAATCTATAGTTTTTAGAATTTTTGTCTGTCTGTCTATCTGTTACCGCATCACAGAATAACCACTGGAGGGATTTTATTGAAATTTGGTATGGTGATAGCTTTTTACCGCGGGAAAATATCTCATTTTTGAGAAAAAAAAACAAAAACTGCAATGTAAGAGTATACTAACGAGAACGCGGGCGGAGCCGCGAGCAATCCTAGTCAGACATAAATATGTATATTGAATAAGTATATCACTAAAAACTCAAACGAAAAAGCAACGGTGGAAAATACTATCAATAGTAGCTAGAGTTACACGGTAGCGCTAAGAAAGTTTACTCAAGACATGCCGGGTACAGCGTAATTTTATGCTAATGTGTGACAGTAAAAGTGTACAATTAATTATTTTGCTCAGTAATTCGACACAGACAACGGTCGCAACACCGTTAGCATCGCGATGGCATATCGATTCGTTGCTCCGGTCATTGGGTTCGCTCGACGTATGTATTGCATTGCTAGGTCAGAATGCCGATGGTCCATAGATCTATATAAAAATGTTAATGATGCTATAAAACATGAGCATTCACAAACTAATATTATCTCTGTTACAATCTCTCCCATTAACTTAATTCTAATTATTTTTTACTAACTTAATGTACCTGTTACAAGAATAGAATGTTGATACTTCAGTATTACAAGAATGTGTTACTTAACTGAGCATTTATGACTTAACTATTTAATATTTACTGCATTTCAAAAATAATGACGAAATTATAGTCTCACTTCATAATGTAACACCTTTCCTATGAATTTGATACGTCAACAGATAGAATATTAAGAGATAAACGAAATTGGTTTCAATCATACAAAAAAAAGCTTACAATTGATTTCAAAGTCATTTAGTTATAAGTACGTTGGCAACACTTTCTTTTTCATCACAACTAAAAACGTTCTCTAGAGACAGTAATTGACCGAGGAGTAATAAATATCCGTATATGTAAACCTGGCAACACTGGAAAGTTGCAAGACGACTTTAGGAAAATGCCCGCGGTGGGAAGTCACGAGCGACTTTACAGTCCAAGCGCATATTGGTAAACAGATAACAATCATAATTCAAAGTTTTCTGTCCATAACACACATGAAATGTATCTCTTTACTCTTACATACTTATTGAAAATAAGCTAATAAACTTTTGATTACAAAAAATGGTTATATATAACATGGAAAAATAAGACCATTCACTTACCTATATATCTTTTTTTTGTCGTATAATATATATCTTTATTTTGCATATATTGATCTTGATATATTGATGACTAGATGAGGAAAACAAAAACAAACCTACCGAGAAAAGTACATTTTTTCGGGATAAAAAGTAGCCATGTGTTATTCCAGACTATAATCTATCTCTGTGCCAAATTTTATCCAGATCCGTTCAGCCGTTCTGGCGTGAAAGAACAAACATCAATACATCCATATTCACAAACTTTTACGTTTATAATATTAGTATAGATTATCTATACAGCATCCATACTAATATTATAAATGTGAAAGTGTGTTTGTTTGTTTGTCCTTATCCTTCTTTCACGTCAAAACGGAGAGACGGATTGAAGTGATTTTTTTGTGTGGAGATAGTTGGAGGGTTGGAGAGTGACATAGGCTACTTTTTCCCGCGGGAGTTTATCTCATTCCCACGGGAAAACACGTTATAATACAATCCAAAAAAATATTTTTGATTAGAATTACTTGAATCTTGGCATTAATGCTCTTCAATAAAATTAAATAGTGTTTTAGCATTTTTCGAAATTGATTCTATAAGGGGGTAAAATAGGAGATGAAAGTTTGTATGAAACTATCTTTTTAGATAGTTTTAGCGAGGGCGAAGCCGCGGGTTCTCCTAGTATATTATAAAGACATAATAGATATATGTAATAAGTTTCAAGTTTGGTTGTAAGAGTTAAACTCCGTGACAGCTGAAGTAATTCTGAAAATCTTTTATGGAAAGAAAACTGCAAAGCCCCTGAATAGAATTGGCTAACTTTTGATCACATTAGGCGAGTGTGATTTCATATATAAAACTTCATTTTTTTATTTAAATACTATGTTTAATTTACATATATCATGGTCAATCCCAACGAGTCAATAATCACCATAATTATGAAATATTAGAATATTTAACTTTCAAATATGATTAAGTCATCGAGCAAAACTCCGTTGTTTGTATATAATCATAAATTCCTCACACATGTACTCGTACAAGAAGTGATCTCAGTCATTAAGCGTAGAGATAATTCTGTTCACATCACTTCTGCTGGCCAATTAACAAAGGTTATCGCTTATTTTTCTACACTATTCACCTTTTACACTATTCTTTCTCATATTTAACAATATTATGATGAAATAATGGCTCACAGAATACCTACATTCAAAATTTTAATACAAGAACAACCTATAAAATCGGTGGTAGAGTTTCTCTAACAACAATTTTCGTAAAGTAATTATACGCATATTTCTTATTATTTTTATTTAATTCTAGTTCACTTCTCATCTCTTTTACAGAATTGATTCTAAATCAATTTCACTTTCTCTTCTTTTATGCTATAGCGACTTCATTTTCTAACGATAAGCCTTATAAATCTCGTAATGAATATACTAATCAGTAATAGGCGAATTTCAATATCAACTTTCAATATTATTTAAGAACTAGCATTGCCCGCGGCTCCGCCCTCGTTCCTATATGTTGACCCGGATAACCAGCTATCACCATACCAAATGTCATCAAAATCCCTCCAGTGGTTTTTCTGTGATGCGGTAACAGACAGACAGACAGAGAGATAAAAATTCTAAAAACTATAGACTCGGCCTCTGTATCGATAATAATGTTTATTTCAATAAGATTTTTCAAAAAATATTTAATGTACAAATTCGGCTTAGTTACAATTTTATTATAATATGTATCTGATACTATCTACATTCAAATTAAACATTTTTATTATAATTTAAAAATAATATAATTGATGTTAACCAGTATTTAGATTTCGAGAAGTATCTGTATGTTCGAGAGTTCGTTGCTGAGTATAAAGGAATCATGCACTCCGCATACACTTCAGTTATTTCTGAATTGAATGTACATATATGATTCAAACATTAAAAGTGATCTGTCTGTGTGTGTCTCATCTGTGATTCATTAATATATTATTATACTTATTTACCTTTTTAAAAAATCTTATAATTTTATTTATTCTGCATTAGTCTTCATAACGAATAGAATAGCTCAAGAACCTGAAAAAGTATGCTCTGTATCGAATCGTTGAATTCGATAACAATATTATAATGAGATGCGCTTGCGACGCTCGTCGCTGAGATCGGTTCAATGCTTATCTAGTTGCGAGCCGAGCACGCAATTTTGTTGCATTATTGTATTCTTATAAGTGTAATTGGTTCACTCAACCCATTTCCATAATAATTTGGATTATAAACAAGAAATACTAGATTCGGAATGCCCATAGTAACGATACTGAATTGTCAATTTTTGTTTATTGAATGAGCAATGAAATATTTTCTTCTTCTTAATGCAGCCACGATAATACAAGGAAATAAGTGAAACTATAAGCTAGATTTCAGTTAGATAGCAATGAGGCTAAAACGAAAAAGTATACAAGTTCCTTACGGAAAATTTATTAATATTAGGTTACGCACTATATTATTGTTACACTTTTCTTAGAAAATGATTCACGATTTGGCGTGCTACCAATTTTCTTACATTTTACAGCTGTATGACGCTTTAATCATTTCAGTACCATGAGATTCTTGAAAATGAACTACTTATTAAATCTTTAAAACTTCTCAGTTATATTATTATAGGCAATATTATATATATATATATATATATATATATATATATATATATATATATATATATATATATATATATATATATATATTACCTTAAACTACGTATAATTCGTATAATTATTCACGTAGAGTTAGTAATTTTATCCTGTAGAGTACTTAGTCACGAAATGAAACTATACACAATTTGCTTCAATTTAAACGATTTAATTGCATTTAATCTTGTTTTCTTGCCATACATGATCTCATTCATAGGGCACAAACAGTTGTCTCATTCATTTCACAGTGAATAGAACATTGCTCTCTAGCCTAAACGATCCTTCCTGTTTGTCACTGCAAGTACTAACCTCCTTTGACGTCACCATTAGTCACGCTCGCATTATTTGTTATACTGGAGTTGTACCACAATGTATGACGTATACCAATAAATCCTACCAAATATGGATTTATTACAAAATATGATTGATGTCACAGATTGGGGATTCCGCATAAAATAATTATTGTCATGTAAAATGTCGCACCTTTGTAAATATTATAATTATGATCCTGTTGAACTTTTTTACTTTTTAGTTTTTACCTAGTAATATAAAAGAAATGAAATCAATTCTAAACTATTAGTATATAGTAAATAATAAAACTAATAATTTTATGCTTTCATAATATATTTTTTACTATAATAATTATAATCTTCTATTAAATAATTACCTAATAATAAAAATATCTCCTCACGTAAGATTAAAACCGAACAGAGCCTAAGAAAATCTTCTTCTAAGTTTAACAATATCAAAGTGAATTCGAAGTGAATAGCGGTAAATAAAATTCAAAGATCAATTATTCATAGATTCACGTAATTTCACACGGAAATTCAAGGATATGATAGAGTCAGATAAATAAAATAAATTGTATAATCACTGTGTCAATTATAAAATTCAGTTTTCGTTTAAAGTAAAATATAAAACCAATAAGCACTAGAGGAACTCTAAAGTCAATCTAAAAATCTTGGCCTGTCCTGTGTCAAAAGCTCTCATCTTTAATATGTCAACAAGCTCTCTAATAAGCTTTTATTACAAGAAGTAGGTACTTGAGATACCACGATGAAAAGTGACATATGATACTTGTATCAAAGAATTTTCAAGATCGACCACAAATTTCCGACCTTCTGCATCTAAATTTAGTTTACCTCATAAATATACATAAAACATATGTACATAATATGTACAATGTAGATAAATGAAAACGTAATCAATTTACTTATTGCTAGTGGCTTATCTTCGCTTCTCTCGGGTGCGCTCCTAGAAAAAACTAGAACAGATTCTTCCGACCTAACTCACCAATATCATCACACCAGTAAATTAGTTTTACAAAATATTTATACATATAACTCGTAACCTTCCTAGATAATTCCTCATTTTACTGATGAAAACCGCATGAAAATTTGTACAGTAATTTCTTAGATTAGCCCGTACAAAGAGAAACTCGACCTTGATTTATAATATGTAGTGATTAACATTATATATTGTTTTGCAGGTCCAACTCCTACAGCAGCAAGTAACATCTCTCGCTGACACACAAAGTACGGCGGACGAAAGATACGCGCGGGCGAAAGCTGACAACGCGGTGCTTCAAGCGCGCGTACACATGCTCGACGAGCAGCTACGAGAGGTAAAAACGCATAAAAATATATTATTTTTTATTATATTTATAACAGTTCATTCAGCATTAAAATTACCGTACGATATGCAGGTACCGTATACACTTAGACTATTTGAATAAATAATATTATTTGCAGTAAAATAATAACACATAAACACACACATTAATTACTATATACATTAGAATAATAAATTACTTGATGAAAATTAATTTTGTTTTAACATGCGTAAATTATTAATCTCGTATGTTAGTGGATGTTTAACGGTTTTTTAGGTAGGTAGATCATTTAATAATTATGTTTTTGAAGTGAAACTTCTTTAGAATCGTTGTGATTTGAAACTCGATGCAACGGAAATGCGACAGTAAAAAGAGACAAACATATAAGTATATAGGATTAAGCCGGCGATAGAATGAGATAGAATACATTGCGATGATGCCATGGTAACCGTTGTCACGGTAACCGTTGTTATTTGATAGAATACATTACAAAGGAAGTGAAAAATAATAAAATTCATTACTGATTATTATGTAATGTTTATATTTATGTCAAATAAAATGTAAAATAACTTTTAAACTTGGTAAAAATAATATAAAAAAATCCTTATGATTATCCTACTCCTGATACTCTATATTCATATCATTTTCTGAAGTTTCACTTCTACGATGTGTGAATTGCACATTTTTTTTAAATAATATAATGTATAAAACGAACTATAATCTAAATACTAATTTCTATATGTCTGCTTTGAAAATCTTATCAGTCACATACAAAAAACATTTCTAAATAAATAATCTTTTTAAAATATGAAAAACGTAATTCTTAAACATGAGCGAAATTAATAACACTTAAGATATAATTTGTTCGGTATACGAGTATATCATAATCTTTATTTAAAATCTTATGATATGAGCTAGAATATGATCGATACATTATAATATTATATCTATAATTTACTACATAATACCTACGTACATATTTACGTTTATACTAAATTTCCGTATTGACTTTTAATAAACTTAGAATATTAAGACGATATAAAGATGATTGATGAACTTATAAAACTTAATTTTAGAAAATAATCAATTTAAAATTATTATACTTAAAGATGTTGCTTGCTGTTTATTTTCTTTAAACAATCAATCACCTAAGTACTATTTCAATATGCTGATACAAACATTTACCAAGAACAATGAAATATATTGCTTTATTATAAATTCCGATATGTTTTAGGTACATCAATAGGTCTCTTATATAATTACGTCTACGTTTTGAATTTATAGATGTCAAATTATAAAAAAGAAATCGTTAAACGTTATATTTTACGAATGAAATAAATACATACAGACGATTTTAACTGCATGTTAAGTTTGATTTGTATACTATATGTAGATTTTCTAACGTTTTCACTAATTAGATTACATTAATATCATTTATTAAAAATATAATAAATCTATTGTAAACTTTATAAATTTATGTTCATAATAATATTACGCTTCGCTTGCGTCCCTAATTGCCTAATAGCCTATCTGTTACTCCAGGTCGTAGTTTATCTGTATACTAAATTACATTCAAATCCGCCCAATAGTTTCAGTATAAAAGAAGAACAAACATACACACAGATACACATACAAACTTTTGCATTTATAATATTATCAGGAAAATCATACATGGTTTTTGCTTTGATTAGTGTGTAAACAAGTCATGTAAATTTAAATAAATAAATAATCCAAATTAAAAAATAACCTATAAATCAACAGATCGAGTGTAGATGCGAAGAGCGCATCGCAGAGGAACAGAGACGATGTAGAGAAGCGATAGCGCGAGTAGAGCGCGATAGAGACGCGCAATTAGCTGGGCTCAGTGACCGGCTCGCTGCTGCCGAGGCAGAAGCCTCACATCTCAAGCAGGAGGTAATGTTGACACTTAATAAATTCTTTATCTATACTAATATTATAAAGAGGTAAAGTTTGTAGGTTTGTGAGCTTGTGACGTTGTAGGGGGTAATCTCTGGATCTACTAAACCGATTTAGATGAAATTTGGTAAGAAGATAGTTTGAAACCCTGGGAAGGATATAGGATACTTTTTATCCCTTAAGGCGGTGAAAATGGAGATGAAAGTATGTATGGGGAATCAAGCTAGGGACGAACTCGAGCGAAGCGAGGGTGAATCGTTAGTCTATTTATAATTTGTATTTTCGATTTGTTTGATGTTAATATCTGGGTTAGTTGTGAATATTATTAACGATTGTAGATATGTCCATAAAATCTGTTATTGGGTCTCTGATTAGAAGAATGATCAATTATTCTGATAATTATTTTGCAATAATGGTAATCAGTTAGTAATAATGTAACTTTAGTTTTTAACACGTTCCAAGAAATTATGGCTAATCGAATCAGTCTTAAAGTTGATCTGAGAAATCATGCGTATGGTTAGATTTTGTGATAGATTCATTATATATTCAGACATTTATTCAAAACAACATTTATGTAAATAAATTTTGTTATAAAATAAAAAATTAACTTTCTATTTTGATTGGTTATATTATGTACTTTCACATAGAAATATATGAATAAATATGATCATAAATTAAATCAACATCATAATTAAATCAACTTTTTTGTCTCTACTCTGTGTATATGTACATAATTATGTACATGCTATGGTTCTCTTAACTAAGGATAGCCAATCTAATTGATGCAAAATCTATGCTGAACGTAATATATATTTTACTATATACCCACCCCTCACTCGGCCCTACCCTTACGATAAAAAGTATATTCTATTTACTGATACAAATACGAAAATACTGTTTAATTGAACTAATCGGATGTCATCAATAGGGATTATCTAGGAAGGTATTAGTCTATAAATTATAATATGTACAAGATTATACACTCTTTTACATAGAAAAAGCGAACAATATTTTTTGAACTAAATTTTTGTATTAAATATAATCTATACTAATACTATAAAGAGGTAAAGTTTGTGAATTTGTGATTTTGTGACGTTGTTGGGGTAATCTCTGGATCTACTGAACCGATTTAGATGAAATTTGGATATAAATAAATAGTTGAGACCCTGGGAAGGACGTAGGAGGATTTTTATCCCGTCAATCATCCCTTAAGGTGTTAAAAATGGGGATGAAAATTTGTATTGGGAAGCAATCTAGGGACGAACCGAGCAAAACGAGGGTGAGTCGCTAGTAAGTAACATATAAACGTTTCTATCAACCAGGTCGGTCGTCTACGCGGTGTAGCAGAAACACTCCGTACAAACGCCGAGACGTGCACTCGTAACGCCCGCGAAGCGCAAGAGGCGGCCGGTGAGCTTGCCGCTCAGGTCACAGCTGCTCGGGAAGCAGAGAGGCGCGAGAGAGAGGCCGCGGTGTCCGCGCGGGAGCAACTCGCCATCGTGCAGAGAGAACTCAGTGAGCTGAGTGCGATGAGCGCCGCGCCGCCGCCGCCTCCCGATCCGCGGTTAGATGAACTGAGGAAGGAGCTCGCGTTGTTGAGGACACAGAATAAAAGTGAGTTTTGTTTAAGGAAATGTTGTTTTGTGGGTTTTTAGTGTTATGTTTGCAAAGTATGTGAAGTTTTTTTGTATCTTTGAAGGTTTCTATATATCATTTTAATCCTAAAACGATACCTATGTGTATTAAAATAAGCTCATAATGTGAAGTCCGCCAATATGTACAAAATAATTAAGACGTCTATTATCGTATTTCGACGTATTCATAGAAAGTCACCCAGCAATAACGTGAAGGGGCTGAATTACTCGTAATATTATTATATTTGTATTAATACGGATTTTCCGGTCCTTTAGGCTTACATGGAGATATCTGTCCAACACATCCTCTACTCCCGAGATTTAAATTTATTTATTGTTCTTATTATTATGCTTGCATATAAAACACGTATATTTAGTAAGGTTTTTCTATTAGAAATCATTTTATGCAATAAATACTTTAGTTATACCATTCTAAAAAGGAGTATTATTATAATTATGAACAGCAAAAATAAACTTCTAAGTTGTCATTTCACTCACAGTAATCTTAACAAGCAATACTTTTCTATTTAAATACGGTATGTTGGTATTATACTAACATTTCGTAAATAAGCCTTTAAGAAAAAGCTAAATATTCCCACATATTCAAATAAAGACTATAATACACGACATACCAACGTCATAATATAATTTGCCAAATTAAAAAGTTGATTAGTTCCATTGCATGACCCGCAATGATAATTAATAATTTAATCGATGTTACGTGCGCTACACGCATAAATTAAGATCATAGTTTATTCATCTTTGTTGCGTTTATTAAAAGAGAGACATTCAGTGACTTTTCATTTAAGCCTGATTTGATTTATGATTTGACGACACGTTTGGCTCAGTTTGTAGTGATCCTACTTGCTGTGCCAGCGGTTGCCGGTTCGAGTCCCGCTGGAGGCATTTATTTGTGTTGTGAGCATGAATGTTTGAACTCCAGTCATGGGTGTTTACATTTATAATATGTATTTAATGTATTTAAAGTTATATATGTGTAGTGTATCAACTGTCTAGTATCCATAACACAAGCCTCGTAGCTTACCATGGAACTAGATGGTGCTGTGTGTTAATGTCCCAATGATATATGCGAGTAGGTATATTATATTTTGTGTAAGGACATTTTTTTTTATAGTTAATCGATATGAAAATTTATTAAAGAAGAGTTCTTCTCACATATACATCTTTAATTATTTTCCGTAATAACTACCTAAAATCAATAAAATATAATTCTTTTGTAAATCGGAAGGAATATAATAATAATGATTGCATTATATTTCTTTCAATTAACTTTCGTAAGTTATATATTTATTTTTAACATTGTTATTATTTTGTTTCATTTTTAAATTAGCGTAATTATTAATAATTATTTATACAGGGTCATTTTTAATTTACTGAAAACCTTTTGGGAATACACTATTTACAACATAACAACAACATCTGTAAGAAAAAAAATAATATATCTTAAATTTAACAAAAATAAAATTATTTTTATTGCACCTTCTCAACGGTAATAGTCCAGCATTAGCAAAAGAAAGTGCGTGTCCGGTGGAGGGGGAGGGGTGGAGGGATGTAGGAAGCCGCGCTTACTCATTTAAACTTGGCCATATGCTAGAACTTTAAAGTTTAGAAGTTGCAAAAAAAATATTTTTATTTTGTATGAAAATTAAAATTTAAGAAATATTATTTTTTCTTGTTACAGATGTTGTTGTTATAATGTAAATAGTATATTCCCAAAAGGTTTTCAGTAAATTAAAAATGACCCTGTATACGTTTATAATATTTTCTGTAATAACTTCCTAAAATTAACATAAAGTATATATAACACATATTCCTTTTTTAAATCAGTAGATATATAATAATAATATATTATATTTCTTCAAATTAGGAGCACTAAAATATTCAGTTTTTACATTGTTACTGTTTTGTTCAATTAATAATTTACCGTGATGGTTATTAATCACACGCGGAACCGACATACATTATTCTGTTCTTATTTAATTTCAAAATTTGTGATCTCTTAGTTCATACAAAAAATCTATAGTGGCACTACAAATTGACCCAAAAAATTTCTTTTCAACCATATTTTTCTTCCCTTAAAACCTTATTCGAATTAGAATATTTTAAATATAAATTAAGCCAATTCCGTCCAGCCGATCTCAAGTACCTCAAGTTCTTATCAACAAGCAGCATTTCATTTTTAGATAAGTGTTTATAACATAATATTGACAAATAAATGATAAAATTTTACTATTCTAGCGTTAACAGAAGCGCAAGAAGAACTTCAAGCGCAGATCCTCACCCGCGGCGTAGAAGAAGGACGTAGTTTACTGGACGGAGTGAGCGGGCCTCTCGTCGCTACTAACTCACTCGCGCACGAACTCTCACAGATGAGTGACCACGAGGTAATTATAACCTTCATTTTATTGCTTTAAGGTTTAAATTAATATAATACATGAAATTGTGGTGTAGGGCTGACTTATAATGGCGGATGTTACCTACTTATCTATAGTTTTTCTTACTACAGACAGACATTTGACATATGGTACATAGTACATACAATATGTCAAATTGCTATCTTTAGTATAGATAATTATAGATACATATGTTATTGGGATTCATCGTAAATGGAATTCACGGCGTCGACGTTGCTTTTGTTAATGAGCTTTGATAATGAACTTTTGTTGGGGATTATAATAGTTTAAGCAAAAAACTTTAAAAAATTAATAAAACCGACTTCCAGGCACTAAAATGTAAAAAATAACTAAACGGGGGTTTTCATTTAGAATAGATATACCTAATCAGATATTTTCGAAGTCGGTGCCAGCCGATGCAAAGCAAATCTAATATATTTTGATACGTAAAATACATATTTACCTATTAGATATTCATATCTTAAAATATTGTCCGCTGGCACCGACTTCGAAAATATCTGATTAGGTATCTATTCTAAATGAAAACCCCCGTTGTTGTAGTTATTTTTTACATTTTAGTGCCTGGAAGTCGGTTTTTTTTAAGTTTTTATTTTTATATTTTTAGTGTACTTTGTAAAATAAATAAGCAGGTAATTTGTAGGAAGGAAAGTTTTTAGCAACTTATTCGATTGAACAATTTGTTTAAAAAATATATTTATTGTTGATTTTTTTTGAAACCGCTTGACCGATTTCGATAAAATTTATATGGGAACACCTGGGAAGTATACCCTTTCAAACAAAATAAAAAAATTCCAAATCCGTTCAGGCGTCTTCGAGTAATCGGTGAACATACATAAAAAAAAGATTCCGACAAATTGAGAACCTCCTCGTTTTTGGAAGTCGGTTAAATACTAACTTAAGAACATAACTTAATGGTTTAAAATAAGATGAACCGGGGGTATATATGGAAATACAAAAATAATTGAGGTGTGTGTAGGCACTGGGTTCAAATAAAAATAGACAAACTAACAATGTCATTTATTGCATTTTTTATACATTAATATCGATGGAAAGCATAATGTCTAATACTAATTTATTCGATACGTACCTAAATCATTTCTACATAGCTTCTGCTGCATAATAAATGGGATAATTTAATATATTTTTTTATTTTTATGACGCTTTGCTTATATGGCCTGTAATAAGTTCTCGAGCCAATAATGAATTTAATCTTACACTTTTTGGTTCCAAACGGTTCCATTTGGCAAAAATTCATAATTAGCTCCAAAATATGATTTGCGAAGCAACATTATTGATATGTATGCATTTTTGCAGCTCGTTGGTAGCACACACACAGATCACAGCATAGAGTTGGAAAAGGTACGCCATTTACACTAAAGTGTGCATGTCCTGTACCTCGCCTAACTTGCATGATACCTTTACATTAGTTAATCATGTTATACTGGAATTACCTGTTTTTGTAGTTAATTAATAAAACTCAAAATTATAACTGAAAATTAAAACTCATTTTATAAAAAATGAAGTTTTCAGCTTTCAATGTAGAAATAAAACGATACATATTGATTTAAATGCGAGTATAATCAAAAATATCATCAAATTTGAATGAACCAGTATAATATTAATCATTTCATCAAGTAGTTACTATTTAGTACCTTTTTCATACTTTATGAATAATGTCTGAAAACCTGCATGAATACACAATCCTGTTTTATTGCACAACATTTAAATATTTATTTTAGATTTTAAATAACAAAATATAATTTTTATTTCAGTTGCAGAAAGCTTTGAAAGAACAACAAGATGTGAATGTCCAGTTAAGGGACTACATCGATGGAATACTCCTTGCTATAGTAGAAAACTACCCGCAGTTACTCGAAGTCAAATATCAAAAGCCAAATATGAAGTCATAACGCACATTCTACATTCATCTATTTTTGGCAGAGTACTTCGTTCTATTTTTCTAAAATATTATTTGTTAGAAATCATGTATAGGATAAGAGCTATGAAAATTAAAATTCACAAAATGACTTTATCTAACTGGTAAGAAGGCATTTTTTTAATGTATATAATAGAACTGGAGCCTAGCTTAAAGCTGGAAGAAATCACATGATTCCAAAAACGTACATCATGTTTTAAAAAAAAACAACAGTTTTTTTTAAATAGTGATGTGATTTTCTTATGTATATAAAGAAATCCTTTATATACATAAATATTAGTCCCATATACACAGATCTTGTGATCCCTTCTAAGGCTCAAAAAGTTTTCATTACCTCTTGCATTTTAATTATATCGTCGCCTTAGTGCTTATTTGTTCAAACTCCATATTTCGAGCAGATTACAGTATACTAATTTATATATTTGAATGTGCTCTGCAAAAGATATAGCTTTACAACTCTATACTAAGGTACCATTAAATTCATTTAGAATTAAATGTATTTATAACATATAAAAATAATTTAAGGGCCGCTCCACACTATAGTGCAGATCACAGCTCGTTCTCGGTCCGATATCGGTCTAGTAATGTATTTCTATACAAGAAACGTTACTGGAGCGTGATTTGACCGGAACTGAGTCTTACTGATAGTGTGAATGCACTCATGTTTCTTGTATAACAATACTTTACCAGACCGATATCGGACCGAGAACGAACCGAGATCGGCATATAGTGTGGATCGGGCCTAATGATGCCATTTTATACAAAAAAAAACATTCGCTAGCCTTCCATTTGTATAAATAATTTAGAAAATATCTATATAATTAAAATGCAGTAAAATATTATTAATAAAGGATTTTGTATTTGGAATAATTTATTTGAAATTAATATTGATACTGTGATAAAAATTATTGAGAAAATGTCATAGATTTATAACAATATATTCATTATTTATATTTTCTCATTTACCTAATATACTTTGATAATTTTAAATATCACTATGTAAAACATTCTGCAATATAATTTATATATAAAAATATGGCCTTATGTAAAATGATATATTTTTTTTAATAGAAAATACTATAATCGAATGTAAATATTGTAAAGTTAAGTACTATAAGATAAATGAAATAATGTTGTTCCTTAATTTAATTTCTTAGTCCAGTTGATATTAAAAAAAAAAGGTAAAAACTTCATAAATATACTTACATCGATATATACTTTGCGATGAAATAAATATTTATTAAAACAGTTGTGAATATATGGCCCTAGTGGCTGTTTTCGGAACTAACAACAAGTTTCATTATGAGTATAAATTACTTTAAAGCATTCGAAACGTCGGGAACCAAAAAAACCAAAATAAATCCGCGAAAAAATCCGAAAAGATTCCGAAAAGAATCCGTAAATCTAAGAAAGTATTACTTTATCGTCTGTCGATTTGCCGGTTAGGTAGAAAGGTAATTTTTAAATCTCTTATTATAATCACCGCCATCTTGTGTCAACTTACATGGCGCGTACTTAATGTTAAATGCTACTTAAATATAGTATTATATTAAACATATTGCTTGCTAATACTTTACAAGCAATCAGTTAAACAGTTTTATCACATACAACATGTCCTCTTCATTGAACTAGACTTTGAAGTGCTTCGAGTTGGAAGATTGAGTACTTAGAGGTTATATAACATTTATTACAACAAATATACTAGTGACTCACCTTCATTTCGCTCGGGTTCGTCCCTAAGCAAATATCTCCACACAAAAAATCATGCCAATCCGTCTCTCTGTTTCGACGTGGAACAAACACACTTTCACATATATAATATTAAGGATTCGCTACGCGACTTTACATCTTATCTTTTTCGAAAAATTAACATAAGAATTTACTGCAAAAATACTGTCCATGTGTATATTTATGATGTTACCTCATATTATATTCTGAACTCTAGTTAGATAAATGAAGGCAAGGCCGTCCGTCCATATTGTTATTACTACCTAAATTTTTAAAGACTGGATATAGGTAGAAAATCGGTGCAAGGAACATATGCGTTCTATATTTCAAATAAAACAATAATAACTATAATTATATAAAAGCCATTATGTGTATGTATTTCTAAATTTCGTTTAGTGACATACCATAATATTGTAAGATGTACCTATTTTTACATTAAGATATTATAACTAAGCGTAGTGTAGGAGTTTTGTGTACATTTTGATAACATTATTAATATGAAAAATAAGATATGTTATTACCGAAGTAAATTAAATGAAACAATGCTAATATATAAGTTCAGTCTTTTATTTAAATCACACATACTCAATATTGGACGTTTTCCAATTACAGCACAAAAGCGCATTATGCGGCATAATGCTCAACTTCGAATGTATCTACAGCAACGCTGTACAATCGAGCACTTTGTAAAGTACCAAACAACTCGGTAGCAGAAAATATAAGAAGTGTTTGTCGCGTTGTTCGTGTTTATGCGCCAAAGTGCGGCATCTATACAGATAAATAAAATTGAAGTGCCTGTTTGTAATTTCAAAATAACAGCGTTTTACTAAATGCATATGAAATTATACGGTACTTAAAAGAAAAACACATTTTTTTTAATTTTTGTATGTCTGTCTGTTTGTTCCGAAAAATCTCTGAAACGGCTGGACTGATTTTAAGGGGACTTTCACTGGAAGATAGCTGATGTTACAGGGAGTAACATAGGCTACTTTAATTTTAGAAAAATAATTAGGTTTAAAAAAAAGGTACTTAATGTATAGATAGGTTATTCATTCTTGCTGCTCATTTCTATCCACTGCATCTTTTTTAGTGAGATCCAAATTGCTTATAACTTGTTGGACATCCAATCGTAACATCATAAACTTGGGATCCATGTAATCCTGAAAGGAGAAACTAAACTAAAATATATAACATTTTTCGTCTATCAAAACACAAAGTAAGGAGATTAAACGAGAACACTAATTTTAGGAAGTACGGAAAAGTAGGACACACTGATTAGTATACGTCGATTGTCTGTTTACGCTTTACATATCAATGAATTCTATATTAGAATCCTCAATCCAGTAATATTGAGCTATATTAAATGTTTCATGCAGCCTATTTTAACGTACCACTGCTGGGGGTGGGCCTCCGTTCAGTACGAGGGGGATCAGGCCATAGTCCACCACGCTGGCCAATTGCAGGTTGGTGGACTTCACATGTCTTGCGAAAACTTGCTAGGTTCTCTCAGACATGCAGGTTTCCTCGCGATGTTTTTTTTAACCGTAAGACAAGTGGGAATAGGTTATGTTGATAATGATTTATACTTGAAAATATCACATGTGCGAGACCCAGGATTTGAATTCACTTCTCATAGTTTTCTAAACGAGCGTGCTACCACTGGACTACTACTGCTGTATTATTACATACTTATCAAATCTTATTCTTTACACAATTGAAATAAAATTGTATTGAGAAGAAAATCAATTAATTTTGGCAAACGAACAGCTAGAGCTACAAACTCAAAACAAATCTTACCTTAAAACTACTAGCTTCTTGCACTTGGCCTATATCTTCCAAATCTTCCCTTACTTCTCTCTCTTCCCTGACTCTTCCCATCAACTGATTAATTTCGGCTTCCACATTACTCATAGAATTATAAACGCCATAATCCCTTGACACCGGGTATGCTTGGAAGCCATAATTCCTTGAAACCGGCGTAAAATTAGAATTTTGGGTAAATTGACTGTTTTTACATAACGAACACTGTTTTCCTTCCAATTCTTTCCTTTCATTGTGCAAACTCAGTCTCTCTCTAGACAGAGCAACTTTTTCCTTTGCTATTTGCTTTTCCCTACAATTCAACGACACTACGTGCTCTTGTATCCTACTTATTCTATCTTCGTATTTCTTTTGTAAGAAATCAGCTTCCGAGGACTTTTTGTCGGCTTGCGATTGTTTATCCATTGCCGTCTTGGCTAATATATCTAGATCTCTACTCCTGTAGAGAATTAAGAGGTTAATGTCCAAACTTGCAATGGTCGGTGATATGAAAGAATATTAAATTACTATATACCCGCGGCTGCGCTTGGCAGATAAATAGTTGAGGGAAATTCAGGATATTAAAATTGGTTTACATTATCTTCATTGTTAATTTTATCTTAACCCGTTTAGCCATTACTATGTGAAGAATTAAACAAACATATGCAATCACTCACTCATCCACCTGCTTAGTTATTCATCCACTCACTCACAAAACATTCAGTAGTAGTCGATATAAAGACAGAAGGACATAGGTACTCAATTCGAGCCTACCTATGTCTTTTTGTCTTTATATCGACTCATATTTTCGCAATTGTGAACAGTTTTCAATTATTAAAGGCACCAAAAATCTCTCATATAAACTGGAAAATATTATAAGCACACTTAGACAAATTACGTTGAAATCAATTGTTCCTATCTCATTAGGTAAAAAGTAATAATATAACTATTATGCTTACTTTGATAAAACTCTTTGCTCTTCAATATGTAACTCTTGTTTCTCCGCATTTAACTTCGACCTTTCTTCCGCCACCTCTTCTAATTGCGCATTCAGTTCTGCTTTCGTTTTCTAAGCAAAAAAATATTTTTATTTTATTGCGTGTAAGATTATTTCTAAGCTTAATCGTATTTATTTCAAATAAAGAAAATATCTGTGTTAGAGATATCTCCATCCTGAATCTTACTCAAATCCATTGAGCCATTGAGCGAAGAAATAACATTAAACAATACATTCAGACACAAACTCACTCACTTATTCACTCACTATTTTACTAACATCTTCACTTATCACTTATCCACCTATTCGTTCACTCACTATGAACTCACTCACTTTTTTTTTTTAACGTTGGGAAATGCATTTACGCACGACGTGTGGGACTCACCGGCGTAATACAGCCAGTACTACCCACTAAAACCCAACAAAACCTTCCCCCGTCTTAATGGGGCGTCGCAGGATCGCTTACGTATTCAACTACGACGTCCCGACGGCAGGTCTGCCGAAGCAGACCACCACAACCATGGGGTTGCTCCAAGGTCCACTCTGCTATCAGAGAAGTACCAGGAGCAACCCGAAAGGTACACCGCCCCCCGAAGAGGGCCACCTCCCACTGCCCACCGAAGTGTGCAACCTCCCTGTGCGTTTCTTAGCTTCGCTACTACTACTGAGCCCCCCCCCCCACCACGACAAGGTGAACGCACGTTGGGAGGGATGAACTCACTCACCTACCCTTCACTCACTTACTTTCTCATCTTATAAACTTCCGCATTTATTATATTAGTGTTAGTATCAATATACTTGTCCTCGTAATATTACCTCAAGTTCCATTTTTAAACTTTGTATAGAAGCTTTCTCTTTAGCGACGAGGGCGCTATCTTTTAACGTTTTCGCTTTTTCCTCATCTATTCTCGTTTTCTTCTCATAGTATTCCTTCTGAATATCCTCTTTTAACATCTAAAAAAGGTGAATCACTTATTTAAATAAACTATTTGATATACATATTCACTATAATCTTATATATAAAATTTCCATGTTTCACAATGTTTGTTACCGTACTCCTCCGAAATGGCTTTACCGATTTTTACCAAATTTTATAAGCGTATTCAGAAGGTCTGAGAATCGGCTACTATCTATTTTTCATACCCCTAAGTGATAAGGATAAGGGTGGTCCTCCCAGACCTCACCCCAGGGACGAACCCGAGCGGAGCGAGAGTGAGTCGCTAGTATGTATATATTTTGATTTAAACTGCGTATATAATTAGCTATTTTGTTAGAGTCATTTTAAATCTCAATAAAATAAATGATTTAGTAATAATTACTAATTAATCAGTCTACTAATTATATATTATTTTAAGTCTTTTAGAACCAAGTATTCATAGTAAATATAAAATTCATAAATAATATTTACATATTTTTAGGTAAATTATTTTTCATACCTTAATTTCTTCATCTTGTTTCTTTAATATATTTTTGGCAAACTCTGTCTGTTTGTTGAACGTCGCTTTTTCGAATTCAAACTCCATTTTCTTCTGCCTCAACGAAGCAGATTCTTCTTCAATCATCTATTAATTATATCAACTTTAATTAAACTACTTTAATTAAATAATTTATACAAATATTTATAGTTACACAAATATATTTTTTTTAAATCCGTTTATATCTTTGACAACTTTCATAATTATTATATAATTTCCTTCTATTCATGACGATCCATCCCACTGAGACTAGTGATCTGCGCAGGAAATGTTATAGTGCAACACTCATATATTTTATGCAGTGGTAAAACCCAGTGGTAACGTATTTAAACCAGAATCTCGAACCTCTGTCAGTTCTCGAAGTCTGTTGCTTAAAAAAGAAGCTTGAGGCGGTAAAAGAAAAGATCGAGAGGAAACCTGTATGTCCGAGAGAACTTAACTTGGCGTGGATCATTGAATGAAGACACTTGCCTACCATGTTATAATTGTTGTTGTTAAAAAGGGGTAAATGAGATACCCATATGCAATACTACAAATGCTCTCTGTATGCCCTGTACTCCCATAATTCGGTAGTCCGGCTTTTTAATCTTCTCCCAGCCTTAAAAATGTTTTGGCAGAAAAACCCAATAGCTGTTACTTTACCCGGCACAACATGCAGCCCAATTTTAGACTAGACCAGACCAATGGGGAAGATAATATAATTAATTTCTGTATTCAACTCTTCATAACGTCCCACTGCTGGACACGAATCTCTCTTTAATATGAGCAGCATCAGGCCATAGTCCACCACACTGGCCAAGTGCGGGTTCGCGGACTTCATATTATCTTTCGAAACCTTGCTAGGTCCTCTCAGACAAGCAGATTTCCTCAATATGTCATCGTTCACCGTAAGGCAATTGGTAGTCAATAATCATGTTGGAAATATTTCGCACATGAGAATATCAGATGTGCGGACCCCAGATTTGAACCCGTTTAATCAGTTTCCCCAAAACTATTCAGTACATTAATGTATCTGAATCTGACAATCGCTATCATGTATATTACCTACTGTAATTAATGATCATGTCTTTATTTATTGTATATATAATAACTATTTCAGTATTTATTATCGATTATCGATTTTTCTTTGCTTACTTTCCGTAAAATACAAAAAAATAAAATATATTTGTCACGTTTACTTGTCACTTTTACTTTTTCTTCACGTTTAAAACTCACACTAAAAAAAAAGCTTGGTAGAATAGTTTCTTAATAATTATAATCTCTGTAAAGATACTACTCACTGACGTCATTTGCTTAAGCCGTGCTTCCAACATATTGACCATCTCCTTACTCTCCGACTTCTCGTTTTCAAAATTCACCTTATCTTTTTTCAACTGTTCGAGCATACCTAAAAAGTTATTTCTGTGTCATTTTGTACTAATTTTTCGGTATTTAAAAGAACATATATGTATATTTTGTAAGATTTTCATTTTATTATTGAAATACCGAGTTTTGTTTATAATTTTCTTTATTTAGTATATGTTTAGTGAAATAAAAAAAGCTTAAAAAACACTTTGGAATTTTCTGCGAATTTAAAGATAAAATAGGTATGTTAAAATTGTGTTTGTCCATTTAAAATTCAAACAGAAAAAAATGTCTTAATGTATATTTTACACATGGTAATTTTGGGAAATTAAAGTAATATGTCATATAATAACCGTTTCTTATATATTCAATTGATTTCCTTGTAAACATTTGCAGCTCTAATAATCAGATAATTGATATATTTCCCTTTTATTAGGACTAATCAGGAAACCTTGCAAAAGAACTCTAAACTAGTAAAAATGTTGTACCTACAACAGGCATCAAAAATCATGAAAGAAAAGGAAATCCCATTATAAATGCGAAAGTTTGGATGAATGTTTGTTACTCAAACACGCCAGAACGACACACGCCAGAACGACTAAACGGATCTGGATGAAATTTGGCACAGAAATAGATTATAGTCTAGAATAAAACATAGGCTACTTTTTATCCCGGAGAAATGTACGTTTCCCGTGGGATAGATTAGTTTTTGTTTTTCACTAGGGACGAAACCCTAAGCGAAGCGAGGGTCAGTGGCTAGTGGGTTATGAATTAATCTGTTAATAGAATTACGTGAAGATTAATATTTTAATCTTACCTGTTATTTGCGATTCTCTTATCTGCATACTTTTTTCGGTGTCCTTTTGTGTATTTTGACTCAACAGTTCAACTTTCTCATAAAGTTGGTCACATCTCTCATTACCTTCTTTGACATTTGTCAATAACTGTTGTAGATCTGACGAGAAACTAGCTGAATCTTTAATAAGTATTTGCTCTTGCTTTACCGCATTTCTATAAAAAATATTAAATTAAAGAAAACTTATTCAACGGCTTACGGCACCCTGTTTCACTCTTCCACAGAGAAAAAACTAGGTATGAGAGAAAAATAAAATTGAGTAAGATTGAGAGAGAAATAGCCAAGGCCACCTTGAAGCTATACTGAGCGTAAGGCAAAGATAATTATTAAAATCACTCAGAAGAAGAAGCTATACATGGACGTGCATATAATCGTGCGTATATATATATATATATATACACACACGATTTGAGAACCTCCCCCTCTTTTGGAAGTTGAATAAATGTCACTTATTAAGTGATTATAACGTTCATAATAAAATAATGTTGTATGCTTCCATTATTCCCAAGTCCCAACTACAAAATTGGGAACAATTATTAATTACCAAGACCCACAGAAACACATGAAACATGGTCAATATAAAAATAAATTGGAAATATTATACTCACTTAACGTTTTCCATCAACGCAGCATGGTGTTCTTGCAATATTTTGATATTTTCCAAATGTTGTTCTCTCAACATATCATTTTCAGCCTTATGTCTTTCTATTAAGGAACTTAAGTTCTCTTCCGACATTTTCTTGTATAACTGATGGTGGTCGTTCAACCAACTGATCTTTTCCATATAAAACTTGACTAATTTTTCACTTTCTTCTTTCATTCTCTCTTCTGCTTGCATGAACGATACTTCTAGAAAAGCGAGCTGACGTCTATATGATACAGAGGTTATTGTGATAATTATAAATTTTAATTAATATTGAAAGTTAGAGACAACATAATTGAACTGCGCCTATAATAAGGAATATGCGTGTAATTTAAATAGAGGTGTTTTTTTATAATCTTTATTGCTTTTGAATTAAGTCTATATCAATATTTTTAATGTAATTTCTTTTTTAATTAGAAAATAATTATTAAAAAACGCAAATATAGGTGGGAAATTAAAAGTAGTTGAAACGAACGCCATTGGTCAGTCCGAATATGACGTCAGAGTATTATCTTAACAAAGCGATTAGCGATTTTGTACAAATTGAGTGGTCGTTTTTCTATGTATATCATCGCTGTGGCGTCACGCCAAGCGCGCGAAATAGCGGGCGTTAGTATCCGGGTCGGTATATTAAAAAAAAAATATACTAAATATTAGTTCTTTAGAGCTTGATAATTTTTTTCAATATATAAAAATGTTAGCTATTGTGTAAAAAAATCAAAAAAAATCACGCATATTCCCTATTGGAACGACTGCAGTCACATTTTTGTTAGGTTGGGTTAAATGTTTTTTATGTAATATCAAACATTTAGAAAAAATAGAATAAAGATAGAAGAAAGAAATTTACATGCAATAAAACAAAATTATAAATAAGCAAAACTCTCATATTCTAGTACCTATAAGAAGTCTCCATTAGATCGATCTCTTTGTCGTGATTTTCCTGTAAGGATTGCACAAGTTGCAACAACTGCTTCCTTTCTCTTGTGAATGGTGTTTCTTTCCGTTCTGCTTCTTCATAATCATTTGTCAATCCGTGTTCTTCTTCATTTTCAATATTCGTATCACCTAATAAAGCCTGTTTTAAAATAATATCATACAAACCGTTTAATCATTCAATGGTTAAAATATATTACTTTCTGTCTGTTTCTATTACTTTCACAAAGCTTTATCGATTTTGAAGAAATACGGATAGTATATAGATTCACAGGAGATAAATGATAACTTTACGAAACATACCTATATGAAGGTACTAAATGTTTGTTTATACATATTATTGTATACCTACCTACATATATTTTGAAATAGCTTGTGAACTACTTATAAATAACAAATAACAAAATTCAATTATTTATGTTCATGACATACAAGTAGTTATATTGCTTGCCAATAATGATTATAATACATAAGTTTGTTATATATCAATTTTCAACACATAAGAGCTCGCGGCACTTTTTGTATCGGCTGAAGTCCAGGGGCAGACCGTGAATTTGGGGCGCCCTGGTCTAACATTTCCTGGAGATCTAAAAATGACAATTAGTTTAATTAATTAGAATTGAACTAATTTTCATTTTGTCCTTCAAAAATCTAGATGGTACTAGACGAAATTAAGATAACGCTATTGTTTCATTGTGATTTTAAATGATCTCAGGTAAATGAACTTTTATGGCCATATTTTTTTTATTTTAGATACATTTTATTTTATATATTCACAATATTATCCATTGTTTTGAACAAAAAGCCCGTTATATTTTAGGGGCCATGGGCTCCAGCTTAAAAATTCTATATACATATAGATCCACCCCTGCTTTTGTCAGATAACTGCTGACCTACGGAAAATCTGCATTGAGCGAGATCCTTATATTTCTGAATTAAGTGGGAAAATAACAATGTAAAGTGAAAGTTAGTAGGTATCCTTTATTCACCTTTATCCTTTGTGTGATTCTCTCCTGGTGCGCACTTATGATGGCTTGCATCTGCTGTCTGTTCTCCGACTGACGACGCAACATGGCGTCGAGCTGCTCGTGCTGAGCCAGTACTGCTTCACGTTGAACTCTTTGACTTTCTTTTTGACGCACTAAATATGTAGGTATTCTAATATACAATATAATTTTATACTGCGATTTCGGGCACGGCAGCCAATCTTACTTAGACTAGCTACGAGTATGTGCACAGAAGATATTATCAAGTGTACGCGCAAACTGTGCATTCTATATTAAGAACGAAAAAAAAATTTTCTTAGATTGGGGGTAGAATTGGTAGCTTATATAAATACGAAGTTTTTGACAAGAAAAAAAATATTTTTCTCAACATTTTGAGGTGGCCCTGGGCCCACTGATTTGTAAAATATTAAAATTAAAATGATTAAATGGAACTTATTTCGACTGATCGTCTTTGAAAATATCAAGAATTGGCTGAAACTTCCAACTATAAAAAACTTAAAAAAAAATTTGTAACCCTTTATGTATTTCAGTGAAAGTTGAGTAGAAAATGACTTATATTGATAATGTTACAACAAATATTCAAACATACATAAGTATGTGAAATGTTCTGATAATGACCTCTGAGTAAAATCTATTGCAAAAAATCATCATTGACAGTGAGTTATGACAAATATTATGTTTTATTGAAATTTAAATAATTAATTATAAATTACAATGCAATGCTTGATTGTTTAAGAGTTCCGCAGCCAAAACACCATTATAATTTCCCAATGGTCATTTGTCCGTATGTCACTGCCAATTTACTCGGAGATTATGGGTCGGAGACCATTTCATTAAAATTTGGGAAAAACATGTCGCATGTAAAGTGCTAGGCTGTCAAACACAAATACGAAAAATAATAAAAATTAAAGTAGCGTTCTATAGAAACTGTACCTACTGTAAAAAATCTGAGTGTACATAGCGCGTCGGTGTAGATAATCTATACATATTATAATAAAATTGTAACTAAGCCGAATCTGTACATTAAATATTTTTTTTGGAAAACCTTATTGATATAGACATTATTATCGATACAGAGGCCAAATCTATAGTTTTTAGAATTCTTGTCTGTCTGTCTATCTGTTACAGCATCACGGAAAACCCACTGAAGGGATTATAATAAAATTTGGTATGATGGTAGCTGGTTATCCGGGTCAACATATAGGATACTTTTTACCGCGGAAAAGTATCTCATTTAAGAGAAAAAATACAAAAACTGCAATGTAAGAGCATACTAATATGTAAAACCTATGAATTTGGTTTTTGGTCATTTGAACCCGGGCGGAGCCGCGAGCAATGCTAGTATGAAAATAAGAAAATTATTTTTACTGTCGATGATATGAATATTACTTATAGTTTTACTTAATCCTTATAAATTAAATTACGTTTGCTGCTACGGAACCCTCGGTGCGGAAGTCGGGACCTACTTGTCTAATTTTTTTGGCTTAATTGTCGAAGGGATTCGACATCTTTTATATATTATTTAAAACCCACAACATAGGTATAAAAAAATGAATTATTCTCTAGTTAAAAAAGTAAAACTCACTTTGCATGGCGGCTAGTTTTTCATCTTGCGCTTTTAATTGCAAAGCTACCATTAGCTGTGATTCTTGTTGCTGTAAGTAAAGAGCAGCTCCTTCCATAGTTAAATCTTCTTTAGTATCTAACGATGGTAAATTCAAAATCTCTGTATTTTTTTTAACTTGGTCTATATTTGTTTCTAGAATTTTATTTTGTTGAGACTCTTCAACAACTTCTACATTTGGCTTAGGTTCTTCTGCAACTATATTCTGCTTTTCCGGTTTTGATTCTTTCATATTTTTTTTCTTTCTACTCGAAGCTCCTCCAAGCCAAGCCGGAACGTCATCATCTTGCTCGTCCATGTCATTATTGTTATCGTCGTCTTGAAATATTCCTAGCCAATCATCATTAGATTTTGTTTTTTTATGCTGAATATTAGACGATTCTTTAGGCGTATCAGTTTTGACTGAAGGTTTTTGTACAACGGTTTTGTTTAATGGTACTGTTTGCTTGGATTCTGAATTACCCAGAAAAGAATCTATATCAAAATCCTGATTTTTACTTGCTGTTGATCTTGTAGGTTGACTGGAAACTCCTTTGGTAGACGGCGCTCCCAATATATCGTCTAATAAAGATTGGGAACCTTTGCTTTTATCCTGAGGTTTCACGGTTTCTTTTTTTACATCTCCACTTAAATCGTTTAAAAAATTTAACTTATCAACACTCGTACTAAGTTTTGCAGGAGATTTAGGTTCCAATTTATTAGAAGTTGGTTTATTTTTGGCATCACTTTGCTGAAAGATAGACTCCTTCGTAATAGACTGTTTAAATGACGTCGAAGTGGCAGCTTTTAAAGAGTCATTTTTAGCTAAATCAAATGTTGGTTCTTTCTTAAGAGTTTTATCTCCGACTAATTTTTTATCATCAATGATGGCATTACCCTCCTGTGTCTTTGTTTCATCTAAATTAAACAAAGCTGTCTTCTTCGCTGCAATAGGAGTGTTACTTTTCTTTTGAGGCTTTTTCTTTCCTAGTATATCATCATCAAAGAAGCTATCATCACTACCGTCACTCAAAATTCCTGCTAATGGATCATCAAGATTAAAATTCATCTTAATTGATAATATACCTAAATTTTAAATCAATAACATATAGAAAGTGCTGGCAATTACAGTTATTCTTATTAGAAAAAAAATTATATACAGAAACTCACGTCTACAATATCGACATTTCAAAAACGCATTTTGTTTACTAATTTGGCGCCATAGCAACATCAATGCAGATAAAGTTACATGTGGAATCATACCAAGAAATCAATTAACTATTATAAAATAAAAATCAATGTATAAAATAAAAATGAATTCTTTATATCTATTATCTTTATCTTTATTTAAAAAATCAATATAAGAAATAAAATTTCCACTGCATAATTGTCCTTATTTTATTCCTGAACGCAACACAAAGAGTGACGATTAATGAAAAATTTGTTGCTTCACGTCAGCCAGTCGGCTGTATTTTTAATTATTTTTTCAAAACAACTACTCTAAAAATACATATTTTTTGTGTGTAAGAAAAATTCAAATTTACTAATAGTATTCAATCATGGAACACGTAGGTAAGATTTAATACATATTTGACTTCTGTTTCTTGTATTATTTTTTGACAAATTTTGTATCGTCCTGAAAATATCTTTTGTTCTAGAATTTTGCTAACTCACGTTTTCTTTTAGCTTCTGAAAAAGGAGATACTGCAGAAAATCTTGATCCAAATTCTATAGCGAATGGCAGCTCGAAAAGTGATACAGAAAATAAACCATGTGTTGATAATGGAAAACCACATAATGAAGCTCCCACTGAGATTGCTGCGTGCAGTTCAGAATCTACAGAAGACTCAGTATTGTGTGAGATCCCAGAGCAAATCGAATTTACCGTAGTTTTTAACAAAAGTAGACATGACATCACATTCGCATATGATGCTACTGTATTAGAACTTAAGGCACACTTAGAGAGGATATGCGGCGTTCCACAATCAGCTCAAAAATTAATAATTAAAGGCATGGCCCGCGATAATGTAACGCTAAGGAATGCTGGAATAGTTAAGGGTGGCAAGGTCATGCTTGTTGGATCTAAAATGGATGACATATTGGCTGTGAAGAGTGCACCAAAGGTATTTACTAAATAAATTTAATTTTTAAATTGAATTATTTATTTGAAATTCTTCAGGAAATAAAGTGGTTCACAGAATATATTTATAATAGCTACTTAGAACATAATACTTCGAGACTATGATTTTTATTAACTTAGTATTAAAGCTTACTATTACATTCTTTTGCTATAGGAAATTTTGGAAGAAAAAAATAGTAGTCAGACAAATAAGGAGCCTTTATGCATGCAAAAGATTCATAGGAAAGTTCTTGATAAAGGAATCCCTCCAGATGTAATGCCAGGAATCAAAGGTGTTAAGGTATGTTTTTTTATGTACTTTAATCAAAACTTTGTTGGAAAAATTTAATAAACATTTTTATATTTGCTTTTACTGAAAAAGTATAATTCAAATAAGTGTAAAAACAATTTTCATTACAACTATACAAAATATATTTTATGGAATCTATTATCTATTAATTGAGTCACATTACAAAATAATAAATTAATTATTTATAACTAGGAACCACTTCCACCAGTGCCATTAAGTGGGATGTTAAATAAACATGGAGGAAAAGTGAGGCTCACTTTTAAACCAGAACAGGATCAACTGTGGCTGGGAACCAAAGAGCGTACTGAAAAACTTGCCATGACATCTATTAAAAGTAAATATGATTACTGAGTGTAATAAAGTTAAACATGAATAGGTCATGAATTAATATAAAAAATATTCATTCCAAATCAATAATTGTTCATAATGCATGATTCTATTTATCAATCATTATTAACAATATTTTAAGAATTTGTTGGGTTTATTTATTTTTTATTTTTTACAGGTATAACATCTGAACCCATCAAGGATCATGAAGAATATCATATCATGGTTAGTCAGAATTGATTTAAAGATTTTTTTAGTTTAATTAGGAATATTTTTTGTGTATAATATGGAGTACAAATATGTATCTCCATCTGAATTCTACATAATACCCATGCAATTTTTTAGCATTTTCTTTTCTGGAATAAAAAGTAATCTATGTGCTATTCCATTCTATTCCAGACTATCCATGTGCTAAATTTCCTCCAAATCCGTTCAGCCGTTCTGGTGTGAAAGAGTAACAAACATCCATCCGTCCATCCTTACAAACTTTCACATTTATAATATAGGTATGGATATGGATGTGTAACAATTACCCTTAAATTTACTTATTTTCCAGGGTCTACAACTTGGCCCTACAGAGGGATCCAGATATTGGGTGTACTGGGTCCCTGCACAATACATAGAAGCCATAAAAGATGCAGTATTTGGAGTGTGGCAGTTTTTCTAATTATATTATTGTCTCTATCTACTCGTACCATATGCGATCTACTTGGGTAGTTGCAATATATTTAAAATTATGGATGTGAATTGTGCCCTAGCACACCTACATGTAACCAACATTTTATATTTAGAAGTTCATATTAATGATTAACTTATACAATTTTACAGTTAAGCTAATTATTGCTAGGGCTCTCTATGTACCAACTACCTAAATTATTTGACTTTTACTGCTACATTTTATTTCTTTGAAATAATTTACTATAAAATCTATAATGATATCGTAAGTTGTTTCTGTACCAGTCACAGTGGTACTGTTTGTTTTGTGATATCATTATTGCTATGTCAATTACAAAATTGTGCATTGATAATTTGACATATATCTGGTTAAGTGAGAAATTATTTTTTTGCTATTGTAAAATTGCATTTTATGCATTTGGGTTTAGAGCTGTACAATAATGCTAAAATTGGAATATTATATACTTCTTCAGTGCGGTATTCATTGTCATGAGCTTATTGTCCTTCGTGTTTCGAAACCTGATCTCCATTTGAACTTTATAAAATTCACTCACAGTGAAGAATTGGACAGAATTAATGTAACCTATTTGGCCAATATTGTTCATAAAATTGCATGTTAATTTTTACATGAAGTCTTGCCAATTCTTCACAGTAATTTGATACTAGATTTAGATAAAAAATGTTTTAAACTAAACATGGTTTCATTTCACATTTTTTCAATAAAACATAAGATTGTTAGTGTAAAACTTTAATCACAAATAAATATGACAAAAAATTAATTAGTACTTAAAGCTATATGTAAATAGTCATACAATGTAATAAAATGGCACTTTCAAAATACATAAATGAATAAAAAACTTTGGCATCTTGATATGTAAATAATACTGAAAATAAAGCACTTGTGATAATAATCAACCATATTCAGACTGCACTGTCAAGGAGAACTGCCCTTTAGGAATACTTGTTGCATGGTACCAAAGACGAGTATCCAATAACACTGCAACAAGATATTTGAAAAGTAATATATAATTTATTAAGAGAAGCAAATAAATAGAAATTTTAGCATTTTTCATCATCCTAAATGATGATTTTTAAAATTATACATACCCACATCTCCTGGCTCTACATAATATTGGAACTTCTGGCACACATCTTCACATTCAGGAACAGGTACTACAGTCCATGTTTTATTACCTTTAACTTGTCCTTGCCACATTAACCTTGGTATGTAATCCAACTGAAAAATTTCCATGAGAAATGAATTTCATATAGATTTTCCAAATTTACCGTTATTCTAAATTATTGAACTAAATATGTTAAATAAAGTATTTACATGCATAACAGCTCCTATTTCATATCCAAAGAATATATTTTCTGTGGCTGGGAATTCAGCATCTTCTGGAAGAAATTCAGGTATATTGTAGAACTTTCTAACCTTTTCCAGAATATTAGGATGACAGTTCCCCCTAAAAATAATAGTGAAAAAAATTAACAGGAAAAATGTAGAACATAAAAATTATCACTGATTGATTATTACAAACCATCCCACATACCAGGGCTCCTGCCCTGGGCCATTTCTTACTCTAATATCAGGCATTTCAAATACATCCTTTAATGAAAAAAGATCTGTTTTAAAGTTAAGGAATTGGCAGCCTTCCTCCAAACTCTCATAGCTACCAGCTGTTTCTTCATATAGTCTTTTAAACATGTAAAAGTTGAAGTCATTTATTGCTCTCCAATGTTTAATAGCATCTTTAGCTATGATTGGCTTTGAAGAATATGCATATTTCTATATCGAAAATAAAATTAAGATTAAATATTTAAAAAACAATATATTGATAAATTTTGTGCTGTAAATTTTCCCTACCCTAAAATTTTGGCGTGTGATATTCTGCAGTATAATAGGTTTCGTAACATTCGCACAATAGTTACAATCGGCGAGAGGCCGCGTCGCTTCCCACACCAAGTGATTAATAGGTAACAGACATCTCGCACTTAATAAATATTCCACTGCTAAACTAGTTATCGCTACCAATATTAATGCTGCTCCTACTGATATTATTGCGGCATTTAATCCTAAAATTAATGATTTTTCTTTGATATTACTGACATAATAAAAATGTCTAATTAAAGTTCCATCTATGCCTTTTTCAATTGCACTTTTTTGAGTTCTTTTTAATTTTCTTCGTATAATTTTTTTATCTTTGGTAAGCTTGTGCATAGTGTCATTATTTATAGATTTTTGAACAGTCTTTTAAACCTTATAAATCAATTTATATTTTGAAAATTGTATTTGTGTATGTGTCAAAAATGAAGTGACAATTATAATTTTGTCAATTCGTCTGCTCTATGGTTTCCAATCGTTTCCCAAATAAGGTAATGTATATACATATTATACATTTTTGTCTTTCTTATATAACAAAACATTAATAATCTGATATTGTCTTATAAAACATGTTTTACATAGTTATGCTACAACATTAATACAGTTTTCAAATAAATATATTTCAAGTGTCCAAGTGTAGGTATATGCGTATATAATAAAACACCAATGTATTTTATAGTAGCGTCAGCGCTTAAAATTATTTTGTGTCTATGACTTGACCTGACGCTGTCAAGTCAACGAACTGATGAACTTGGCGGTTTCAGTACTAAGTTATTTAGGTAAAGCCTAAAATGCCTCCAAAGAAACGTGAAAAAGATAGTGAAACAAATAAAAACTCTAAAATTGATCACTTACAGGCTGACCATGAGTTATTTTTACAAGCGTTCGAAAGTAAGTCGTGATTAAGAGCAGTGATAAGTTGCGTTCCCATAAGTATAATTTGCACATTACATTTAAATAATCATTTTATTTCAGAGCCTACACAGATATACAGATTTTTACGGACGCGTAATATGTTGTCGGTTCGTATCAAACCTTAAATTACTGTCAGTGTAAATAATGATTAACAAGTATTTAATTAAATGTTCTCGTTTACAGCCAATTTTTCTCAACAGGACGTTGTCCTATATGAAGCGTAGAATGTCAAGAAGCAATAAAACTCGTGTTGGTTTTAAAGTGGATTCTTTGTTAGAAAAAATTACCTTAAAAAAGAGTACTGAATTGCAACCCAATAGTCTGGGTGGTTACATGACTTTAACGTTTTTGGGCTTTTATGATAAAAGCTTAGAAGATCCTAGAGACTTTCAAGTTAAAGTTGAAACTTTGTTATTAAAGATATGTCACAAAAAAAGGAAGGAAAGTTCATCTGCTATTGTGGAAGTTTCAGTAAGCACAATATTTATATTTTCATGTTTATTGACTATATTATATTTCTTTAATTTGTTATATGTAGAATATAGATAATATTGAATATACTTCTAGGTTGGAAGCTGTTCTGTTCCTCTAAATCCTTCAACATCTGAGCCACCAGCCATGGCATCAGCAGTCAGCATCTCTAGTGATACTTTTAGCCCTTCTCAAGGCCCTAATGTCAAGTCTTATATGTTAATGTTAAGAGTAACTGTAACTAAAGCCTCAGCAAATTCTAATGTAGCAAGTTCAACAGAAATCACTAATGGTGATAGTGATGGTAAGTAAATGATAAAAATGTTTTCTCTATACAATGACATTCAGTGTTGCTTATGAAAATGAAGTTAAATAATTTCTACATTATTTATATGCCTTAATTATTATAATAAACATATAAAAACTTGTCTAATTATACTTCACTTTCTCCTTAGAACCTTTAACCAAGCGTCTTAAGTCTTCAACTGATTTAAATTCATCAAGCACAGAATGTAAATGGAGTAAACTGTATGGTAGTGAACTTATTGTTTATGACAAGCACAATCGCTGTTTACTAACTAATGGAGAGTATGACTTAGTTTTACATGATGTTACACCAGGAGGCCGTAGTGCCACTATAGCTAGGTCACCACATAAAGCTCTTATGGCACAATGGGAGACTATACCAAATGTAAGTTATTATTGTAATTATTGAAAACATTTTGTATATTTTTTTTTAAATAGCTTAAATTATTAGTTTAAACCTACTAGTTGTCAATGATTGCTTCTCTTTTACATTTTAGGAAAATGATCTCCACTCGGAAACAAATCCTTTTAACATATTTAAAGTAAGGCCACTTTTGAAACTAAAACTGAGTTGGAGTCAAGAACCGACTAATGGTTTAGTCAATAGGCCAAAATTGTACCAGCACGATACAAATGGTATTAAAAAAGAGTCAAGCTCTGTTAAAGATAAACTCTCTGCACAAAAATGTTCTACTAGTGAAATTAAAAATGGTAAATATACTGATGATGTTCTCCTAGCCGATTCCGGCCACGGCGGCTAATCTCATTGAAATTAGCCAACTGCGCAGGAGATATTATAGTGCTCAAGTGTATGCGCAAACACAAGTGCACTCTCTATTCCTATCACTCTCATACTCCGGTGGGACGACCACTCGACACGACCGATGAGAGTTAAGGCGCAGGACCGACGGCTTTACGTGCTCTCCGAGACACGGGGGTAAAATACCGCCAACTTCCCAACTCCGGGCTGTTACTGAGACTTACTATACAGAAAGTCTCAATAAATAAACTTGGCCCGACCCGGGACTCGAACCCAGGAACTCCGGGTGTGCAGCCGTACATGCTAGCCACTACACCGCCGAGGCAGTTAAATCAAATATACTATACCTACATATAATATATTTGAATATCTAAAATAATTAATTGAACTTATTATATTAATCTCTTTTTAAATGTGTGTTCAAAAATAGATTTGTCTTATAGAATTGCCATTTATCTTTAGTCAGTTTTTTTAGTTGCTTAACAGCAACCATTTTCTAACAGTTTTTCTAAAGATCAGTCTGAAATCATTGCTTAGCAAGTTATGCATTATGCATTGTTTATGATTTATGTTATGAGACAAATTTTAATACTTTAGTATTATTACTACTACAGTCAGTACTCAAACTACAATTATATAGTTTACTAGTGACTCAACCTTGCTCCGCTCGGGTTCCTCCCTAGTTACGTTTTAACGTTTAGTATAGATTTTTCAGAGATGAGGTATTTTCCCGCAGTAAAAACTATCCTATATGTTGGCTCAAAAAGGCCCTCGAGGCTATATCTATACCAACATTATAAAGAGTTTCTTTGTTTGCTTGAACGGGCTAATCTCAGGAACTACTAATCCGATTTGAAAAATTCTTTTTGCATTAGATAACCTATTCATTGAGAAAGGCTATTGGCTATATATCATATAATATAATATAGTCTATCTATTCCATACTAACCATTAGAACGTACCTAGTGACGAACCCGAGCGAAGGGAGGGTGAGTCGCTAATGTCTAATATTATTAAAGTCACAACAACCGCTTTTTGTTCAAATTAGTTAATCAAAACACGAGTAGAATCGTAAGATGACACTTGTATCATGATATTATTAATCCTTATCCAACTAAATAGTTTGATAATCATGATTGATTTTGTACATGTAAATTCTTCTTTATATCATTCGACTTAGACCTTTTGTTTGATAAAAATGTAAAACGCACCCGAGCAAAGCAAGGGTAAGTCTCTAGTCAATTGTAAAACTGCCCAAAACTGGTTTCATTGAATTAAATTAATGCATCTATTTTTTTAATATTTAAGGTGTCATAACTGTATAAATGTAAAAATATGGACATAATACATATTCTAATATAATTATTTTTGTTGTACAGGTGAAAAAATAAAACAAGAAACAAGTGAAGGTGAATCTAAAAGACAACAAATAATTTATCAGTTCCTATACAATAATAACTCAAGACAACAAACAGAGGCTTGCGATGACCTGCACTGTCCATGGTGTTCGCTGGACTGTGGGACGCTGTATTCTTTGCTCAAACATTTAAAATTATGTCACTCCCGTTTCAATTTCACTTATTTTGTAAGTATGAACTTTTGCATACATTTGTATTATTTAGTAATTATTTTAGTAGATGTAACTATACAAGGAATGAACCTTGAAATTCATCAAAACATTTTCGTAAAACTAGGGACTCGGGTAGAAACTACTTGTATATATTTATGATTCCTATAAAAATATACAAGTAATTTCTACCCACTTTCCTCTCATGGCATGCAGGGTGGTCATAACAGCTTGCCACACTCATAAACAAATGAAAAAGTAACATTCACCATTATAATATCACTATATGATGCCATTCCTAAGGTGGTGATAGCCCAGGGTTAGCCTGCTCTCTTAGGAAACCAAGTGAAGTGGGTTCAAATCCCCAGTCTTGTGCCTCTGAATTTTTCATTACGAATCATTCTCAACATGATTATCACTTGTCTAACGGAGAAGGAAAACATCGTGAAGAAAGCTGCATGTCTGAGAGAACCTAGCAAGTTTTCAAAAGACATTTGAAGTCCGCCAACCCGCACTTGGCCAGCGTGGTGGACTATGGCCTATCCCCTCGTATTGAAGTACCCAGGAGTCTCGTACCCAGCAGTGGAACTGTAAAAACAGCTGAATACAACACAAAGAAATATGATTACAGCCGATCCCAGGCGGAGCGCGCATCGACGTATCCATCAACGAGTTGTACGACGGGTCGTACACGGGGTCGCCGCACGACCTGATCGCGGCGGCGGGGCGCGGCGCGGGCGGGCCGCGCGCCGGCCCCACGCGCCGCGCCTCGCTCACGCACCTGCTGGTGTGGCGCCCGCGCGGCCGCCGCCGCCTGCCGCGCCACAGCCTGGCGGAGTTCCTCGAGCTGGACGACAGCGACGTGCTGGACGCGCAGCGACCCTATCTTACTGGACATAATAGGTATTGTGCTTTTGTACTCTGTGGTTTAGTGAACATTATAGATACTAGCGACTCATCCTCGCTTCGGTGGGGTCGTCCCTAGGTATAATTTTTTTTTGAGCGGAACCCTAATTCTTTTTCTAAAATATAAGTAGCCTATGTTACTCCCTATAACATCAACTATCTTCCAGTGAAAGTCCCGTCCAAATCAGTCCAGCTGTCTCAGAGATTATCCGGAACAAACAGACAGACACAAAAAAAAATATGTGTTTTCTTATAAATTCCATATATGATTTTATATGCATTTAGAAAAACCCTGTTATTTTACCTACCTCCTAAATATGAAAAATAATGTATTAGGGAATTATCATGTATTGGGACTATTACTAGACAGCCTGGCAAAGTTCTTTGATATTGATAATAGCAGTTGGATGAATTTGATTTTTTGTCTTAGGCCAGAAAAATAAATTAATAAAACGCAAATCGATTGTTGAGGATTATAATAATGACATCCTTGACTCACAGCGACTGTATCTCACAAGACATAATAGATAATGCATTGTCTCACAGAAAATTTGCCTTGTAAGGCATAATAATTAAGCTTTTATATTCTTTTCTCGCCTCTCAAAGGGTTTACTCAGTATGTGTATAAAACGCAAGTTTTCTTATAGCCCAAGTAAAGAACTTGTTTAAAACCCAAATGTTTTTAAGAAAAAACCCCAGGTGCAGTTTTTTTACTGTACTACTCACTCAAGAATATCTTTATTTTATTTGATTTTTAAAATCATGTCTTTATGTTCAAAAATTTTTTTGTTCTGTTTTTCTAAACTCAAAACTTACTAAAACAAATATATTACTAGATGAAGAAGTTAATAGTTTATACAATCTTACGAAATCAGTAATTCGAAAATCATTAAGGAACGAAAACAAACATACAAAAACTTGAAAAAAATAAAAATTCTAACATAATTGAATGTCTCACGCTTTGCAGATTATATCACCACACAATCACTTGCCTCCCCGTATATCCCAACGAGTTAGACATCGACTCGGAAAGTGAAACGGACCCGTTATGGCTACAACAAAAAACCATGATGATGATCGATGAATTCACAGATGTAAATGAAGGCGAGAAGGAGTTAATGAAAATGTGGAATTTGCATGTCATGAAATACAATTATGTGGGCGATTGTCAGATACCATTGGCCTGCCAAATGTTCTTGCAAATGAAAGGAAAGGAACTCCTCGAGAAGAATTTGTATAGAAACTTTATTCTTCACATGTGTTCGTTACACGACTTCGGACTACTCAGTCCGGTAGCGTTGTACCAGACCATGCAAATGCTCAACCAAATGCTGGCAGATAATGCCGAAGCCAAAGAAAAAATGCGTGACTCGTTGAGAGCGCAACGCGAACATTGGAACACTATAGGGAAATATCAACAACCTGTGATCATAGAACAAAAGCCCCCGACGACTACGGCTAAACTAAACAACGTTGAGGCCTCACCGTCCGTACGACGGAAAACTTCGAATTTACAAAACGCAAACAGAATGGCGAGCAACTTCAACAAATCATCTAGCCCCGGTCCTAGTAATGAAAACAAAAGGAAAATGTCGTCGGGAAGCATTCAGAGTCGGAAACGGTCGTCCATATCGGAACGGAAAAGCTCTGTATAGCGAATATTCAGTATTTAATCGGTTCAAAGACTGGTCTCCATGAGGCTCCCTGGTTTCCAGGACATCTCAGGCCGTTATGAGACCTCGTCAACGGCGCCATATCACAAGATATTGTCACGTGACTAGTTAATTATTTCGGTACTGCCCATTGTATAAGTTTTAAATAGTTGTCCTCCATTAAATGGACGGCATTAGTTAAGTTTACTAAATTATGATAAATTTCTTTCGCCGATACTGGATCTCTTCTTGTTTTGTGTTTCATTTACATAAGGTTATACACTATACTCTTCCGTAGCATAATGACTTCTATCAATAGACTGATTGAAAGTAAAGACTACATGATGAACAAACGCGAATTATAACTTAACTGTTCAAATACAAAATATATAGTCTCTATAAGACAATACAGTAATATGTTTAAATGTTACACAACAATCGCTTATAAAATAAAACTATTTCCCAGTAGAAAGCTGACATTAGCATTATCAACACGAGCGACGTCGCATAGTATAGGAAACATTAGTTCTGTGATAATGACAGTTGAAATCAATTCAGGTAATAAAGAAAGTGTATGTATGTATGTACGGAAATGTATACAAAAATAATTTAAATTGGAAATGTTTTTATTTCATTGAAACTTTGCAATTCTTATTATGAAAAAAAAATGATTCTGGGGGGCACATTTTATGTAGTCATTTTAGAATTTTTCATATGCATCTTATATAGATTGTAATGATTATTTTTAATCGTTATGAAATATAATAATTACCCAATTTTCAGAGCTCTTCCTTAAATGAGTTTGTTCTATCGATAAAGAAAAAATAGATACACAATCCCATACAAAAGTTCTCTTAAACCTGTCATTAATTCTGTTTAGATAATTCTAGTGGAAATAAATATATAATAATGTAAATTCAACCTTAAAAGCAATACTTAAAGTTGTTTTCACAAAGCTATGTATAAAAAGCAAAAAAAAATTACGACCCAGACTCGCTGATTTGAGGACATTTTTTTGTCGCTGATTGTGTATCTAATTCCTTTTAGTGATCGATGCTTGGTTAATTTCATAGCTAGTAATAGTTCAATAGCAATAATAAAATTATTTAAAATTAATAAAACAAAATGTGCGGTACATTAATTGAAAAGGATTCGTTAAATACAGATAGCTTATTGAATGTTGGAAATGGTTAGTGTCAAATAATAATTGTTCAAATAACTGGATTCAATGCACTTTTGCATAGCGACTTTAAAGACTGCAAAGTTTTATTGCCTTAATATATCCTCAATTGTACTCGAGTGAATGACATGACATGACTGTTATTAGTAGCGATGGGCGAATGTGAATGACTCAAATGAATGGAATACACAATTGAATGATTTTTATTGTTTTAATATTACAACTGGCTTGCCTATAGTGATAGATAGTGAGTTCTTAGATATTAAATGATATTACCGTTTTATTAATAATCGATTGGCGTTACTTGTCGATATTATAATCGAATGAGCTCTGTCGTTCATATTCGCCCATCACTAGTTGCGAGCAACATTTATGCAATAGTATTAGTTGTGTGTTTATGTTAATTGTTTAATGTATTTCCATATTGCAATGATCAATTGATACTATTTTGTTATTTTTGTAACATTGAGTAATTTCTGTAATGATTTGTACTTATGAAATGAAATATAATTATTATTTTCAATAAATATTTGTTTTATTTTATTTGACATTAGCTGTTAAATGTTCACCGACTTCGTATGGTTGATAGTCTTGTGTTTTAATATATTTTTAGTGTTATGTGTCTAAAGTGATGACTTTTTTTAAATTTCTAATATTAAAATAGGATTTTTTTCATCATTTTATCGGGAACTTTTCTTAAATAAAATGTAGTTTTTCTTAAAAAAATGTACAGATGCATTAAATACGCTATACAATATTTATAGCTAAATAAATATATATAAAAAATAGGCATTATTTTAACGAATTTAATGGCATTATTTTTACGAAACGAATTTATTTATAACAGTAAGCAATATAACAACAAAATCTAAGGTACGTACTAAGAAAAACCCATAAGTTAATAATCGATGTCGTAGTATTGTAAATTTAAATAAACTAAACTTTGATAAAAGTAAATGTGCTAACTACGAGTTTAAGCAACTTGAAAAATGAAGGCTTCATAATAACGTTCAACACGTGACAGTCAAAATAAGAATAAACAAATATCAAAGACAATAAAAACAAAACTAAATGCTATTTGACAAGGATCACTAACTAAAATTCATTGTTTAAATATGTCAAATTCGAAGAATGCTAACAAAATAACGGATAAAAGTAGATTAGACTCCCAAAATATTAATGATAATGAAGACAGAGGTAAGAATAGCACAACCATTACGTATTTGGACGCATTACTTATAAATTACAAATTATCCTGCCATATGTACCTATTAAATAATTAATTCTTTTAGGTGAAATGAATTGTGCTCCAAATGAAGGGTACACTTACGCCGGTAAGTTACATTTATCCTATTACTTTTATACTACTTTATTTACATGTTTTATCTTAATATTTTGACTTTTCAGTAACTGTGTCAAAGAAATTATCGCATTCAGGTGAAGAATCGAACCCGTGTTCCGGCCAAAAATCCTTTATCAGTATCCACTCGACTGACCAGCTCTGTCAAGTAGCAGACATAGATAACCCAGCTAACCTTGAAGAATGTAACGTCGAAGTTCTAAGCTTAAATGAAGTTTTTCCATCAACTTCGGAAGAAAGTGTTTCAAATGACGAATCGCCTGTTCGTAGAAAGGGACACGCTAAGAAGGGATCGGCAAAATTGGAGAATACAGTTAAATCTGCTTACATGCCTTCCAATAGTAAATCATCTACAACATCAGGTCGTCAAGAAGAGCCAATGGAAGCTCAAGCCTCTGTTCATTCAGAATTTAACATACCGAAAAATACATTGTATGTAACAGGCAGTAACCCCGGGGAGCCCAAAATGTCTTACCATGATCCACCTAAGAAAATGTCGAAGACCGTAAGCTATTTAATATTTATTATATTAATAAGTAGCTTTTTTAAGGATATATTGTTTTAAATCTTTTTCATGTTCTCTTTGGTACAGTGGTAAGTCTGCATTCCATTCTTTATTTTCTGTGAGTTCTAGAAAATATACTTTCATGTTCAGTAAATAAAATGAATATATTCACCGTACGTGCAGGCGCGGATCCAGAGTTAAATTTTGGGGGGGAGGGTCATAGGCTTAGCAAAATCTAACTAGGCGCGGATCTAGTTTTCTATTTTTGGGGCTATGGCTTTAAAACTTTAGTATCGATAATAATGTTTATTTTAATAAGATTTTCCAAAAAATCTTTAATGTACAGATTCGACTTAGTTACAATTTTATTATATTAATATAGATTTCTGCAAAAACTTTTTGATATTCATGAAACTAGGGGAATATAATCTTCAAAATACATATAATAACAATTTTTTTAAATCGATCCGTTTATTCCTTCCTTTCTTAGACTTCAAACTTCTCTAAAAAGTATATTTGGCTTTGAGGGGTCATGACCCCCATGACCCCCCCCCCCCCTGGATCCACGCTTGCGTACGTGCGGAAACGAACCCGCGTCCTCTGATTTGTGTTTAGTTATGCAATTAGCCTATGTCCCACTGAGCCATGACAGACATTCTATACCATAATATCAAATACATCTTTGTCACGTACATAGAATGTAAAAACAAAACAACCACCCGATATCAATTTTGGATTTGGAAAAATGAAATTATAGTTTGAGATGCTGACGATATCATTAAATTCATAATTTAATAATACCCAGATGAAGAAATTTCTCCGCAACATAGACAAACATAAAAATGAACATAATAAAAGCACAGAAAAGGTCATTAGCAAGTTGACAACAATGCGCAGTATTCTAAAAGATGGTCGATGCATTCTTGAATGTACCGGAGATTCTACTTTACACGACTCTGAAGATTATAACACAGGTAAGATATATAAAAGTACAAGAACATACAAAAATATAATTTAATTAATTTACCAGCAATAAAACCAAGATATTATTAGATGCAACTTACGCCGATCTATCTAATGTTGATAGTAGATGCTGTTTAAACTTTAAACCTTCATGTGCAAGCTCACAACAACTTGCTAAGGTTTCGTCCCAATCGAAACACCTACACTGTAAGGATTTCGAAAACAAATATTATATTTAGTTTTATTGCTAGATTTGATTATATTTTATAAAAATAATGTAATATTTTTCCAATTCTACACTAGGTGATCTAACTTTACCATATGCAATGAGTTTTGAACCACAAATGAGTTATACCAAACAAACTCCTGACAAAAATGTGTCATTCAATACACAAGTAGTAATAATTCACTTCACCGGCGATCTCTGCGTGGGGCAAAGCATCGAAACACTTAGCAAAGAGAAAGATCAACAAGCGAGAAATTCTGAACTACGAAAAACTTTTCTGACCAAGTATAATGAACTTTGGCCCACCCAAAAATAAATCTGATACTATTTTATCACCTGTTGAAGAGAACACTAGCAAACTATAATGTGTGGATGAGCTATTGGAAAATATTGTTAATTTATTTACTTTATTATGTACCTACGTCGAAATTATGATAGCGTTTTGTCAATGTTTATTTATTATACAATTTAGGGTCATAAAGCATTTCATACATAACGTCTTAATTATTTTGTTAAATCTTTTTATTTTTAAGTCGTGATAAATTAAACTTCAAACCATCTATACATATAATAAAATTCTAACTAAGCCGAATCTGTACATTAAATATTTTTTGGAAAATCTTACTAAAATAGACATTATTATCGATACAGAGGCCGAATCTATTGTTTTTAGAATTTTTGTGTCTGTCTGTGACCGCATCACGAAAAAACCAATGAAGGGATTTTGATGAAATTTGGTATGATGATAGCTGGTTATCTGGGTCAACATATAGGATACTTTTAAGCGCGGGAAAATATCTCATCTCTGAGAAATCTATAATAAACGTTAAAACGTAAGGAGGGACGAACCCGAGCGGAGCGAGGGTGAGTCGCTAGTTACTAATATATTATTTAGTAGCGATTTTCTGTCGTTCTCGTGCGTCCCTATAGGTACGATTTAAATATAATTAGTTATGGCGAGTGTACCTTAGGAGGTAGACTCATGCTTGGTATTGAGGAATTTTCTGTAGGCCTTATATATTAAAGCTAACATCAAACATGTTTATACATATAAATTTCTAAGGATGACTCGAACTAGTTGTTGTGTTTTCCCGTGGAAACGAAAGATATTCCTGTAGTAAAAAGCATACCAAATGTTGACTTGAGTAATAAGTTATCACTACACACAAAATTTAGTCAAAATCGGTTCAGTGCTTCTTCAGCAGTGAAACGCACACAGACATACAGACAAACATTAATAACTATTATTTTGGGGTCTATATACTGCACACTGTTTTGTTATATGTAAAGATTAAAGTGCAATAAGGCAGTGGCAGGCTAGTGGTAACGCGCTCGCTTGGGAAACCGAGTGAAGCGAGATCAAATCCAGGGTCTCGCACCTCTGATATTTTCATGTGCGAATCATTTCCAACATGATTACCACTTGTCTTAACGGTGAAGGAAAAAATCGCGAGGAAACCTGCATGTCTGAGAGAACCTAGCAAGTTTTCAAAAGACATGTGGAATTCGTCACCTTGCACTTGGCCAGCGTGGTAGACTATTAGTAGATTCCCCTAGTACTGAAGGAAGGCCCGTGTCTAGCACTGGGATGTTAAAAAGGGCTGAATACATACATAGATACAACATGGTTAATAAGAAAAATATGATTTATTTCGACACTCTTTAATCGTTAGTAAAACTATCTACTTAGTAATCTATTATCACCCAATAGAATTATTTAATATTTTTTTCTGTAAGATATACGAATAAATCTATTTTATATCGTGTAAACCAAACCTGTTACTAGCTGATAATATGTACTATACAGGTAATTTTTTGATACTTTTAAATTATTTATCAGTTTCTAGTATTTGACTTTGACCTACACGCTTAACTGTTTTTGACTCCCATCACTCAAATGGCTTTATTTATGAGGATCCTATTTTTGTACAAATTTCAATGGAACTTAAGATAATCTGAATTAAAAATAACTAAGATTAAAATTAGTTTCGTACGAGAATCACCTGATAAGGACTAAATAGAGCTCTATTTTCTACGCGCTTCTATTTAAAGCAGTCAAGTTTATTTAGGTATATGTTATTGGTTATCCACGAATATTTATAGTTCTTGTCTAAATATTCGTATATGTAATATTTCTGTATTATGTAATAACAATAATATATTATTTAATTAAAATGGCCACTTATTTGTAAAATATATTTATTGTCTTTTATTTATCACATTTATTTCAACTCTGTTTCGAAGTTATTTTCCAAAACACGAGTTCCTTAACACGATCATACGTAAAATATTTGGGGAAATCGAGAGGTAGTTGTTCCACAGTCCAGTTCGAATGTATTTTTACTTTGTTAAGTAAAGTGAGGAATGTTTCGTAGCATGGCGCCACCGAGTCCATGTGTTCTATTGTGAACACATAACGTTTTTCTAACACTATATATAAAGTTTTAGGTGGATTCGTATTTAGAATCTTTTCTATCGTCGCAATAAATGCTGCTGTCACATCATCGTCATATATTACTAAAACAAAAAAAGTTGAATTATATTTCATAATTGGAATCCAATAAAAACAAGAACTCTTTAATAAATAAATTACTTAACTTTAAAAATAATTATTTATTCAATTCAATTATTCTTGTTAATGGCTTCAAATCATGGCAGTTGAGCACAGATTACTTCGCCAATGTCACATAGAATGGAGAAGACACGAAGAAGACTGAGGAGGAAGGAAAATATGAAAAAAATAAATAAACAATACTCACCATCGGCAGCTATGATAATATCGGTTTGTTTTATTTCTCTCAACAATGACTCACTCCAGTCTAAGTTGGTAAAATCTAGTGGCATTACTTTAAATTGGGATTTAATTAATTTTGAATTGTACTTGGTATTTAATTTGATCAAGTCTAATATACCCCCTAAATCTATATCTGAAATAGATGTATAAAAATACATTATATAATACTAACAGAACCCGCGGCTTCGCTCTAACTACAAAAATAACTCTAAAATGGTAGGTTTCATACAAAGTTGATCCGCTATTTTGACCCCTTATGGGATGAATTTCGATATTTATATTATATTATTTTTTTTATTTTATTTATTTATATTATATTTTTTTGGATTGTATTATTATCCTGCTTTCCCGCGGGAAAGAGGTAATCCTCCCGTCCCGCGGTAAAAAGTTGCCTATGTCACTCTGCAGTGATCCAACTATCTCCACACAAAAAATCACGCCAATCCGTCACTTCGTTTCGACGTGAAAGAAGGACAAACAAACACACTTTCTCATTTATAATATTAGTATGGACTTTAATAGGGAATATACGCGATTTTTTTATTTTTTATACAGTAAATTACATCGCTATACACGATGTCCCAGAAAGTAGTATCAAGCAGAAGTCCAGAGATAGAGCACCCCTTCGGGTACCCGAATCACTCCCATGTATGTTTTACGATTGTTCATAGTTTTTGAGTTATGAATTTTTTTCTGAATTTTTTGAGTATTTTGATACAACTTAAAAAAATTCTAAAAAAAGTAGAAGACTTTTTCGAGATTTTATTTTTGCAACTGAATCTTTATGAGTTGTACTTTTATGCTTAAAATAATCAGCTTGATAACTTTGATGAAAATTATGAAAATGTTGGTGTAAAGTGAAAAATTTACGTTTGGTGAATTATGACTTAAATTGTCAACTTTAAATTAAAAATTTAAATAGGTGACTTCATGATTCCTAAGTAGGTCTCGAAAGTTTTCCAGGCTCTCAACTTTCATAATCATTAAAAAAGTAGTAAAAGGCTTCTTTGGCTAAAATCGGCCTTCAAAGATAGGGATGTAGAAAATACTTAAAATTAGCCATCTGATTACAAATATATTTTTTGCCATTTTATCGTTTCTAAGGTTAATTCCTTTGTTAACTAACCAAAAATGACTGCAGGAAATCTAAGATTTAAACATTTGGAGTTATTTAAATGTTTAATTTAAGTTTGAAAATATTAATAAGTAGTTTAAAAATTCTCAAAAGTTCAGAACAAAATTCATAACTCAAAAACTAACAAAAAATTAACAAAAAAACATATATGGGAGTGATTCCGGTACCCGAAGGGCTGCTCTATCTCTGGACTTCCGCTTGACACTACTTTCTGGGACATGCAGCTGTATAATTGTAAAAAAAATATCCAGCTCCGAAAAATTAATATTTAGTATACTTTCTTTAAATATCATACCGATACGGATAATTTAAATACCCGCCAGTTTAGCGCGCTTGACGTGACGTCATAGTCTATAATAACAGCCAGTGTTATAAATTTAGCGGCTTTGTTGCTAAAATTGACACTTTTTAATAATTATTTCCTTAACCAAAAAGAAATTACATTACAAAATATTCATATAAGCTTAATTTAAAAGCGATTAAAAAATATATATTTCACCTTTATTTAATCACACTCATATTGCCTATTTTCAAAATGAAATTAATAGCATATGGGTTCATTATTGCGAAAATGATACAATACATTATACATCTATACTTACATATAATAAAATTGTAACTAAGTCGAATCTGTACAATAAATATTTTTTGGAAAATTTTATTGAAATAAACATTATCTACTATACAGAGGCCGAATCTATAGTTTTTAGAATATTTGTCTGTCTGTCTGTCTGTTACCGCATCACAGAAAAGTTACTGGAGGGATTTTGATGATATTTGGTATGGTGGTAGCTGGTTATCCGGGTCAACATATAGGATACTTTTTATCGCGGGAAAATGTCTCATTTCTGAGAAAAAATACAAAAACTACAATGTAACAATATTCTAATATGTAAAAGCTAAGCATTTGGTTTTTGGTCATCTGAACGCGGGCGGAACCTCGGGCAATGCTAGTTTATGTCATAATATGGACGTTCTTGCATTTTTATATCATTATTTATGATATTAAAAAAACGACGCCGAATTTTGAGCCGTTTCTGTTTTAAGAAATAAAAAACACCGAAAGTGTTTGATACTTCTTGATGGTTTAACGGCTCAACAGATTTAAGGTTTTGGATAAAAACATAGAGAACTTTTGTAGCCTGTCACATGAAGAAAATCGTGGGTGCAAAACTAATAAAAATTATGGATCTTTCATTATACTGTGTATAAGATTTGAATTCAACTTCGTTTTCGTTTAGCAAAATCGCACTTCCATTCTCTTTTGGCCATATAAGCAATAAAATTAAAAAGGAATACATATACCTGTGCACACAACTTTTTTGGCATACATAGCAGCTACAAAACTTGTTAATCCAGTGCCAGCACCAAGTTCCAAAACAGTTTTACCAGTCAGTTGGCCAGTGCGCCCAATATGTATGAGTAAATCACCTAATAAAAATGCTCCCCTCCATACCTGTAGACCAACTAGTGATATTTTGGTCTTGGAACTATGTTCTGAAAATAAACAAGAATAATATTTTAAAGTTTATTATTTATGTAACATATTACTACATGAAGATCTAAGTTGATGTTTCTTTACATTTCTTTTTACCAAGTCACTAAAAATTAAATAGTCTTCAGTACCAAACATATGTACATACCTAAATATTTTCTTTTTTACTTTCTTTGAGCTAAATCGATCTAAGCTCTTTTTATTCAACTGGTCTTTATTTTTACTTCCCAAGTACACTTTCTTTTACTTGACACTGTCCACCTACCTTAATATTATATGTGACTAATCTAAAATGTCCATTCAACTCACCTTCTGACAAAAATTCTTAGGTTGCTTCAAACTTACTATATAATTATTATGTTAGTAAAAAATGTTTAATAAGTTACCTACTAATTTGTTATTAAAGTAAAAACAGTATATTTACCTATTTTAATAATTTCTTTTTGGGGTCTCACAATATTTAAATCGTGATCTTCATCAAATTTAACTATATTTGTTCCTTTAGGTAGTAAAAATGGAAATTCAGATATGACATCTAAAAGAGGAAGTGGTTATAAATAAATGACAGGCACATAAGTATAATTCACTTTACAGCAGAAATTTAATCAAGCTTTGAACATATAACAAATGTATATAAATATATAAATATAGTAACAAATGTATTTCTCTCCACAAAACTTCAATTGCAGCTCTTTATTGACTAGAAACATAAAACGTAATGTAAGAAGTGTCATCATCATATGTTGTATAATATATAATATCAATTAGATAAATTATAAAGAATATTTGTAATATAAAAAGCAACTCACTTCCTTCTTTGCTAGGTGTTCTTTGTGTCTTGTAGTCATACTCTGTATAGATTTCAGATGTTACAGTATATTCAGGCATCTATAACAATTTGTTAATAAATATTTAATACTATGCAAAAAGATATAAAATTCACAAGTTAATTATTATATTTAATTCAAATTAAATAATAAAACTAACTTTATCGGCCCAGAAACTTTATCTATGAAGAATATATTGCAACTGGACTTCGAAGTGATTGAGAATAAAAATTGGATAGTTTCCAAATTTTAAAATTCTAAAATAAATTGTTTGATCTGCTAGCATAATGGCTAGTAAAAGTAATGTGGTGTTTCGAGCATGACGTCCAAACCTTGAAATATATAATTTCTTCGTAATAATAATATGTCTATTTTTAATTATAATTCTTCTAGTGTTATAAATATTTTTATGATAAGTTTATTATAAAAAGAAATTCTTTAAAATAAACTGAGAAACATACGCAATAATTACTAAAGTTAAATATTACCTTCACATGAGATTACATGAACATTTTCTAAATTTTCTGTCTATTGATATTTTTAATTTATAGATTTCGTATTACTTATTATTAATTGTAAGATAAGACTATATTATGTATGCACATCTTCAACAATCTCGGGCTATATCATTTATCACAATGAAATATAATCTTAAAGAAATGTTTATCGGTAAATTTAAATGAATATTGAATAGAATATCAACTTAAAAGAAATTAAATCACCTGTTTTTTTAACAAATGTCATTGTCAAGTGATAATAGAATTATTGACAAATATACAGTACTGCCAACGTTCAGTAAGAACTGGTATATCGACTTAATATTTATTTTGTATAAAATTTAAATACAGCAATTATTCATATAAATATATGTAGTTAAGTGATTTATAGTAGCTACATGATATTATTATTTGATAAAATTAGTAATACATAGAAATCAAAAGTTTGTTTTTATTTTAGTCATGACCATGTCGAAAGTAATAAAAAAAAAACAAATCAACCAATCACCGCCAAACACACGATCGACGCTGCCACGTCAAGTAAGAGTGTCCAAGTGTGAATGAAGTGGCAATTTCAGCGTTTTGTTAGGGTTCGTCTTCCGAGTTGAATTATTAGTTGTAATAAGACCACCGGAATTTGAAGATGCGTGTTTTAGTTTTTTCGGTAGCGATAGCCCTTCTGGGTGCCGCGCTCGGAGATGATATTCCTACGGAAGATAATGTGCTTGTACTCACCAAAGCTAATTTTGATTCTGTTGTTTCCTCTACGGACTTCGTTTTAGTAGAATTCTGTAAGTTCAATTATTATTTTTTCATTTATATGCTTCATAAGTTAGTATTTTAAAGAGGCAATGTTTTAAAATATATACTCCTTTTTCGTTACTGTATCGATATTGCATTTAAATACGCCGGGCGGCATTCTTATATTTTTATAAATATGTCTACGTCATAGATGCACCATGGTGTGGACACTGCAAATCGCTCGCACCGGAGTATGCCAAGGCTGCTACAAAATTGGCAGAAGAAGAATCTCCTATTAAGTTGGCTAAAGTTGATGCAACTCAGGAACAAGACATTGCTGAATCTTACAAAGTCAAAGGTTACCCTACACTGATCTTCTTTAAGAAAGGAACCCCTATTGATTATTCTGGTAAGTACCTAATAACGTACAGAAATGATGTACTTAAAATCTTAAATTACAATTTAATTTTGTCTTTGTGTGGGTCCTAAATTAATCACATGGTTCACATGAAAGTATGTTTTGTAGAATTCTGACTTCATAGTTATTGTTAACCTCTACTTCTATTTAAGTTAAGACTCAAAGTAATATTTAAATTTTTGTAATATTTTTTTTTTTATAAAAAGTAACTAAATGTGTACTGATAATTTACAAATTTCATAGTAATCATAGAACCTTATCAGTTTTAGAGTAACTGGTTAATTTGCCAGTTATTATATAATTACATATTAATTACTACATATAATAGATGTTTAAATTTTACTGATAAGCTAATGTAAATTTGTGGATTCAAAAGTACATTCATATCTTCTCTCTTTTCATTGGTTCATTGATTAGTTCTTCCTTTTATTTATCTATTTATTAGTTTAGCTTTTTTTCATGTACTATCTAAGCAACAAATTTAGGTCATCAGATGTATGGATTTTTTTTTCCTCGTAAATTGTTTTTTAAATGCTTAGTTATTTATAGAAAAGGGCCGAAAATCGTTTAACATTCGGTTCAACCGAATTTTCGCAGTTTGAGCCGAACTTCGGCACTCGTCGGAAATTCACTCGAAAAAAAAATCCTACTGGCACTATTTTTACTGAAATTAATATAAAGCATGTCTGTCATAACGGTTAAATAAAATTAAGTATTTTATATACATATCTTGGTCATTTATTTTAGTTAGGAACATGTAAAATTTATTTCATATGCCATAAAAAATTAAATTAAATTAGTTCTTAAACAAAAGTTAATTTAAGTCTTAAAAATCTTTGCTTAATTAAATAGATAGAACGAAATAAACTTAGTATTCTTCTAATAAATATCATAATTACAATGCGTATATTGAATTAAAAAAATCACGTTTATGTTGTTCACAAACTGAACACTCTGAAACATAAGTACCTATTTTTAATTATTAAAGGTGTTATCAACAATCAAATTTAACAATCTCTTCTTATCTATTTACTCATATTTAAAATTTACTACAGGCAGGTTATGATATAAAAACACCAAATACTGCTTTAATTGCCAGAGTTCTATTACGATTTTGTTTGTATATGTATCCTGCCTCTTAAAAGAGTCGAAATTGAATCGAAGTTCGGTCGAATTTATTATTCTCACTGAATATTTGGCCGAAATTTGTATTCGGTTCAAGCCAACTTCAGCCCATCTCTGGTTATTAATGAATATATGAATCAATTAATATATGAAGTATGTAGACAAAGATTGCAATAGTTTCACTATCTTTAAAAGGTGGCCGCCAAGCTGATGATATTATAGCATGGTTGAAGAAGAAGACTGGCCCTCCTGCTGCTGAAGTCACTTCTGCTGAACAAGCCAAGGAGCTCATTGCTGCTAACAATGTCATTGTATTTGGTTTCTTCCCCGATCAAGATTCAGAGAAAGCTAAGGCTTTCTTAAATACTGCTGGATTAGTTGATGATCAAGTATTCGCTATTGTATCTGATGAAAAAGTAATTGAAGAACTCGAAGCCAAGGCAGAAGATGTTGTTCTATACAAAAACGTAAGTGTTTAATATTAATATAGGCTTTATCTCTAGTCTACTATTATGACTCATAAGCCTCTACAGGTTCTTGTACATTAAATTTTAATCTTAAAAAAACTTTACTTGACAACAAAATGATAATATAATTTATTTATGAACTGAAACTTATTTGCAATTAGAACAAGTAATGATGTATTTTATCAGTTTTTTAAGTAATTAAAACTTTTTATACCTGACAATGATGCAATTGATGATTGTAAAATTTATGTATATTGCTATACATTTTAATGCATTATATGCCAATATGTTGAGTCTGTGTTCATATGCTATTGTTATAGCTCACTCCTACAGTGTAATAATTTTAACTGGTTATTTTTTAAATATTTTAGTTTAATACATTACATTAACTATACAGATAAATAAAATTTAAAGTGTCTGTTTGTAATGTCAAAATAACAGCTTTTTACTAAATGAATATGAAATTATATATGGTACTTATAATTTTCTTATGAAAAGCACTTTTTTTTTAAATGTCTGTCTATTTATTCCGGCTAATATCCGAAACGGCTGGACTGATTTTGACGGCCCTTTCACTGGTAGATAGCTGATGTTATAAGGAGTAATTTAGGCTACTTTTATTTTAAAAAAAGAAAGTCTAGTAAGTATAACATGAAAATGTGATTTTTATGTTTAGAGAATGAAGATTTTACTTATTCATAGCTCTAATTTTTTATAACAGTTTGAAGATCCACGTAACAAGTTTGAAGGAGAAGAGTTCAATGAAGATTCTCTCAAGGCCTGGGTGTTCGTTCAGAGTATGCCAACCATTGTGGAATTCTCCCACGAGACCGCTTCAAAGATCTTCGGTGGTCAGATCAAATACCACCTGCTTTTGTTCCTGTCCAAGGTGAGTTGAAATTTGTATAATACTAATAATATTTATTTATTTATTTACTTCTTTTTACACATTGTATCAATTCAATGATCACTTGTGTACGTCAATTAGAAGACTTAAACTAAAGCTACGAGGGTTCGTAACGCGCCCTGGTCTGAGAAGAACCCACAAGAAACTCAGCCAAGTAACATTTTTTATTGTGATCATTGTTTCACAAACATCCTTACTTCAGTATAAAGAGCAATTCATTCCCAAGCTTTTTTATCACTTAAATAATCCTTTACATTATAATAGGATTTATTTATTAATTGTCTTTTAATGTAAATTTTAAATTTATTTATTGACAGTTTTAAAGTATCATCTGGTAGTTTATTGTAAAAGCGAATACTATTACCAATAAAGGAATTACCAATTTTATGGAGCCTAGTGGTGGGCTGAACTAGCTTATTTTTGTTTTTGTTTCTAGTGTTAATAATAATATTTATTGCAAAGGTGTACACAAAATTTACAATATAATAACATATATGTAGTTATCACAAATCAATTTTTATATATATTTAATTAAAGTATATACATATATTTAATTTTAAATTTTCTCATATTTTTTTCTAAAATATTGAATCGAAATATAGCTAGTGTTAAAATATATATTTTTCCATTTACCTATACATATGAATATATGTAATAATAATAATTTACTGTTACACTTGATCAATCACTGTAGGTTTATTATGCCGGTTTGTGCAACGGTAAATTACGTACTCAGTCACGAGTGCCGGTATAATGATGTGATACGGATAAAGATCGATCATTTGACTGCTAAGTGAATATTTTTTTCAATACTTTATTTGTAGACAATTTAATTTTTTTAAGAATTTTGTTTTTATCATATCCATATATATTTTTTATTAATTATTGTGTCATGTCCTAAAATCGATTTGATTCTGGGGTTTAAACGTAAAAAAGGTTATATAGACAGACGGACATTACATTCACATTTACAGCATTAGTATCAATGTTAATGTATATAATTGAAATTTTGTAAAATATTCCTTGACATACCATAAAGCTCGTCTCAAGGTATTTAAATTGAGAAATCTTCTAGTGCATGAGACGCTTAAAACCACATAGTATAGGTCACAATAGAGCTCTCACGTTCGTGAAAGTATACTCAGTACTCACTTTTACTTTAAGATCTAGTCGGATCACTTCATGCGTCGACATAGATATCTGAGCTTTCGATTGTAGGTCAGCTTACACAGTTATCTTATACACATTACGGTATTGATTAATTATTATAATAGAAAGTTTCATATGTTTTGTCTATATTTAAAAATTAATACAATTTAACTGACTTTCTCATTCTTTATTAATACTTTTTGGTCTGATATTCATACTATTTTATATTATTTATTTTCAATAATGCCAACGTTAGGTTTTAATTTGCAGCTTCCATTTATAGATAACAAGGTAGTCGAACCCAGGTACAATGAACTCTGATGAATGTTTTGTTTAAAGTAAAAGAAGCTTTATGGTTAACTTTTTAAAGCTTTCTTTACATTCTGAATATATATTTATTTTTTGTGAAACAATGATAAAAGTTGTATAATAACAAAATTTTTATGTATTAATTTTTATTATTTGAAGTTTTAGAACATTCCAAAGTTAATTTTACTATGACTAGACGATTTCAGATAAGAATTTTTAGAACTACTAGTATAGAACATGTTTTCTTAAGATTTTTTTTGTTATATAAATAAATAGAAGGTATGCATATGAAGAAACAGAAGCGAAATATAATTCAATGTTACCCACTATTATATCACTATATTTTGTATTTAAAAATATTTTTTATATTGTTTGTATAGAAAAATGGCGATTTCGAGAAGTACCTCGATGATCTGAAACCCGTTGCCAAGAACTACCGCGACAAGATCATGTTCGTCGCCATCGACACTGATGAAGATGATCACCAGAGGTAAAAAGCTTTTATATTTTACTATGTAAAAAAAAATATTTTAATTTTTTATTTTATTTGAAAGTAACATTTTTTATCTTTTAACTTTTTGCTCAATTTTCTTATAATTTGTACTTTTAAGTAGCACAAAATATATTATATAGAAAGTTTTAATGATATTATTATTTTAATGATATTATGTATATGCAAATTTTTTTTTGCTAAATAAAATAAATAAATATTTAATAATAATTAAAAACTGTAGAAATAGATGTATAATATATATGCTTATAATTTTAATAAGTTTCTGTATGCTTGCATTCTTCTGATAAAAATAATCTTATTTCACTTAACATTTATCAAAATTACACGAATCAATACTAAAGGTTCGATGTTTTAATAGAATCCTGGAGTTCTTCGGCATGAAGAAGGATGAGGTGCCCTCCGCCCGTCTCATTGCTCTGGAACAGGACATGGCTAAGTACAAGCCTACAAGCGATGAGCTCAGTGCTAACTCTATTGAGGTATGTTGATATTTATTATTTATTGATTGTGACCGACTTTAAAAAAGGAGGTAATCATTACTATAGCATCAAAACATACACACACACACACACACACAACAAAATATATAATGCTATTTATTCTTTATTCACCAATTGTGAACAGATTTTAATGATTCTTTTTTTATATTAAATACATACCTTTACCTTAGGGTGGTTTCAAGTAAAATCTATTTTTAGCTCAAAATTAATATACATACAATTTATAATTATTGACCTGATTTTGGGTACCTCTTTAGACTAGACGTTAGAACGTAAAAGGAATCATTACTTACAGGATAACTTTTAAAATTTTCGCGTTTCATAATTATATAACTACGAACGAACACTACGAGACTTAAAAGTAATTATAATAATTATTATATAACTATATTATGGCACGCGAAAATTTAAAAATTTATATTGTAAACCGGTACGGGCCGGAGTTAACATCAAACATTCGACAGCTAGAATTATATTATTACTTACAGAAATAAAAGTAGACTTGGTGAATCCTCATCTCTTTATGTGTCTAGAAAATTAAAAAAAAAAACGTTGTCTGGTATCTTTTATATATTCAATTATTGAATACATATTACATACCTACAAACAATAATTGATCTTACATTGATCTATAGTCATGAAATTGCATATTAAGGTGTGTCATTGTTGTCAGTGTGACATCATGTTTCAGTAGAAATGTTATATATCTCTTTATTCTCTTATGGCGTCTAAAACTGATTCTTTTTAGTATTATTTCAATAAATTGTCATATTTCATACTTGTATTTAAATACAAGTATGAAATATTTAATTAAAATTAGAATTTCGAAAACAATCTTCACAACGACAAGTGATGAAATATGTATCTACCGAGTAAATTCTCTATAATTAATTAATGGTGTGACCTTTTAAGCCAAGTAATGCAAGTAATTGTCTGTTTTCACGTTATCCTTGAAGGTGTCGTCTTAAGAGTACACAGTGTAACAAATTCTAGTATAATATTAGGTATTTGTAGACACAATGAATATCTGAATGGTTAAGGGGATTACTCATGTGTCAGTCTGTGTGTCACAAACTATGCTTTCGAAATGTACAAGGACAAAGAAATTGTAATTTTGTACAAAATATATAGATTTAGGTGATCTAATGACGCGACATTTAATGTTATTAATTTATCATTTAGGAGATCATGAGACTCCGACTCACGCTTGGTCAATTTATTCCTCAAGCTACCATTTTAGCGTTATTTTTGTATAGATAGACGTTTTTCATTAAGCAACAAGCATTTGACTTAAAGTTGTTGACAAAGCAAACGCGTTATTTGCATAACTTGTAAATTATACATACATATTCATGGAAATTAGCATTACAAAAAACTAGCCTTGACTTTGACCGTTTTGTGTGTTCGAGTAGATTATTTTAAAGTGAAGAAATACGTGACGTTGTCCTCTTAGAAAAAGGTAGTGGCCAAATATTATGGGATTTTTCATATAAATATAAATAATGGGGCCATAGAGTAAGGTTTAGCAGTCATTATGACTTACTCTACTTTTACGAATCCTTTTCTTTTATTTTGTTTCATCGTTTAAGTGGTAATATTCATACAAATAACATATAGTTTATGTGAGGAGTTATATGTATATAAACAAATAAACATGTGCACGCCGTAAAATGAACGAACCTACCTTTGGATAATAAAAATTATGTTTTCTTCTTGATTGCTCAAAATGACATGGCTATAATATTTTTTTCATTCATTTGGTGATGTTACGGCAAATCACAGAAATTACAAGCTTGAGTGAGTTGATTATTATAGAGTAGTCAGTAGTGAAATTACTAGATTATTAGATAAAATGGACTAGATTGTAGGAACAAACTTCTTTATGATATGTGAAGAAATGTAGCCATATTTCAATGTTTTGTCTTGTATTACTGTTCAAGTTCAATAATATATTCCAAATTGGATAAATCCTATAAATAAAACAATATAAAATTAATCTAGAAGAAAACGCTTGCTTACACTTGGTGTTTAATAGGTAGAGCTTGAAAAAGATAAGTGTAAGAATATTAAAATAACTATATTTTAGGTTGAATTATTTATATGAGCTATATAAGAGGTTAAAACGTAATTTTTAACCAATTTGTAATTTTATTATCTTCGATGATTTATTCTTAATTTTCCTAATTCTAAGCAAAACCACACATGTGTAACTACACATGTGTGGTTTTGCTGCTGGCAATAAAATACAAATCATCAGTATTTATTTTAAAATTCGTTATTTAATTATTTGCCATCTTTTAAACATTTATGTACGTGTAAAAAGTATTCCCACTAGCAATATATGTTCGAGTGTATTACAATTGGCAACGCTGATAACAACCGCAAAGGCTTAAACAATTAGTAAATTCGTCCCGCAATTAAAAATAGAAATAACTAATTTTGTACTTTCTGTAGTGCCGTAACGAATTTAGTATTGTACTGTGAACTGTGTTGGATATCGTAAAAGTACTCGATTTGTTTTATAGAGTTATCACGGTCTTTACACACGCGTAACACGTTCTAATTAATAGTTAATAGTCGTTAAATTTACACTCATTTGGTATTGTTCAAACGTGTATTATTATATGATATTATTAATTGATTAATAATAAGTATAAAGAAAATTATGTAAGACTAGCGACTCACGCTCGCTTTGGTCGTGTTTGTCCCGGTTAATTTCCTATACAAACTTTCATCCCCATTTTCACCCCTCTTAAAGGATGATTTTCGGGATAAAAACTATACTGTGTCCTTCCCAGGGTCTCAAACTTTCTTCTTATCTTTCGTCTAAATCGGTTCTGTAGTTTCGGAACCTATTAAGTACAAACAAAAATCAAATCTTTCCTCTTTATAATATTACTATAGATTAGTATATATATTTATTTTTACAATAGGAATTCGTGCAATCCTTCTTCGCGGGTACCCTGAAACAACACCTTCTCAGCGAAGAGCTGCCCGCCGACTGGGCCGCCAACCCCGTCAAGGTGCTCGTCGCTTCTAACTTCGATGAAGTCGTCTTCGATAACACCAAGAAGGTCCTAGTGGAGTTCTACGCACCATGGTGAGTGGCCGGTTTTATTTTTGTTGTGATTATTGTATATGCTATCTGTGGTTGTTGGTACATTAAGAATACAGGCAAGGAGTCTTAATGTCCGTAAGATTTCATATGAGAAATCCGAAAAAAAATTTAGAACTATAGTTTTAGAAATTGCCACGAGTCGCGTTGATTTACGTAGTTACCAGTTGAATTTAGTTGTATGTCAGTAGCGCGAAGTTAGTGATAAAGGTAATAAAAAATAAGTGTGATTTTCCCCCTCCCTCTTGGGACATAGCGACCGCAGAACTTTCTGCGCGCCCACTATGATATTTTCAAATTTTTGAGACAATTTTTACATACAAAGATTGGCCTCTTTGCCTCTATAGTCTTTATGGCTGGTATATTGACGTTGAAAGTGGTTGTTAATTATTATCTATGACATAAAGGATTACTATTCAGATCTGGAAATGAAATATAAAATATTTAAATTGATTTCGCGCTATTTTTAAATGACTTAAGGCGATGCCAAATATTGGTAACTAGCGACTCACCCTTAGGTTGCTTCCCAATACAAACTTTCATCCCTATTTTCACCCCCTCCAAGGATGATTTCCGGGATAAAAACTATCGCATGTCCCGTAGGTCCCGCAGTTTTCGTACAATCTTCTTACCAAATTTTATCTTAATCGGTTCTGTAGTTTCGGAGCCTATTCGGTACAAACAAAAAAATATTTCCTCTTTATAATATTAGGATAGAAATATAAAATTAGATATACCATTTGGATTTTTTTTGATCGATGTGCTAACCGATGTTTACATAAATTAATAATTTAAGAATATTAAAGGTCACTTGTTGTTCCAGATCATTTAAATAATATGATTAAAATATTTATAATTATCATTCAAATAATATGATTTATCCGATAATTGCTATGAGCAAAATCTATACTAATATTATAAAGAGGTAAAGTTGAAGTTGAGTTTGTGACGTTGTAGGGGGTGATCTCTGGATCTACTGAACCGATTTAGATGAAATTTGGTAAGAAGGTAGTTTGAGACCCTGGGAAGGACATAGGATACTTTTTATCCCAGAAATCATCCATTAAGGGGTGAAAACGAGGATGAAAGTTTGTATGGGGAATCGAGCTAGGGATGAACCCAAGCTAAGCTAGGGTGAGCCGCTAGTATATAATACAATTTTAATTATGTGAATATTTACTCAAGTGAAAGAAGTTATGTTCAGACGCGTTCAATGTGCCATAATGAATTGTTTTGTCATCGCCTAATGGCTCGGAAACTATTCGCCTATTATGATAATACAATACCTACTGTCGTCTGTCGCTAAGTAAATTCACTTGTTAGTTGTGACCGCCCGGCGCGCGGCGGCCGCGGCGTGACGTCATATTGTAATGTGATAGTGATATTGCACAAGCATATTCTCATACAATGTCCGGTTTAATAAAATGAGATTTATATTTAGACGTGGAATATTATATTTATACTAGCGGACCCGACAGACGTTGTCCTGTCTACACGTCTTTAATTTGAAAATTTCAAACTTTTTTTAATAAGCTAAAACATTCTGGACCATTTTGATGAAAATTATTATTCAAATTGTGAATCTAAACCATTCTCACATCCCCTTGAACACACACAAAAAATTTCATCAAAATCGGTCCAGTCGTTTGAGAGAAGTTCAGTGACATACACACTCACAGAAGAATTATATATATAAAGATTAACCTACGATCCTTTTAAACATCGACGTTTATTAGATTTTTTTATTGGTATGATGAAAGAATATCTGGTACAGTAAATCGAACTATTATTCTAATTGCGCAAGTTTGTATGTGTGTGTTTGTACTGCTTTACGTTGAAACGGCTAGATGGATTAGGATGAAGTTGAGCAAACAGGTAGACACTATGACATACTGTTAGGCACCCAGGGACGTATACGAGCGGTGCTGGGATTATTCACCTGTATTTTTACAATTTATCAACTGATTTCGAAAAAAAGGTTTTTGTTGTGTACTAATCGAAATATCATTTAAAGTAATTTATTTTATTAACATTTATTGCTGTAGAAAAATACGTTCTAGAGCCATAAAAAAATGTTAATTATAAATATTTGCAACACGATATTTTATTGTTTATTAAGTTTACTTGGTCAACTACTTTTTCCAACAACGTTATATTATTACCAGAAAAGTATTTAGTTCAATATTCCATCCATTGCATAGGTGCGGACATTGCAAACAGTTGGCTCCAATCTACGACAAGTTGGGAGAGCACTTTGAGAAGGACGACGATGTCGTTATCGCCAAGATCGATGCCACCGCCAACGAGCTCGAGCACACCAAGATCACCTCCTTCCCAACCATCAAGCTGTACACTAAAGATAACCAGGTATGATGTTCATTTAGTTATGAAATAAAAAAAATATACAAGCATCCATTGTAATGTTTTGTATATATCACCTAATAGTTAGTACCTCATAGTGGCAACTAGATATGTATATTGTAAACATATACATATATTTCACACTTTATCGTATGGAACTGACATTACTACTACAATTTCAAGTTATCGCTTTTGGTTCTTTCATTGTTAGACTAAAGGTGAGGTCAAAACCTGACCTTTAAGTATAAGAAACACTTGGTCTTTTAAAGCCCTCCGACTTCTTCCCTTACTCCATTCTTTCTCAATATATCCTTTTAAACACTAACCTGATGTAATGGAAGAATATTATCTGTATATTAATTAATACGTGAAGCAAAAACTTTGTACCCCTTTTTACGAAAATTGCACTGACGGAGGAGTATGAAATTTCCCACACTTATTGAGGAGTATGAATTATTACGGAGTGCAGAATGCTAATATTTTTTTTTAAATTATGCATGAAAAATACATTAAATCAATAAAAAATTATTACACACACTACCATATATTGGGCACACACACGCAAATATACTCTTTTGTTTATTATTAAAGTCTGTGGTCTTTGGTATTGAGAATAGGTTAATATTGTTTGTAATTTATTTCAAAATTCTTTTGGATTTTATAGACTTTAATATTAATTAAATAAATATCTATGTCGATCAAACTTAATTATTATGTTTGATTTTCAAGCACGAGGCGATCACTACTCTATACAGATAAATAAAATTGAAGTGTCTGTTTATAATGTTTAAATAACAGCTTTTTACTAAATATATACGGTATTTATAAAAAAACACAATTTTTTAAAATTTTGTCTTTCTGTCTGTTTGTTCCGGCTAATCTCTGAAACGGCTGGGCCAATTTTGACGGGACTTTCACTGGCAGGTAGTTGATGTTATAAGCAGTAACTTGGGCTACTATTATTTCAGTAAAAGGATTAGGGTTCCGCTCAAAAAAATTAAGATTTGCCTAGGGACGAACCCGAGCAAAGCAAGGGTGAGTCGCTATGTCGTTATTATTATTAACGATGGTGTGAACGTTGCAGGTGCGCGAGTACAACGGCGAGAGGACGCTGAGCGGCCTCACCAAGTTCGTGGAGACCGAGTCCGAGGGGGCGGAGCCGGTGCCCTCTGTGGTGAGTTATTTATTGATTTGTTTAAAAATATATTGATGTAATAATAATACGATTATAATATTTATAATTAAGAATTTGTTTTATAAAAAAATTTTTTTTTTCAACATTTTATAGAATATAAATCAGTTAAGATTCTCGCTTTCTCTTTTTAGAACTGTCCATCGACTCAGTAGTAGTTTCCTCACTGACTTACACAATGGTATTTAATTAAAAAAAAATTGATGATTTGATTGTAAAGGTCTTGGAATAGTAGGTTTCCATTTGATTACTTTGTTTTTATGATTTGAAAACTAATTAATTATATTTTTATTGCAGAGCGAGGATGATGAAGACGACGACGCGGCGCCAAGAGATGAGTTATAAGCGCCCGGTTCTTCCATAGCTTAGTACTGCGTAGATATAATTACAACTAATTTCCTCCTCACACTGCAGACTAGATTATAAACAGCTGTTCACTCTCAATGTGTTTAGTTACTGACAACACAATTTAGTCTGCAGTGTGAGACCCCTTTACACTAATCAGTGCATTTCCTTTGATCGACTGTTAATTTTTTTATACTTTGTTAAGGTTGTATTGAAATGTGTCATTATTTTTTATATCGTCATTGAGTAATCTTACTAAAGATGGGAGTTTTTTAATCTGTGGCATTTTATTTTATCCAATTACAGCTAAAAGCAACTTGATATTTTCAATTTGAATACTCCTGTTTGTCGGCTGTTTCGTCTCTTATGAATTTCAAATTGAATTGAACTTAATTTATTAAGATAAAACGCATAATTTATTTGAATGTAACAGCAGCATAACTAGATCGCGTATGTGTAAGTGTATTTATAATTTCTGTATCATAATGGCGTTTAGTTCACATTCCCGTGTCGAATTCGAACAACTATAGTTATCGCTAGAAGAAATTATTATTTTTTATATTTTGTACGATAAGTTCTTTATATCTTTATTCATCACAAAAAATATTTTTAAGGCAAAATTATTGTCCCAGATTAATTATGTATATTTTTATGTTTTTTTTGTTAAATTGATATTAGAAAGTGCTTTACATTGGGATCATATTTTCTTACCATCTTAATTATATGAAGTGTTTATTCTACATGTAAATAACTTTGTAATTGCCAAACCCATACATACATACATGTATCTGTTGTGGATACAGAAATTGATAAATAAATATAATATGATAATTAAAATGACTTTCTGTTCTACTCTTGCACCGTTGAATTAATATATCCTTTATTTTAACTTTTCAAATTCTAATTAAGTACAAATTTCACCCATATAAATAGACTGTGCAGTGAGAGCCCTACTGGAAAAAATCTATACTCTTATCATATACCACTGCGTATTTTTGAAGGCTAATTCCAATAATCTATTGATAGCAATTTGACATATTGTATGGAGCTTATTTCCTATTCTGTCAGGAATTTCAAAGATATTTATTGCATGTTAACGGGAACCGTAGTTTGACGGCAAACAATAAAGATGAACCTTCGTGTAGAATGCCCAATTCTTCAAGGTTTTAAAGCGTGTATCTTTTTTTCTGGAACGATTAAAATGAATCTTGGCTATGCTTTTAAATCAAGACTTTTTTGATATGTCATCCGCCTATAGATATTTAATACGTGAAGAGAAGACTACCTCTTTTTAAGAACATTTGTGTATAGAATATAAGCTTTGGCATTTTGTATCGAGAATGATTGCTAAATGTTAAAATTTATCAATAATGATTGCTAAATGTTAAAATGTTAAAATTTATCGCTCGTGTAGTTTATTTATATATTAAGTAGCGACTCACCCTCGCTCCGCTCGGGTTCGTCCCTACTTAATTTTTACGTTTAGTATAGATTTCTCAGAAATGAGATTTTTTCCCGCAATAAAAAGTATCTTATATGTTGACTCGGATAACCAGCTATCATCATACCAAATTTCATCAAAATCCGTCCAGTGGTTTTTCCGTGATGCGGTAACAGACAGACAGACAGACAAAAATTCTAAAAACTATAGATTCACCCTCTGTATCGATAATAATGTCTATTTCAATAAGATTTTCCAAAAAATATTTCATGTACAGATTCGGCTCAGTTAGAATTTTATTATATGTATAGATTACTCTGTTTCTAAGCTACAGTCTGATGTTAGATAACCTAAAACCATGGACGAATTAGAGACTGGACCTGACATAAAATACAAATGTATGAAAACTAGTTCAACCAAGTGACGCATAACGCACACAAAGATTTTATTACATTATTATAAACACTGATACACAATACAATATTTCTAGTGCTTGAACGTAATCGATGAAATACATATACATCTTTTAATTTAAAATATCTGTATTTATTATAATAAATTAAAATAAATGAATTAAAGAGGCAATAATAATGTGTCAAATAATAATTATTTTTTAATTTGATTTATATAAATACGATGGCATTGATGGCAACATTCTGTTGGCCTATAATAATGTTAATAAACAAATGAATATCGGGTGTATATTCCATTAATATATAATAAATATTATTTTGTAAAGATTAAAAAAATATTAAGCTAATTTAATTAAATAAAGTGATTTTGTTGATTCTGTTATTGAACTATTTTAATTGGCAATTGATTGTCTCGGGTAGTTATAAAAATGTGAAACTGTCCTAATATTGCTCAGTTATTAATAAACATTTGTGAAATTAGGAAAAAGAAAAAGTGATTGCAAATTGTGAAAAAGTGAGTGTTGGATCGTGAAAGTAAAATAATTAGTGCAAGTGGTAAAGTGTTTTATTACAAATCGCCAACCCAGAAGTTTAGTGCTAAAACATTAATGTTTGATTTTGTGTAATTTATGTGTTGAAATAAAATGGTCTTTATTATTATTACAATGGAATAATATTCCAAAGTATATAAATGTGGTATAAAATAAAATAAAAATGAAGTACACATACTAATTATAATTTTTGCATTTTTATTTTTATTTGATTTAGAAAATATTTTTATAAAATTATTGTCATCAGATTGTAGGATACTGTGATAAAAGTAGTTAGATAAGTTTATGTTATTGTACTGTACAAATAACACAATTCGTTCAGTTATTTCGTCAAATATCGATATATTTTTCGACATTGTCAAGCACTAGTCGATGTCAAATGGACTCACTCGACAGTTTTGTCATTTGTTCTGAATGGTATAATTCAGCCCGTTTATGATGGTTGTCAGATGTCAACAATACATAGAAATATCGACTATATTTAACATAGTTGGATAATATGACATTTTATTTTACATTTAATTAAATTTTGTGATAAATAACAATAAATGTAATAAAATAATGTATTTACAAGTGACAAGAAATAGTGCTGCTTCCGCCGTTATAGTTTTTACACCAATTAACAGAACATTTAGTCATTTTTGGGAGATGTTTTGTTAACAAGTAAGTGCTTGAGACTGACACAAAAAACAAACGACCTAGGCTAAAATTCCCTGGTTACTGACATGACCGTTAAAGGCACGTCCGCTTATATGTCTGGTCCAGTGGTTAATTCGTTCATGCCTAAAACCATCCATTTTGCACTGTTATATAAAGAAGCACGGTGGTCGATCTACGTATTATCACAGATCATATAATACTATATTATTATATTATGCGTCAATTTGTGAAAATAGTATTAGCAGTGATAGCTAACGTACTAAGTGCGTCAAGACAATAAACGACCTTTTCTTTCGCCCACAGAAATCCGTCTATGGTAATTTTGAGAAAAAAAAACAATTCGCATTATAAATCAACACATTTATATTTTACCACATTAATATAAGGACCTGTTTAGTCATTTTCACACTTAAAAAAATATTAAACATACAAACTGTTACTACGTAAAAATTTCATTTAATAGGTAATAGGTATATAGAAATAAAACATTTATTATGGCATTTTAATTTATTATCTTAATACAACGATAAAACGTAAAATAACTCTTTAAAATTAATAACATTAAGCTTGATCCATTGAAATTATCACATAAACACCCAATGACACTATCGAGACACGTGGAATGGTTGAATTTTATAAATAAAACAAGCCGCGACCTACTTTATTTTTAAGTTGGGAAAAAGTATTACGTATAAAAAAATAATTTTGTGCTATTTTCAAATAAAAATTCAAAATATGGTTTCTTAAGAAACTAAATTCTTATTTACGATAATATTTTGGGAATAAGTAAATGATCTACTTTGGTATGATATTAATGGTTAAAGACATTAAGGTAACATGAATAGGTGACGAGTCTACGGCTTAGGATGAGAGGCGTTATAACAAACTACAGAGGCGGGTGAGATTAATATTGAGACTTACAACTAAAACTAAGTAATAATTAACAAAATATTGTAAATCTATAGAAATTACTGTATTTCATGATGTTACATGTAAATTTGTATAAGTATTGCACAATCGTTTTGCGCATTGAAATAATAAATGCGATAATATATAAAAAAATCAATATTTATATATCACATAAGCCCTTTAGAATACTATACCGTAATTATTTATATTCGGAGTATTCGAACTATTGGGTAAATACATACATGAATATTGTACAGACGGCAACTTTATTTAAAAAAACAAAACGCTCAACTAGCGATTTCTATCAGAAAAAAATCTATTTAGTTATTTATTAAATTGATTTCTCAATAATGATTAACAGCTTTTAGTCATTACTCCTAAGCTATAAGCAAACTCCCTTTATAAATGCTCCCTCGGTGATATTTTACAATAAAATACTATAAGTTAAAATATTACTTATTTTACATGTAGTGTTAAATCATTAAATGTAACTGACGCGGCGACACAACGCGGATATTCTAAACGAATTTAAATATGATTTTTAACCTTAGAATCTCAATTGTTTTAAATAACAATTTTGAATAAATAATAAAATTATACATAGGTACTTATTACCTAATGTCATTCTCATTTTCATCATATGAATATATTTTTTAAACCAGCTTAAAATACCTCAATATAAAAGCTAGGCACCATTCGGCATCAGTAGTGCTATTGTAGTACCGTATTATCTACGAAAATTTGATTATCATTAAACATACACAATTCGATGCGAAAAACAACATTTAATTCTTAAATCTTTAGCTTATTTATTAAAACGTTTAACAATTTCACTGCAATATTTAAAATTTAATTATAACTTTATTTTATTAGAGGCAATTTTTAAAAATTATAATTATTCGAAACAATGCATGATCTTAGACATTTAATAATACATTTATAATTTATTTATATTACACAATTACAATTATTTAATAATATTCTATCCAATTCCTTGTACGGCTTTAAGGCGTGCCGTTTTTTTGCTTATCGTCACCATCTTGTTTATAGACTCAGACTAAAGAAGTATATAGAAGCCCGCCAAAATAAATGTCAAAGTCAAAAATAGTAGCGTGTTTAGCTGTTTAGGCTACTATTCTCGATTCTGTCATACAGATAGTTTACTTTCTTTAAAGAATAAAGAAAACTTTATATAGGTATTGGTTGTTGTTTTAAATTTTTGAGAAGAAAATAAATAAAAATAAAATTTTATTATTTTGTATTTTTTAAGCGCTAGTTTACCTTGAAAGAGAGATAGCATAATATTAGCTCATTTTTATTTGTCTTTTTTATAATAAAATCCTTTACGTATTTTTATTTATTAATATTTATTTACTTATCACAGCAATAAATATTCTTTTAAAATTTATAATCAGTTTAAAAGAAATATATATAATTTAAATTATTATAATTTGGCTTCATGTTTAGTTCTACGACACTCTGTCTATATATAATTCCTTAGTCTGAGATTATAGATGAACGAAGAAAAAGTACAAATACAGTTAGTTACCTTTAACAAATACTATATTTAAAATTTGCTTATTACCGATTCGGTTTAAACAAAAATTTCGATAGCAAGATACAACATCACAAGCGGCAGTGAAATCGTTAAAAGTAAAGACATTAAATTTGCAGTTTATATGATACTTTAAGAATAGAAACAAACAACGAGTTAATACTTTTTAAACTTTATCTTACAATATAAAGATATTCAACGCCATCTTTATTATTTTAATTAGATATTTAACGCCATTTTAAAATTAGATATTGCAATTTTCAATGCTCTTTTTATTTGGAGCATTGTTTTTTAGGAAATTTTTGTGGTCAAATTAACTGCAAATTTTCAGTCCATCCGCGTCGTAGTGTATCCTTATAATCATACTAATTAGTGAAACATCAAAAATGATTATTTAGTATAATATAATATGGTTATTTTTGTATATCAACAGAACAGAAATATATAGGTACATATTAGATGTATGATATTTAAATATAATAAAATTTAAAATATACACTACGACATGGATTCAGATTAAAGGAATAAGACATACAGAGCGCTCACAAAACAGTGGTTGATGGCTGAAATGGTATAATATGTAGCGTTTATGATAGTGATCTCAGTGTCCAGTGTTCAGGATTTATTATAATCTACTAATCTATACAGTCATCTAACTTTTATTTGAACAGTAATTTGCTACAAAATGACACTAGCATTCGCCTTGCAAATTGTTATTTTTCACACCCCTTGTATTTTACAGCTTTTCTGATAAAATCAAAGAAAGTTACTTTATGGATTCTTATACTGTGCTTATCCAGTGGTGTGTTTACTCTACTGCGTGAATTGTCAAGGATGGTGTTCGCCTCGTTGAAAATCGAAATTACTTGATTACGTTTTTGATTGAGGCGTAAACCAATATATTATATTGAGAAAAAAATGTGAATGCTAATACAGATGGTCTTTTAGTTTAGCCTTCCTTAGTAGGTACCATATCATAAGAGGTGAACAAAAATACGCTATAACAAGTGTTAAATTATTATTATCGCTCTGCATACCGTATTAATTTAACAGTGTAATTGTTCAACACGTCAACTCGATTATAGTGCGAACATGGTGTCCTCGTCCTTCTTGATCTGCCGGGCGCGGGGCGCGGGCGCGGGCGCGGCGGCGGAGGCGGGGGCGGCGGGCAGGCTGTCGGCGGCGGCCGCGCGCTCCGCCAGGAACTTGTCGAAGTCACTGCTCGTCACGCTCTCTTGTGTACCGTTCGCTTCTGACGCCGCCTGTCGGTACAAGTAAATTGATTTATACAGATAAATAAAATTAAAGTGCCTGTTTGTAATGTCAAAATAACACCTTTTTACTAAATGCATACGAAATTATATACGGTATTTATAAGAAAAACACAAATTTTAAAATCTTTGTCTGTCTGTCTATCTGTTTGTTCGCGCTAATCTCTGAAACGGCTGGGCCGACTTTGACGAGACTTTTACTGGCAGGTAGTTGATGTTATAACAACAACTATTACTCCTTATAAGGAGTAACTTAGGCTACTTTTATTTCAGTAAAAGAATTAGGGTTCCGCTCAAAAAAATTAAGATGCACCCAGGGATGAACCCGAGCGAAGCGATTTATTTAGTGTTTTTGAATGTAAACTTCTTTAGAATCGCTGCGATTTGAAACTCGATTAAACGGAAATGCGTCTCGAGAGAGAGACAAATACATAAATATATAGGATTAAGCCGTTGAGAGAAAGAGATAGAATACATTGCTTTGTTGCCATGGTAACCGTTGTTATTGTCTGACAAATATGTAATGTATGTACATTTTATTTGACAAAAAATTGTCAAATAAAATGTAAAATAACTTTTAAACTAGGTATAAATATTACAAAAAACTTTATAACTATCCTATATCCTATCCCTATACTCTATATTCATCTCATTCTCTCGTAGGTCACTTTTCTGCAGTTTCACTACTATATACTACACTATGTGTGAATTACACACACGCATTTTTTTCACACTTGTGTTAGGCAAAGATCTCACATTATACGGCTCAGCTGAAATTTAATTAGTACTCAAGTGTTCGAAAAGTTAATTGTAATCTATAATAAAATATTTATAATAATATTATGTGCATAGCTTTTATGTACAGATGAGATAGACAATACTTTAATAAACAGTGCTTTCACTCAAGTTTTAAGAAATAAATATATATATGTATTAGTGTATAATAATCAATCTAATATGTATATATTAATTACTAAAAATAAAATACAGATAAGGTAAATAAAATTAAAGTGCGAAAAAATATTAAAAATAAAATAAAAAATATAACTAAAAAGTCACCTTTTCTTGCGCTAACCAAGCCGAGATTTCATCGAACTCTCTCTGATCCATTCCAGTCGGCTGACGGATACCGAATGAACACAGAACAAAACATAAACAATAAAGACATAAATATAAAAAACATTTTATAAAAAAAACAATACATAATAAAAAAAATTAAAATATTTTACAGAATGTTCCTGACATAAATTTAGACAGACAATTAAAATATACATTTAAGTGAAAAAAAACGCAGTGAATTAAAGAAACGTCGACGAGAAACACATTATAAATCAATTTTAAAACAGATAAAATGGCATTTTGAATAAAATCATTAGAATAGAAACATCTTATCATAACGATATGTCCGATTTTTAAGTGAGTAAAGTATTATGAGTAAAATTTCATTAAAGTGACATTCAAAAAGATTAACCATCCTCTCAACTGAATGTATTAATTAGATCAGTTCCCATACTATAAAAAATATTTTCATGCCCCCCCCCCCCCCCCTTTTTTTATTTAATAATATAATAAAACACATTATTTTATTCGTTTATATTTATTTTAATTTTAAGTTATACAAAAAAATCTCTACACGCCCAAGGGCGTCACTTTTGATATAATTATTCCCCGATTAGGAATAAAACTTGTTAAAGAGAACACCCTTGAAGTATAATCTATTCAATAAAAACACAAAAATCGCTTCACAATTAATTACCCAATATATCATCATGTTTCTATAGTAATGAAAAATTATATATTATTTATTATTGTAACTTTTGTTGGTAATTCTAAATAAATAAATAAAGAAATAAATACCACGACAATACACCAATTATTTAAGTCGATTACCTTATTTTGTGACGTCTAACAACAGTAATTTATAGAGAGTTAATAAAAGAACTTATTAGTGGATAAGTATAGTACGTGTATTGTAAATTGACTAGTTTTTGCAATAATAATGTAATGTCCCAACATATGTTTTTTTTATTACTGGATGAGTATAAATGTGACGTAAAATGATTACTAAGTGTACGTGTAAACGTAGGTCATTAGCGGGTGAGTACAAGTGTGTAGTAAAGTGAGTAGTAGGAGTGTGCAGTGTGTACGTACGAGCGGCGCGTGCGCGAGCGGCGCGGGGCGCAGCGCGACGGCGGCCAGCCCGGCGCTGCGCTGCTCCTCTGCGTTGTCCGCGTAGCTGCTGCCCCTGCACGCCACATATATATATATATATATATATATATATATATATATATATATATATATTAATACGTGATATGTATTATTACGTGTTTGTTCCCTTTTTTACATAAATTGCGCGGCCGGAGGAATATGAAATTTCACACCCACTTAGAGAGTGCAGAGTGCAAATTTTTTTTTATATATTATGCATAAAAAATACATTAAATCATTAAAAAAACATTACACACGCTACCATGTATTTGATACACACACACGCATTTATACTCTTTTGTTTATTGTTAAAGTCTGTGGTCAAATTAAGAATAGAACCTCAATATCGATCAAACTTAAGATATTATGTTTGATTTTCAACCACGTGGCGATCACTAGTATAATTAATAACACTATTACAGTATAGCATTAGCTTTAGTTGGAACTGTCTCGGTTGTCTACTGGCTAGCGTGTACGGCTGGGAACCCAAAGGTCCTGAGTTCGACTTTTTTTTGTTTGTTGAAGTTAAAACTTCTTTAGCTGCGTAGAGCGATTTTTGATAGGGATAAAAGTGATGGAATCGCGTCACCGACATGCTACGTGTGACATGTCGACGCAGTCCGGCGCAAACTGTGTTTTTTTTAATTCAATTTATATGTCTTCATATGTTTTTATTAATAAATAAATTATATCAAAATGTAAATAATTATTGCTCGGAATACCAATGGATGCGAAAACCAGACTAACAATAATTTCAATTTACTAATTATGACATTTTAATTATTCACACTACGAGTATAATTAACTAAAAAAAAAGTTATTCCAAAGTTATAAGTTTTCACATCTGTCGGCAGTACCCATGACTGCCTATGTTAATTAAAAAAAGTTTATTTGATTTTAAATATAAAACTAAGGAATATCTCACCCAGTTTTAGTTGTTTCATAGGTGACATTCCGAGACTGGGCGAACATGTCGAACTCGTCCTTAGAGCTGCTCGGGGACTTGTCCACTCGATCTTCCTTCACGGCTGGAAAATACATAATTATAAAATTATTTTTAATACTGCTATTATTAATGCGAATATTCGCAGCGTGTTAGACTAATCGTTGAAATTTTTTTTCCGGCGCCCCCTAAAAATCCTAAAATGTGATTTTACTAAGTAATGAACTTAGATAGTTTTGCAGCACGTGTTGTTTTTAAATAAAAAAAAAAATAAGTTTTTTCATCAAAAGGAAGCTTTTTAGGGGTAGTCGGAAAAACATTAACGTCCAGTCTAGTGTATATATGTGTGTGTGAAGCGACAGTAAGTGGTTGATAAAAAAAGACGTAGATTAATAATGATTAAAAATATATTATGAACTGTATTTAAGTACATGATGGACTAATAAGAAACAGGCCTCTCTCAGGTCATCAAGGGTCACAAAACCATACAAAGTATCTCATTTAATAAATAATAATAAGTAGTAAGTATGGACCACTTACAAAGCTTAGCTACGTCAGGTACATCGTCACTAAGATCAATAAGAGCATCATCTTCTTTCTTCTTGGCTAAAAATAATATAAAATTTTAATTTTATTGATAAACAATTTATTTACTGATTTACAATAAGATTTCAGGCCATATTGGCACTTACGAGTATATTTTCTTTGTTTATTTCGACGAAATGAGAAAAAGAAAACAATTTTGCTGAGATTTTTTATCGTACAAGTTACAAAGTCGTAACAAACGCATACAAAGTCGTAGGCAGTAACTAGTTATTAAATATAATATAAAAAAAATGTCCGCTGAGTTTCTTTCACCAGTTCTTCTCTAGAGGGTTCTTCTTTCCGAACTGGTAATAGACTCATGAAGTTCAGTAAATTGTAATAATTTAATGCTGAATAAAATATTTTGAATTCATTTTGAATTTTTGAATATTAACAATATTATAGTAATTAATATTTAATATAACATACGCGAAGTAGTTCCAGGAACTCCCATAGCCGCTCCCAATATGGCGGAAGGCGTAGCGCCGCCGGTAGCGGCAATTCTGAAAGAATAATTTTCTGTGATAATCTTTCTATAATAATGGCGATATATAAATAAAGTAAAAATTTTACTCTAATATTTTTTTTGCAAATGTGCCAAAAGAAGTTAATGTAAATTGAACCCCAAACGCAACGCTTAAAGTTGTTTTCACAAAAAAAATAGTTAAAGGCGAGATTAAATGTTCAAATGAGCGCTCATTCGGTGAGGACATTTTTCGTCGCTGATTGTGTTTTGACTTTTTGATCGATGTTTTCATCACAAACACACAAATACACACACAACAGTAGTATAAATTACTAGCAATTAAATATTATATACTAGCGAATAAAACTTTCATTCCTGTTTTCACTTCCTTAAGTGATGATTTTCGGGATAAAAACTATCCTATGTTCTTCTGGGAATTCTTTTTCCCTGGGAAAGTCTCAAACTAATTTTTTACTACATTTCATCTAAACCGGTCCATTAATTTCGGAGCTTATTCGGAACAAACAAACAATAAAAATTTATAATCTATACTAATATTATAAAGAGGTAAAGTTTATGAGTTAGTGACGTTGTAGGGGGTAATCTCTGGATCTACTGAACCGATTTAGATGAAATTTAGTAAGAAGAAAGTTTGAGACCCTGGGAAGGACATAGAATACTTTTTATCCCGGAAATAATTCCTTAAGGAGTTAAAAATGGGGGTGAAAGTAGGGACGAACCCGAGCGAAACGAGGGTGAGTCGCGAGTATTAGTATAGAGTATATAGCGCGCACCTATTGCTGAGGAAGCGCGAGTGGCGCAGCAGCAGGTTGTGTAGGCGGTCGTTGGCCAGCAGCAGGTCGGCCGTGAGCGGCGCGTCGCCCGCCAGCCGCGCCACCAGCTCCGCCACGCGCGCCTGCATCGCGCGCAGCGTCTCCGCCAGCTCCTGTAGTTGTCGTCACCGTTGTCATGTACATATTTATGTATTTAGCCCTAATACTTTCTTAGATTTACGCGAATATTTGACATTTTAAATAAAACTATCTTTTCGGATTATATCGGATATCTTTCCGGATTTTTTGAAATTATTTTTAATGGGTCGCCTACCCAATCTGTCTGTAACAATTATATAAGGCCTTTGAGACGTCTATAACTTTAGTCTCTCCCGTAATCGTGATAGCTGTAAAGCATCCGAAACGCCAGGAACCAAAAATCAAAATAAATCCGCGAAATAATCCGAAAAAATAATTTTATTATATATTAGCTCTCTTCAATACGAGGGGGATCAGGCCATAGTCCACCACGCTGGCCAAGTGCGGGTTGGCGGACTTCACATGTCTTTCGAAAACTTGCTAGATACTCTCAGACATGCATGTTTTCCTTCTTTGTTAAGATAAGTGGTTATCATGTTGAAAATGATTCAAATGTGAAAATATCAAAGGTGAGAGAACCGAGATTTGAACTCGCTTCACTCGGTTTTCCAAACGAGCGCGTTACCACTGGGCTACCATTGCCTATATATTCTACTCACTATAGCACTCAAAATAAGGACGACAAAGAGTGGATACAACCCGCCAAAAGTCCGTTTCTTCATATAAAAATTAAAACAAACTCACGTCCAACAGCTCTATGTCAGTGTCGTGGTGCTGCTGGTAGGGCTGCGCGGTGAGCTCGGTGAGCATGTCGTTCATCACCGTCATGTTGCCCTCCACCACGGACAAGTCCGCTCGGAGCTTGCTCGTCTGGCTCTCCGTGAGTGTCACCTGATTCATCATTATTACTATTAGTAACCAACTTTAAAAAATGGGAAAGTACTCAATTCAGGAAGATAAAACATATATTTATATACAATTAGGGTGGAGCGGAAAAAAATGATTTCTTTTATCTTAACTTGGGCATAGAATTTGTAGCTTATAAAAAAATAAAGCTTGTGGACTAAAAAAAATATTTTACTAAACGTTTTGAGATGGCCCACTGATTTTTAAAATATTTAATTTAAATTTTTGGTTTGAATAGCAAATTTTTTTCGAATGATCATCTTTAAAAACATTGCATAATTAACGAATACAATCATTTTCTACTCAACTTTCACTGTAATACAAAAAAAGTAACACGTTATTTTTTTCAACTTTTTTAAAATTGCAATAATACAATATTACAGTTTAAATTATTTCGTTTAAAAATCAGCGGGCCACCTCAAAATATTGAGTAATTTTTTTTTATTTCAATAATTTTGTTTTTTTTTTATAAGCTACCCCTTAGTTTAAAAATCAGCGGGCCACCTCAAAATATTGAGTAATTTTTTTTTATTTCAATAATTTTGGTTTTTTTTTTATAAGCTACCCCTTAGTTTAAATTCTACCCCCAAGGTAAGAAAAAAAAACAATTTTTTTTTAGGGTGGAACGAAAAAATAGAAACCAATCTTCATGATTCTAAAAGATAATTTTGTGGAAATTCAATTAAATAAAATAAGATTTAAGACAACAGAACACACTTTATTTATCATACGATTAGCAATCATAAAAATATATTATGCCATAATAAGAGACGGTCAAAATTGTAATAATGCCTCCAGGATAAGTGGCTCGGCGGTCGTTGACAGGTTAATTTACGTTAATCTGTTTAAGACTTGTTACTTAATATTATTGAATTACTAGCGGCTCACCCTCGCTTCACTCGGGTTCGTCGCTAGGTACGTTTTAAATAGATATAAATAGTTATCAGCCAGCGTTAGCCATATAAATTTTAATTTTTTTTATTAATAATATTGACAAATATTGACATTAATATTTATACGATACTAATCACTCAATTTTTTTGCCTTCTCGGAACCTGTCCACTAACACTCAAACTTTATGGTATGGTATTAAAGTTCAAATTGACTTTTAAGTATTATTACGAATCTTTTGTATGGGAGTATAGAAAAGTGTTGTTTTTAGACTTTTCTCAACTTTTTAAAAAAAATTTCTGTAAGAACCATCTTCGTACTTCAAGGAATATTCTAAAAAAGGAATTAGTGAAATCGGTTCAGCTGCTCTCGAGATTTGCGCTTAGCAACACATTCAGCGATTCCTTTTTATATTATAGAAGATAGTTACCGTGCCGGTTGTTTGTTCCTGCGTGGTGCGACTCGGAGAATTCTGCGGTATAGCGGCGCGTTGTGGTGAACCAAGTATCGGTTCTCCATTGTCAGGTACACTCTTAAGAAAAAATGATAAAATTATATTCAATTCTAAAAATATTCATAAATCAATTATTTGCTTTATAATAATTAATATTATTAACAGTACAAAAAAAATAAAAGAGGCTTTTATTATTGGCATTTTCTACAAGTAGTATTTAGAGTTCTGCTTAGTATTTAGTAGGTACAGATATTTTCATTTTTTTCCTATTAATATTATGGTCTCCTCCAAAGTTTAATCTTTAAATATAAAATTGGTTAAATATTTGGTGATATAAAAAACTCCACTTTTAATATTTGTGTAGGTAATAATGATGCCATTACGATATCTTTGTAGGTATAATTAAAAAATAGTAAAAATTATTAAAGTGTGAGCTACGAGTATAGAGCAAACTAATTATTATTTAATATTCCATATATGATAGGTAAAGTATGAATGTATATAAAGGTTCACTTACCCTTTGTGGTGTAAAAATGGGCGCCATTGCATCCAGATCTGTCATGGGAAATTCAACACCTTTAGTGCGTAATTCGTTGTATACTTGACCAACTCCCTGAGGACAAAAATAAACAATGTTTCTATTTTACTTATATGAAACCTTAAAAACCCCAACTTCTTTTAAATATTTACTATCGAGAAGCGATCAGGCGAGAAGAATGTCTCGATATAGGTTTGGCTAAAAAATATATTACGTTTATAAGAATCTATGACCTTCCGTTGACTTACGAATTGTTAAGTGGTACATAATTTATTCATAAACTTGATTGAAACGCTTTAAATTAAGCACTAATTTAAAACTGCAAAGTTTTAAAGTACGAACAAAATAGATTATGCTGCACTAAAGAATATAAAACTTTCTCTTATTGTTAGACTTACCGCACGATATCTACCTTCGATCAACAGTAGTATTGTTGATCGAAGATATCTACATACATAATATATATTTTTATTTTAATATTCAAACTGTCTATAGTTTATTTCTTACATTATTATTATTACTATCTACGTATCTGCATATGTATTAGACATATAAATAAAATTTAAATGTCTGTTAGTAATGTAAAATAATAGCTTTTTACTAAATGCGTACGAAAGTATATATACGGTACTATTAAGAAAAAAACAATTTTTAAATTTTTTGCCTGTCTGCCTGTCTGTTTGTTTCGGCTAATATCCGAAAAGACAGGACTGATTTTGACGGGACTTTCATTGGCAGATAACTGATGCTATAAGGAATAAGATAGGCTACTTTTATTTTAGAAAAAGAATCAGGGTTTAAACCTTAAAACGTAAGTAGGGACGAATCCGAGCGCAGCGAGGGTGAGTCGCTAGTCTTAATTATATGGAAACACAACATGAGTATTATATTGATTTCTTGAATAGTAGTGTGTTAGAATAGCTATATTTTTTTAGCTCGATTATTTATGCACGATTTCTAATAAACCAGTTTTATCAATTTTATATGTGACAATTTCTGCTTATATTTTATTTCACAATTAGCAACAATATTTTTTATGTAAGTTTACCTACAGAAAATTAAAAGCAATTAGCTGACAACAAAATATATATTTGTATAAATAAATAACTATAATTCCTAAGTAAAAAGAGACAAACACAAAAAATAGCCTTCACGAATCATGACCCATTTTCGTAGTTACATGAGCATTCATAAACAAAACTACTTTTTATAAAGACAACTAAGCAATATCAATAATGTATTTTGTAGCATGAATGTTACGAACTGTAGTTTGTAGAGAACAATGGTTATTTATGACAAATAGTATTTCATAATATTTACACAACAGCAATAAAAACAGCACCATTGGCCGTTTAATCTATGCATATAATAAAATTCTAACTTCTCTATATATATATATATATATATATATATATATATATATATATATATATATATTAAATATTTTTTGGAAAATTATTATCGATACAGAAGCCGATTTAGATTTTTTTATCTGTCTGTCTGGAAACGCAAACCGAGAAAACCACTGGACAGATTTCGATGAAATTTAGTATGATGATAGCTGGTTATCGGAATCAACATATAGGATACTTTTTACTGTGGGAAAATATCTCATCTCTGACAAATCTATACTTAACATAAAACGTAACTAGGGACGAACCCGAGCGGAGCAATGGTGAGTCGTTAGTAATGTACAAATTTATGCAACCACACTTAGAAAACGACCACGCAGTTTGATTAAATAGTATGTTTAGGTATAGGCAGTTGTGAGTTTAAATATACTTTTTAAAAGGCCAAATCTTTACAGAGCAAAAAGATTTATAGGTATTTATAAGTAATGCTAGCTTTTGCCTGCGGCTTCTCTTGAGTCTGAAGATAATTTTAATTGTCTATATCACTATGATCAATGTGCAAAATAACAGGCAAATAATTTTAATGTCTCTATGCGTTGGTATACTGCAAAGAATTAAATGAACACTACCCCAATATATCGACACTTTATAGTTAAGAAATCAACAACAGACACTTTAATTTATAAAAATATGTATTTACATATTATAAGGATCAAGCCATAGTCCACCACGCTGACCAAGTGCGGGTTGGCGGACTTCACATATCTTTCGAAAACTTGCTAAGTTCCCTCAGGCATGCAGGTTTCCTCACGATGTTTTCCTTCACCGTAAGGCAAGTGGTAATCATTCTAGAAATGATTCGCACATGAAAATATCAGAGGTGCGAGACCCGGGATTTGAATCCGCATCACTCGGTTGATCACTCGGTTTCCCAAGCGAGCGCGTTACCACTGGACTACCACTGCCTTGATTATATGTATAAATTCATGCAATTAATAAATCCGAAAAGGTATCATTGCTTTATTTATATCGAGACATATTTTAAGAAAATAATGTTATCACAAGATATCGTAATCAATATACAATAAACAAACATTCCAAGGGTAATAATCCTTAGATTAAAATGGTATTAAATTTAAAAAGTAAGGTCAGAAAAATATCTTCAAAGACAGCTTCCATTTAATTTTATTTCATTTTATGAATAGATTGCTTTGTTCACATAGAGATATGACTTACAAAGATAATTACGATAAACAGTATATATTTATAATTAATCAAATACATTTTATAGCTATAGATATTATACTATGACTATATGAAGATATGATTCACATTCTGAATAAATTATATATTTATTAGTAAATAGTCGAGAGTCAAGATAATTATTATCAAGGTAGCATAATATGTAAATATTAAACACTAGCATATCCATAGTTCATTTAAGTGTAACCAGAGTAACTAGGTCTTTATGTCTCAAGCAGCAATAACAAAGGATGTTCATATTATAAACTTACGATAACCTTTGCACCGTCTTAATTCAGTCATGTTGCAAAATTATTAGATAATATTTCTTACTTGTAATCTAGCTACCTGCCATATTTCAGCAGTCAGCTTCATAGGTTAAGTACTTTTCGAGATTTCGTGTTTAGTTATTTAGTGAATTACTTTTCTTTTTTATTTATATTAGTATTATCAATTATAGCAAGTAAGCAGCCACAAAATTATTAAGTTGATATTTCAATGTTTCCAGATATAACCAAATACACATACATTAGTTTTGTTTGGAGCTAAAATGGTCAAAATGTAAAGAAAACTTAGCCGGTCTTGAGTTATAACAGAAAATTCTGAAAACTGTTTTATTAATTTTCAAATTATCTGTTACAATTTTTATACTAAGGTTTACTCCTACTTCCAAGCTAGAGCGTTATCCCCGGGCTGTCACTGCCATGATAATCTCCTAGTAAAGGGTAGAGTAAATTAAGCAAGCACTTGCAAATAGGTAAAGTGTTGAGAATGATGCCTATAAAATACATTTCTTATGTTCCTCTAGAGATAATTTATCTTAAATATACTTACTAACCTGTAACTCAGGTTGATTTTGGAATGCATCAGCCCAGCATTGTATCAGGCTAAGCACCTTTTCTTGGACCACTGTTGGTGGATCATTTTTAGGCCCAATAAGTTTTACCTGCAATATTTTTACTTACAGTATTCTACATAACATTATATGTACTCGAATATTATGCATTATACAACAGAAATATTATACATGATGTGTGGGCATGTATGGGTCCAAATTATTGACAAACCAGTTTTATTAAATTACATATATCTTTTCAAGAATGTATATATCACACCTTCTCCATTTTAAGGTGAAAAAAATTGCGCCTAAATGGCATTTCTAGAAATCACTAAGTGACTAAACAAAAGAATTGCATTAAACTTTTTCAAGAACAAAAGTTACAAATTCTATTAAAATCCCTTGTGTGTTCTCCATTCTTTGTGAAGACAAAGAAATGTTCGAAGTAAACATAAACAAAAAAAATTGTGACACAAATCTTCAGCTCATTTCAATAAACTCTATTTCACATCTATTATTACATAAAATATGGATTTTGATCTAATCTTAAATAGCGTTAGTCAGACCTGTGTGAACGACATTTTATCAGATAAAGTAATATTTGAAGCTGATAAATTCTATGGGGGCAAAATATAGCAATTGCAAATAGTTTATAAGATTTAAACTAAAATATTTAACAAAAGTTAATGCAAAAAAAAATTTCAATATAGATTTTTGAATTGCGGAACAATCATTGAACTCAATTTATTATTTAGTCAATACTAATAATATAAATGTGAAAGTTTGTGAGGATGAATGGATAGATGTTTATTACTCTTTCACACCAGAACAGCTAAATGTATCAGGATGAAATTTTGCACAAAGATTTCGAATAGCACATAGGTTACTTTTGTCCCAGAAAAATGTCTAGGGACGTACCCAAAGAGAAGCGAGGGTGAGTCGCTTGTATAAAATATAATAAGAATAAGGTGGGCATAGAATAGCAGTAGTGCTTTAATTTATATTACTTTTAAAATATATTTTAACATGAAATAAGATATATTAGAAGTTCATATGATAATACGATTATCAAGGTATGTAATTAGATTAAGTTAACAAATGTTACAACCTTACCAGTTCTGTTATAAACTCTTTGTTGCATACTAGCATATGGAAACTTTTTCCACAATTCTTTACACAGGTTTCAAGAACAGTTAGGGTATACATGACTACAGTGTAGTTTTTCCCAGCACTCTGAGTCAACCTTTTCCTTATGGCCTTAACGGCATCCTTAGGTCCGTCAGTAGTAGTATTAATAATATCACATATTTCCATGTTAAGACCCCAATTTTCTGATGGTAATGATCCATCTGTAGCTTGTTCTGGAACATTTTACGCACATAATTCATACCAAGGGTCAAATACGTTAACATCGATAAAACTTCGAATTCATTTATTTCTAACACAGTTTAGGCTATTGGAATCAGTTAATGATCAATTTCTCAATGACAAAGAGAATTTTTCACTTCTTAGTGCGCAACAAAAACGAAAGGAAACTTTAGTCACGACATTATGAAATATTTTGCAAAATAATTAAGAGTGTGATATACTTAAATAGATATAATTTACCTATTTTCTGACCGACCGGCGTAGCAAAAGGATTCCCTACTCCAAAAAACGACATTTTTGTAAAATAATGCTATTATAAATAAATAATTTCACCGATTACACTTGTCACCCAGCTAGACGTATAATCTGTGAACTAGTTTAAGTTGTCAATTGTAAAAAGTCAAAACAGATGATTCATTTTACGCAATAGTGGTCCAGCTATTATTTATTGTGTGAAATATTTTAAGGAATAATAAAATCTATGCAAATAAAACTAATACAATTTATTTTCTTTACATATTATAAATCGAATTTTATAATTGTCTTAGCTAAATTGAAATCTTTTATGTTAAGTATTAATATTCGCATAAGAAGGGCTGAATACATTAATATTCGCATTGATCGCGTAATATAAAAACAAGTCTAATTAATTATAGTGATAAACCTGCATCTAGCAGGTACATTTAAATGTAAGTACATAGAACTTTCTTTGCTTTTGGTTCTTAATTATTGCTTAATATATTGTGCACAACAGTAAAAGAGTATGAAATAAGTATTGCGTGATAGTAAGTTTTATCAATTCTTTATTCAAGATAGGTCTTAGGAATAATTTACGATACAAATGGTTATTAAAAAAATCTATTATTTATTTTTTATCAATCTCTTTTTTGGACAAAGCATTTTGGAATATAAATTGATACTTTATAATTAAGCTTCGAAGATAATAAATTTTATCTCTAATCTGTTATGTAACTAAGCAACTATTTTAAACATAAAAAATAATATTTGCAGTAAGTACATATTTGTAATAAAGTGCTCAAGCCAAAAAAAGTCTTTGAATTTATATTATATTGCATTTATTGTAATATAAAAATGACAGAAAAAACATCACTTAATAGTCTTATTATTCACCCTGATATTGAGCCTGGTGTTATAGACAATGCTATGCTTACACGGTGCATTTTAGAGTATGGTAAATAATAAATACACATTATTTTCTTATATACTGCTTCACACTTAAATGTTACATAATTCTTTACTGAACATAAAATTGTAAATTTATTTTATATCCACCAATTTTATAATAACATCCTCCTGAACTGTTTCGGCCACGGCGGCCAATCTCATTGAGACAATCGATCTGCACAGGTGATAATAAAGAGCAAGTGTGCGCGCAAACACAAGTGCACTCTCTATTCCTATCACTTTCATACTCCGGTGGAATGACTACTCCACACGACAGGCACTAGTGACACTTAAGGCGCAGGATCAACGGCTTTTCGTGCTCCAAGGCATGGTGGTGAAAGACAGCCAACTTTTCAACTCCGGGTTGTTACTGAAAATTTCTTGACAGAAGTACTCAATAACTGAACTTGTTCCGACCCGGACTCGAACCCAGGATCTGCGGCAATACAAGTTAGCCACTATGCTACCGTGGCAGTTTGATACCAATAGTATTGGCTGGGTTTTATAAGAAGCTCTATTGAAAAGTGATTGAAAGAAAGGCTTAGCAATACTTATGTTTTAGTTGAGATGATAATTCTGTAAGTACGTTAAGGAATTTAATTGAAATCCATTTTATGGTTTATGCATTTCATAATTCTAAACAAAAATTGTTATTTTACTTAAAATTTATACAAAATACACCAAACACAATTTTTAAATCAAACTGGTTACTACCTGAAGATTCGAGCACACGAGTAATCATTTATTCCTACAATTTTGTTTTAATCAAAAGTAGTATCTATACAAATAGTTGAATCTTCAATTTTTGATTTAATAGCCTGAGCCAATTTTAACCAACAGACGTACTACTGCGCAAGATAATACGCCAGTACTAGATCGCGTTGCAGCACCTGCAATATGCATATTATTGACTGTGCTATTATTTTTCATCAGGACCAAAAGACGAAGCAGGTCGATTATTCGCAGAGGAAGGCGTTCATTTAGATGAAGCACCTGTCGTTAGACTTGAGTTCCAAAATATCTTAAGAATTGATCATCTTTGGATGTTGAAATCATTAAGGAAATTGACATTGGCGCATAATCTCATTGAAAAAATTGAAAATTTAGACCAATTGACTGGACTAAATGAATTAGACTTATCTTTTAATAAAATTGAGAAAATAGAAAATTTAGACGCACTGGTCAATATAGAAGTGTTGACGCTATTTCATAATAAGATAAGAAAACTTGAGAATATGGAAACACTAGAAAATCTTTTAGTATTTAGTATTGGTGATAATTTAATTGAAGATTATAAAGAGGTAGGTACAGTGAGTAAATATCTAATACTAGTGAATAATGGTAAATCATTTTTTTTCTATCCAAAAAAGTTATCTAGGTATACCTATTAATTATCAAAAATTATTGTTTTTTTTTTGTATATGATCATTTCACTTTCTTGCCTACTTGTGAAAGTTCGGTTCAAACAGACAGACATGAGCCATAGGTGCGAACATTTCAAACATGTTCGTTTGTAGTTTGTAGGTTACTGTATCGTATAAATAATAATGAGTTCAATTTGTAAAAAAATAGATATATTAAAGTTTACGTCGTCTTTTTGCGTATACAGGTAATAAAAATATTATTTACTTTTTAATATTTAAGATGGCGTATATGAGGAAATTTCGTAAATTACGCTCAGTGAGCTTTAAGGGTAATCCATGTTGTGACGATCCCATGACTTACCAGTTTCTGAAATCTGCTCTTACCCGCGTTACTTATTTAGATTATAAACTAGTTACTGAAGATGAAAGGGAAGATGGAAGAGCTATTTTTAGGTAAAATTGTTGCTATATATTTTTATCTATACCTACATACCTATAATAAAATTGTAACTAAGCTGAATCTGTACATTAGATATTTTTTGGAAAATCTAATTGAAATAAACATTATTATCGATACAAAGGCCGAATCTATAGTTTTTAGAATTTTTGTCTGTCTGTCCGTCTGTCTGTCTGTTACCGCATCACAGAAAAACCACTGGCGGGATTTTGATGAAATTGGGTATGGTGATAGCTGGTTATCCGGGTCAACATATAGGATACTTTTTACCGCGAGAAAATGTCTCATTTCTGAGAAAAAATGCAAAAACTGCAATGTAAGAGTTTTTTAATATGTAAAACCTAAGAATTTGGTTTTTGGTCATCTGAACGCGGGCGGAACCGCGGGCAATGCTAGTATTTTTATAATACACAAAACGGGTAAAAACTAAGATATAATGTTACTGTAATAAGTTAAACAGTAAACTTAGGTAACATTTGCTAATTGCTATTTATACGAAGTACTCGTTATAATTTGTAGAAGGTAAGTTTGGAGAAGAAAACTATCTATATCCGGATAAATTCTACTAACGATGAAAATGTTTAACTTCAGAGGTCTTCTTCGTAAATTAGATGAAGATGATGAAAAAGCTGAAAAAGAACGTTTGGCCAAAGAAGATTATAACGCAAAAGTTGAATTTTATGCCCTATCATTTGTTGAATATTTAAGCGGTCCCGAGTTACTTGAGGCTATGTTTGAGAAGGACCCAGACGGAACTCTACTGCTCAAAGTTGGCGGCGAGCTCATTGGATTCTATGAACAGTATATTTTATTTAATAATATTAAATATAAATCACAATATTAAACAAAAATTGCTGGTTCATTATATTTTTAAATGAAGATGATTAGCTCGGTAACAGGCCGGTTCTATAAAAAAATACAAACTTCCTTAAATAGCTAATTATCTATTATTAAACATTAAAAGTGAAAAAAATATGTAAGGCTTAATCCATTCTAATTTGTTTGTTTGTTTGTTTGTTTGTTTGTTTGTTTGTCCTTCTTTCACGTCGAAATGGATTAACGGATTTGCGTGATTTTTTTGTATGGCAATAGTTGGAGGGCTGGAGAATGACATAGGCTACTTTTTACTGCAGGAGATGATCTTATTCCCACGGGAAAACACGTTGTAATACAACCCAAAAAATATTTATGATCAAAATTACTTGAAACTTAGAAATGCAATTAAATAAATATGTGTTTTAGCATTTTTTTAAAATTAACCTTTTTGGGGGTAAAATAGGGGATGAAAGAAGAGTAAGAAACCTACCTTTTTAGAGTATTTTTTTGGTAGTTTTAGCGCGAGCCCAGCCACGAGTTCTGCTAGTATTATATAATTTTTAATGAATTTTCTACAGATATAAAGAACAATACGTAGAAACAATGGCGGGATTGGTAGAGTTTGCTCAAGAAGCGTACAACGCGAGACAACAAGAAATTAAGCTATTTAAAGATTTAGTAGACAATGCTCTAGAAGATAGTGTGGTAAAAAGTAAAGCGTAAGTGACTGATTGTGAATATGAAATATATATTCTTTTTTGATAACTACGTACTATCTGAATGTTTCGTTCACGTGAATACTTTTATACTGCTAAAATGAATAACATTATTATTTTTGCTTGTTTGTTATCTTTATAAAACTAATTTATACCCACGGCCACTATTTGGTACGTTCATCGACAAAAACCAGCTTATGTGTCACTTCAAGGTAGGTAGGTACCTACAAGCTGGAGTCATTGTGATGAGTAGAAGTAAGGAAGATTCTTCACTTTAATCAAAATGCTATTTTCCAGTGTCGTAGCGGAATTCGAAGAAAAGAAAAAGCCTCTAACAGAACAAATGAATCAAATAATAGGTAAATTTACGGCCAAACAAGCCACTATAGAGGAGTTAGAACCAAATATTATAGATGCTGGGGAGTCCTTCAATGATTTGATCTTTGATTTATGGAAAAAACTGATGACTATTGAAATGCAACTATATGAACAATGCGAGGTGAGATTCAAGAATGTAATATATCCTTTATCTACCCACATAATACATATTAATTATTATTCTTACTACACAAGATAACTATAAGTGTTTTTACTTTTAACCATAGAGCATCTAAGTATAAGCTACTAAAATACCAGTAGTATGTCTATACATATCTATCTTAATGACGTAATACACATAAAAAATAGCTCATTATGTAAGTAATACTTAATAATTATATATTATATACTTAGCATTTAATCAGTACTAACTAGCGACTTATCCTCGCATCTCTCGAGTGCGTCCCTGGATACGTTTCAATTTTTTGAGCGGGGCTCTAATTTTTTTTGTGAAATAAAATTAGCCTAAGTTATTCCTTCTAACATCAACTATCTGCCAGTGAAAGTCCCGTCAAAAACAGGCCAGCCGTTTCGGAGATTAGCCGGAACAAACAGACCTAGACAGAATCGAGGGTAATTCGCTAGTTATAAACTATTGTAATAGGTGAACTCATCAGGGAAACGTATTATACTTATTCACCTATTTATTACCTACTAAAGTTACAAATACTCGTATGTATTCTCGGACATTTAAATTTTGATAGGATAATTAGTCGACATCACATTGATAAAGATGTGTAAATAACATTTAAACTTTAATGCCATGCTATAATGTGATGTCATGTGTTGTTAAATATTTTTTTCTTTAAACTAGCTATGTCCCGCGGTTTCAACTTTCACCCCGGCCCCGTTTACAATAATTTATGGTAGCCTGCCTGATTGGTTTACATTTATGATTTCTGTTCCGCTCGCTTGCGTAGTAGCATGATGATATATTATAGCGGATAGCCTATGCCTTTTTCAACAAACGGGCTATGTGATCCAAAAATAATTTTTCATTACATTTTTTTTAACGCTCGAACACACAAACAGACAAACTCTGTTTCTTTATAATATTAGTATGGATGCGTATATATGTTAATGTTATTCCTATTTCAAGGAATCTCGAGTTCAATTTGCAGTAAACATGACAGAAATGATAACGAAATTACTAGAAGTTTCTCGCAACGCTTTTGGGGCGTGGCGGGAACATGAAGGCATGTGGTCGATGCGTCAGTTCGAGACGCTATCCAAGCTTTTGGGTAATAAAGTTATATTGGGTGATATTCCTAAAGAACTGTTTGAGGTAAAAAAAATTACAAATACCTTACAATACATACATACAGATATGCTAAATATACCTACCTATTGGTGCTTATATATTCGTAACTGTGTAATAGATACTTTCGGGTTTCGGAAACTAAAACTCAAAATAAATCCGCGAAAAAATCCAAAAAGATCTATTCAAAATGTAGGTATATATGTAATTCCTTACAACATTACCACTTCGATAAAGTGCTTGAGTACCTACCTAATTGTATTTTTTGTTCTTTTTATATTGATTATGTAAATGATACCTGAATAGAATAAATAAATAAAACAAATTAACATCACAGGTGATGATGGACAGAGATCAAATGATGAATCTCGTAGCCCAGTCGTCAGACAACCACATGCGGTTCATCGACGCTCGGGAAGACTTGCTAATGACGCGAGCGAATAACTGGCGAGATCAACTAGTACAAGGAACTAACGAGTGAGCAAAAATATTTTTGTCTCTATGCCCATTTGCTGCGGAAGTAATGTTTAAATTTTAACAACTTCGAACAGAGTAATAGGTAGGTTAGAACATTGCAAAAGACAAGGGATAGAAATCATACAAAACCTTCCATTTCCCCCTTTCTGCTTTTTTTTCAATGCACGAGAAAAATATAAAACAATTTAAGCTTATTAGGTGTTACTTTGTATGTGATTAAGATGTAAGAGTGATTATAATTATTTTAATTTGATTTTCAGTAACGAAATCAAGCGAAACAGAGATAGGATTCTGGAAATATATTATTTCATAGACAACCAACGTGAAGAATGGACGGACATGCAGATGAGTATGACTGAGACGGTCGATCCAGAGACTGCTGCTCTTTTCGGCGACGACTTTTAATTAAATGCCAATAACACGCAGCAAAGACTTTTTTCTTAATGCTTAACTTAATTACTTTTAATACATTTTTAATTTAATATTTTGCGGAATTTATATTTTATTATAAGTTTTCAGATTTAATTTTATTTTGTTATAATAAAGCAGTAAATTTTTAAAAACAATGACTGTGACGTATCATGTACACAATATAGACCCAAAGACCAAAACCGTAGTTATGAAAAAAAAGGTCTGTTTGTCTGTTTGTGTGTGCGCGTTTCACGCAAAAAGTAATGTACCGAGTTCAGCGAAATTTGGTGAATTGATAACTTATTACTAGGGTCAATATAAAAACATCAAAAGGTATCCTAAATACCTTTTATTTCAGAAAAATCTATCCCACAGGAAAACGCAATATCTGGTTTTATCGAGTCCTCCTTAGAAACCTTTCCATTTCCACAGGCTAAACCTTAAGACATACATCAAAAAAATGTATTAAAAAATTGTAGGTCTTGAAAATGCATACAGAAAAGTCCTGAATAGTATATTATGTCTATCTTATAAGGTACACTCGCTTTACGTATTCTTATCTATATCTGTAATAAAACTAACTTAGTCAAATCGATGTGCGCGATTCACGTAAAAAGTACTGAATAAATCATTTCTCACTATCCTTATATTTATCCTTATATATACTTACCTAATTTTCTATATCTATATATTATGTACATCCATACTAATATTATAAATGTGAAAGTGTTTTTGTGTATATTTGTTTGTTTGTCGTTCTTTCACGTCGAAACGGAGTGACAGATTGACGTGATTTTTTGTGTGGAGATAGTTGAAGGGCTAGAGAGTGACATAGGCTACTTTTTACCGCGGGAGATTATTTCATTCCCACAGCAAAACACGTTACAATACAACCTAAAAAATATTTATGATTAGAATTACTTGAAACTTGATATTAATGCTCTTTAACACAAATAAATACGTATTTTAGCCTTTTTCTAAATTCATCTCATAAGGGGGCAAAATAGAGGATGAAAGTTTGTATGAAACCTACTACTTTTTAGACTTTTTTTGTAGTTTTAGTGCGAGCGAAGCCGCGGGTTCTGCTTGTTGTACACCTACATACACTGTTGTACATATATGTATATATAGTCTATTCTGTACTATCGTTAAAACGTACCTATGGACGAACCCGAGCGAAGCGAGGGTGAGTCGCTAGTAGGTACTAAATAAATATTATGGCAATTGCGCGTCTGACACGTACATAGGTCCATCAAAGGCTTCGTGCCACAAAGTAATAATGTAATCGAATAAATTAAAATACTTACGTAAGCACAACACTAATTTAGTGTTTTTATTGACCCTGAACGAAGTTTGTAAATTATAGTTGGTGTGCGTAGAAAAATCTTTTACAAAAATTTATCTCATTTTTAGGGTTCCCTAGTCAACTAGGAAGTCTTATAGTTTCGCCATGTCCTTACTCTTTCAATCCGTCTGTCCGCAGCTAGCTCAGAGACTCTTAGTAGGTAGGTGCTAAAAAGCTGTAATTTGTATTTTGGCTTTATCGAAAAAATAATCTTCGAGAAATCTCACACACGCAAATTCCACAATGCAGATTACGAATCCGATCACTCCCTAGTCATTTCTTCTGTTCGCTTCAATCCGAAAAAAATTACTGTGGTCTTTCCGCCAGTAAAAAGAAAATAAGCCCTCCAAGCTCAGGTCAGTCCTTCTATGGAAACGTATGAGAGCTGGTTTGTGCCAAATTCGCCGCTAACGCCCTTGGCTTTCAATCAAACCTGAATCAAGACTGGTATAAGGCAAATATTGGCTATCTTCAGGCGTTGCTTGACACCAAACGGCACGAGTTCCTCCTCTCCTGCCAGCTAAAAAAAAGTGTGTTTTGTCTGTTGGTTCCGGATAATCTCCGAAACGGCTGGACTGATTTTGACGATATTTCTACTGGCAGATAGCTGATGTTATAAGCAGCAACTTGGCCATTTTTTCTAGAAAAAGGATTAGGGTTCCGCTCAAGAAAATTAAAACGTACCTATTAATCTTATAATATTTTTTCACCATAACATTCCTGAATCTATTTTAATGAAAATTATTACGGATTATTACGAAAACAAAATCCAGTTTGAAATATACTTTACAAATCGATTTTCAATGTCAATTTATTAACTTTTATTACATTTTTATTTTTAGATTTAGTAATAAAACAAACTAATTGGTTGTGGATATTTTTATTCAACTTTGTATAAGAATATAAACAATAAATTATTATCTGCTTCATTATACATTTCATTGTAAATATATTATATAAAATTCATATTTTATCTGTGCCTGAACCTTTAATATATTTACAAAAGTTTAATAAAGTACCAATACAATCCAATAGAAGTAATTAAAAAATATTTAACATTTTGTATTATAAAGATTTAGAATATTAGTATTAATAAAAATGGTTAATAAAAAATACTTTTTATATTTATTAATTAATTAAACTAGGAATTTCACATTTTAAGAACACATATTTTAATTAGAAGCCTTCTTTTTCAACGACTGAATATAAATTTCTAAACTTTGTTGCACTTGAGGAGTTTTGACAAAGCCCAAGAATTCTTGTAAATCTTTCTCTTTTCTTTCCATAAAGTTCTTCAATGTAGTTTCTCTAATTTTCTGTTTAGTAATTGATCGAGCTAATGGAGGGATTTTATCAAACTTTTTTATAAAACCTTTACATTTTGTGATTGCATCCGCTTTATCAGATGCTACTTCGTCAATGAGACCCACCTTAAAGCAAAATAAGTAAAAAATTAATTAAAGAAAGGTAGGAATTTAAGCTGTTGGCTCTGTAAAAAGGGTAGAAAAAAAACTATTTATCACATGTATATGATATGAAAAATCTTATGTAATAAGTTCTGGAATAGCCAAGTTACAAATAAGAAAAGAAAATAAGATAATAGTTAGCCCACCTTTAAAGCTTCATCAACTGTAAACATCTTGGCTGTTGTAAGAGCAAGTTCTGCTTGTCGTACAGGAATGGTATGGCAATATGCATCCATAAACCAATTTGGTGCGACAATACCTAAAGCGGTTTCATTAAGACCAATCGCAAATTTGCCTCCAACCATTACTCTATATTCAGTTGAGATACTAATTAGACATCCACCAGCAGGAGCATGACCCTTAAAAATAAAAAATAAATTATTTATTTGGATTCGGGTGTAGTAAAAACTTTTCTAATTTATTTAACACCGAGCGGACCTAACTAGGTATGTTTTAACGGTTAGTATGGAACAGATAAACTACATAGGTATAATGAGTTGTTGTGGTTTATATTATATTGTTTTGCCATAGGAATGAGATAATCTCTCCCAGTTAAAAGTAGCCTAGGTCACGCTTCAGACTTCCAACTATCTAACAAAAAATTATGCCAACCTGTCACTCTTTTGATGTGAAAGAGACAAACATATGTATATTTAAATGACTTTTCAACTTAAGCCAAAAGTTATGAAATTATACATTTATAAATTGGAAATATTGTACCTTGTTTTTCTAGTAATTTTAAAAAATCATGTGAAATACGAACTTATTTTTGCAACCATTAAAATAAACAATGTCCTTATGTAAACATTATAATTTGGTTTCAACTTAATCTGCAAATAAACCAAGCATGCAAATAAAATTCGTACTTTTTAAATTTTTAACTGTTTCTTACATTGATAGCTGCTGCAGTAACAAAATTAGATCCGAATAATTTAACAAACATATCTTGTAGGCTTCTCCAAAATTCTTCTGCTCTCTTTAAATCTGGTTTATACATTTCCATAATGTCTAGACCTGCTGAGAATACCGATGGAGATGACTAAAAACAAAAAAGTAAATTGATTAAAATGAATTATTTTATAAGCATGCAAGAGTTGTTCATATCATAGTTTTTACAAAAGTTAAGTTAATGAATTGAAACTTACAGAAGTTATTATTAATCCTTTACTTTTATTTTTCCCAACTTCATCCAACTTTTGGTTCATTTCCTTTAGTAGCTCAAGGTTAAGACTATTAACAGGAGCCCTTTGTAATGTCATTATAGATACTCCATCATTGTCAACTGTTAGGTCTACCAGTGGACCTTGACTAGACATGGCTCTCAAGTTTGGGGCCAGTCTTCTTGTGTTGTTTAGAACTTGGCGTAAAAACATCTTGCCTGAAATAACTAGAATTAGTAGTAATAACTATATTTATCAAATTAAATTATATTATAGTAAATAATTCTATAACTAAAATATTTGCTAAGTAGTTAATAATTTATTTATATTGCAGCTTGAAAACATTAATTATATTGTTAATTGATAACATTTTTGAAACATCTATGTAACATAATGATATCGTTATATTTATTACAAAAAATATATTAAAGCTTTAGTTTATGAAACCAAATATTTTAACTTTCACGCATGCCAGTTGAAAAACTTCTAGCCTACTTAGAAAAGTATAAATAATACATTACCACACACACATTACCTTATTTAATAATTTCGCTTGATATTCTTAACTTGAACACTAAAATCTCGGGCTGCTAATAAATATTAATATGTATTTTTTATAATTTTATCAACTTTTTGTGATTAAAAGTAGTTTACTTACAAGCGACCAAACACTGTACAGTCAACAGTAGAAACTAGAATTATAGAATAATAGAATTGGAGTTTGGACTAAGGACTTTGACACTATCTATTTCAAATTTCAATTACCGAACGCGAAGTGCGAACTGCGAAGCAGTGGCTAGTGCATTCAGCATTGGGTGACCATCTCAAAAATAGCGAATCTGCCCGACTCTGTCAAAAAATCTGCCAAAATCTGCTAAAGCCGACTCCAGAAAATTCATAAAATATGCCATATTAATGCATCCATGGAGACTGGTATGAATAAATATAATACTACGTATTCAAAGGAATTCCTTTATTCAACTTGAAATTTTTCACATTCTTTTTCATTTTCATTGAAAGCAAAGGATCTTGCTCCCACTCACGTCGGTACAATTATGCACGGAAGACACAACTGCACACATTTAACGCCAAAGAAAATAAGGATTAAGGTGGCAACTAGCATATAAGACAACAAACATTGATTTGATTCCGATCAGTTATGATAATAAAAATATGAACGTTATTACTAATTTATTACCATATTATAATCGTTATAAGGCGTACCTACATAAAAAAATAAATAAACGGGAATACCCCGTACTATCTGGCATGGGACACATGTTGCCAGCTCAGTAAATGATTTATTACCAAATAAATGTATAATAAAAAATAAAATAAATAATAAGACACAGAAAACTATAAGTATTCTAAATACATTTCAAAAATAATAAAGATTTCTTTGAAATCTGCCAAATCTGCCCAAATGGCAGAAATCTGCCATAAATGGTCACACTGTTCAGCGTACAAATTAGAGTCCGTCTCACGAAAGAAGTCCCACGGCAAAAAGTGGAACTAATTATGACAGGTCGGACATGTTGTCATTGGCAGGTGCTGTTACCCTGTTCGGATGCAAAAAGATGTGATTGTAATATATCTGGAATAAATTTAATCGAGGACCATAATTATACAATTAAAATTTACAATTATTTTTTATAATATTTACTCTACTACTATGTATTGCAAATAATAGACGAGTTGTTCGTTCTTTGTTGCTATTACCTGAGACTCGGATCTTGAGCAAGCAAAATGTGCAAAATATGTGTACAATGTATTATTTTATCAACTTAATTTAGAAAAACAATAAAAATGAATTCCAAAGTTATTTTTAGGGGGAGTCTAAAAGCAGAGGCTAGCAACATTCCGTCGAATGACCATTGACCGTAGCGCCGCCGAGTCTGCGGAGCTTCTTTCTTGAGTCGAACTCCTACTAACTTTTTTTATTTCAAGCAGTAAGCATCTCACATTTATTTATTATCTGCAATTCTATTTTTTTATGATTTTCAGGATCAGTTTCGGATGGATTTATTATGTTCATAAAACAAAATTGTGTCAGTGGTCACTAAAAAATAATGTAACTAACGTGTGCAAAAATATTTGATTTTACAAATTACATAAAAGATATTTTTTTTAAATCTGTCTTTTGTGATTCATTAATCATATAAATTGGCAATTGCTTATTTCATTTATTTATTTATATTTTTCTGTAAATTCATTGTACTAAGCCAAACAAATTATGATTTAAAATTTGAAGAAGTCTTCGTTACCTTTTAAAGTTAACTTTTAAAGGTTTTTTATATTTTGTCAGAAATTCTCTAATGTCATGAGTCGTCATGTCATGGTCATCATGTTGGAAATGATTTGCACATGAAAATATTAGAGGTTCGAGGCCCGGGATTTGAACCCGTTTCACTCGGTTCCGCAAGCGAGTGCGTTATCATTGGGCTACCACTGCCACAACTGACACATGCACCAAATAATTAAAATAGTATTTTTAAATTTCATATAATATTAACGTAAATTTATTTGATTACTAGCGGCTCACCCTCGCTTCGGTCGGGTTTGCCGATAAAATAACAAAAACAAATCTATCCACGGGGACCGTACATTTTTCCGGGATAAAAAGTAGGCTATGTGCTATTCCAGACTATAAATAAAAAACTATTAAAAATAGCTTATCTTGAAAAAAAAAATTACAATAGCGCTATTTTATTTGGTCTTTGGTCATCAGAACGCGGGCGGAGCCACGGACAATGCTAGTATTATATTAAAGTAGTATAGATTTATTTATGTTCAAGTAGAATTTTTATTCTTCAAAGCTTTAATATACAATTCAAGTGATTGTTGGATTTGGGGATCGCTGACATAAGTCAGATATTCTTTGACTTCTATTTCTCTTCTCTTCTTAAATCTTCCGACGATTCCCTCTCTTATTCTCTGTTTTGTAAGTGAGCGGGTTGAGTAGGGGATGTCATTAAATCTTCTTATAAAGCTTTTACATTTGTCTATGACATCTAATTTATCAGTCGCTGTTTCGTCAATAAGGCCTACCTGCGATTTATTCTTAATTATATATATATTATACATATATTATGTATTATCAAGATAACTACATAATTGTTCCTAATTTAAAATATTTTGTAATAATTTTAAAAATAAAAGCTAGAAATTACTATGCACTTACCTTTAGAGCTTCATCAGCTGTAAATTGTTGAGCGGTTGTAAGAATGTATTCAGCCTTTTTCACAGGCAAGATGTGGCATAACGCATCCATCACCCAGTTTGGTACTGTCATTCCAAATGCCGCTTCATTAAACCCAATTTTATACTCTCCGTTTACCATGACCCTGTATTCAGTTGCGATAGCAAGAAGACAGCCACCAGCTAACGCATGGCCCTGAAATTGGAACATTTATAATTGATAAATTTCCTACTAATTTAATAGATACAATATATTAGCCCCTAAAAATTAGCAACCCAAATTTTTTTTATTGATATTCTGTGTGTTCCCTTTTTTTCTCTTAGTCTAACTAACCTTACACGTATCCCATTGTTGGTATAGTTCCCATCACATAAAAAGAACGCTGGCCGTTTACCTGCGCACTGAGTGATTTAGAGATAAAATAGGTGGTATGGAAGGGGCGCGAAGGGGGACTCTCCGCCGGTATGTTTGTGCGCGTACGCTATTGGTTCGTCAGTTGACTCACGCATCCCATTCCCGCGTTGAGATCACGCTTCGTTCGTTCAGTGATGTCAACTTAGCCCTTTTGGGGCTAGATCTAGCCCTTTTTTGGCTTATTCAGCCCTTAAAATGATGATTTAGCCCCTAGCCCTATTTCTAGCCCCGAAACCGTGTAAGAAAACTTTATTCTGGCACACAGTACAAATTTTAAAAAAATCATGCGATACAATGAGAAAGAAATTTAAACATAACAAAGCATTAAATAAACGCACACAACCGTCTCACACATAACTTTCTTTGCACGACGATGGTTTTACATAGGAAGGAAAGAAAAATGATTTATAGTGTAAGAAACGGACTGCAGAACTGCAATGACTACAATAAGACGTATTGTAGAAATGTGAACAGTTCAGAATTTCTTACTGTTTTTAGAACTCCCGGCAAAAAGAAAAGGATAAAAAAGAACATAATATAACGGGCCTTAGTTTAAGTTTTCTGATAACCTACTATAAATTTTAAGATAGAATAAAAAATAATGTTCAAGTAAATATTATCTATGTTTTTTATTCCAAAGTATTAATTAGCTAGTAAAGTACCTATTATGATTTTACAACAAAACAATTACTAATCTATACATATAATAAAATTCTAACTAAGTCAAATCTGTACATTAAATATTTTTTTGGGAAATCTAATTAAAATAGACATTATTATCGATACAAAGTCCGAATCTATAGTTTTTAGAATTTTTGTCTGTCTGTCTGTTACCGCATCACGAGAAAACCACTGGACCGATTTTGATGAAATTTGGTATAATGATAGCTGGTTACCTGGGTCAACATATAGGCTACTTTTTACCGCGGGAAAATATCTCATTTCTGAGAAAAAATACAAAAACACAAAAACTGCATTGTAAGACTTATATGTAAAACCTAAGAATTTGGTTTTTGGTCATTTGAACGCGGGTGGAGCCGCGGGCAATGCTAGTATAAATATATTATACAAAAATTTAGCCCAGCACTTTTGGACGACTGTACCTATGCGTAGACACATCCCCTTCAATGTCGCTCAGCGTTCTTTTTACGTGACGGGACCTGACCTACTTATACGAGATATAGGTACCTATACGAGAGGCAGGCCAGCGGTTAAGGGCGCACTGAGGCAATTACGAAATAATTGCGTTCGTTTGATCCCTTGTTGTTATTATTACTAAAACTATAATTATTAAATTAATATGTAGGATATTTAGAGATTTATTCTATAAATCGTACATTTTACAAACACGATTAGGTACTTGTAGTTTCCTCGATAGAAAAAAATCCTAACTGATCTCCAATAAAAACTTTTTATCAAAAAAAACGACTTTAAAAAAAGCACTAAAAAGTAAAAAATAATTGATTGATAGCTTTCATTTACTATAAATACCTCCGCAAAATATACATATAATCCGCGCATTGCAGACGTTTTATCAGCTTATAATTTAATATGCTAATCAGCTTGGTTGGAAGCGACTTGATAACTATTGTGCAATAATCTTATTACATAGATTTTAGTTATTCATCTTCGTTAATATATAATAGGTATAATTTATCAAATAATCAACATAATGTCAACAAAGTGGAAAATTAGCTTTTTTTTTGCTTTTAGCAAAAAATAAGTTCTAATCTTGTTAAGCGCTTGCAATCGCTTGAAATCGAAATGATTGTAAGTAAACTTCGGGATGTAGAGTTCACTTTGCGAAGACGACGTTGACTTGAACCAAAGTTATGACTACGATTCTCAAAATTTTACATTATACAACCCATCTACGATTTATTAGTTTGAATATCTTGTTTAATTACCACATCCAGGTAAATTTCTAAGAAATTACATTTCTAAGAAATCTATTATTAACTGACACGCCGGCGTGTCCGCGGTCGTCGAGGGATTAAAATACCTTTATCCGGTAAGCAGATTGGAATTAGGACGATCACAGACTAATCCGACTATTATTATAAATGCGTGCGGGCGCATGTGTGTGTTTATTCACAACGCCTTTACTATGAAATGGCTGGACGGATTCGAATGTTTTGTACAGAGTTAGTCTGTATGACCGTTCCAGCGTTATTTGATTATTTAAATCTATTTATTGAAAATAGGAAATAAAAATCATGCATTTCAATGAACGCCTTTTAACGTAGCTATTTTTCTTTTTGCAAAATCTGTCACAAACGTAATTTTAAAAAGTTAATAAAATGTATTAATAGAAACAGAAAAATAAATAAAGGATGTGTGTATATATTTGTGTATGTATTTATTTGTGCCTACAGTCTGTAACCTCTGGAGTAACTAAGCTACACGCAAAGTCACTCAAGTCACTCGCTAAGCTAATATTAGAATTTTCATAATAAGAGTTAGGAATCAACAATACTCACATTGATTGCTGCGGTAGTAATAAACTTGGAATCAAATATTTTTAAATACGCTTCTAGTAATAAACGATAAAACTCTTCTGTTCTTTTTAAGTCAGGTTTATATAATTCTGAAATATCTAACCCAGCTGAAAACACAGTTGGCAATGCCTGAAAATAAAATTAATATAATATAAATAATAAATAAATATATATGTTGGGACATTCATACTTAGCACCATCTAGTTCCATGGTAAGCTACGAGGCTTGTGCTATGGGTACTAGATAGTTGATACACTACATATACATAACTTTAAATGAATACATATTATAAATATAAACACCCATGACTGGAATACAAACATTCATGCTCGTCACACAAATGAATGCCCCTAGCGGGACTCGAACCCGCGACCGCTGGTACAATAAGAAGAGTCACTACAAACTCAGCCAAACGTGTCGTTATATGTATTTGATGAACGATGAAACTTTAGGTTATAAAATTTACAACGTTATTCGAATGTTGTGTATTACCTACCTATAAATTAAACATACTTACTGAAGATATTATTAATCCTTTACATTTGTTTTTCTCAATTTCATCAAGTGCTTGGTTCATTTCGTGTAACAGGTTGAGATTCATAATATTTACTGGAGGTCTCTGTAGCGTCATTAAAGATATGCCATCGTTACCAATTTTTAAATCTACTAAAGGACCGTGACTGGACATGGCCCTTAAATTTAACTGCTTACAGTTGTTTATTATCTGACGTAGAAACATTCGCCTAAAATATATTTTAGCACTATTTATTTTATTGTATATTTTTTTTAATAATTAATTTTAAGATAGGTAGGTAGGATATGCCTTTTGTACAGTGGAACAGGTTAATAAAGAGTTTCTTGTATTATTATTTCTTTAGGCTTAAAGGTGGCGTGGTCTTGGTCCAAGCGCACACTAGGCTCATCTTGTGGCTGTTTCATTGCTTTTTAGTGAACTTTAAACACAGGTTATAAAATGTTTTTCTCGAGACAGGCACATATAAATTATAATTACTAAATAATAAATGTTTATATTGCAATGAGTAAGACTGCCGTTATAAGTGAATCAGTTAATTTGAAAGTCAGAGAAAGAAAGAAGGCTTTAGGCTACGAGTGTATCCTTACTCCCTAAAACATTGGTAGGTATCGTCTGACGCATTAGTCCGGTCAAATTAGACATAGAAATTGTGATCAAATAACAAAAACTCCGACAGAGCTGATTTTGGTAGAAACCTTGGGTACATCGTACACCAGTAGAAATAGCAGGATAAAAATTACATTATATTACAATACCATGAAACTAGTGAGACAGACACATCCATTTTCGCGATAAAGATTAGTGATATTACTTAAAAGTATGTATCGTATGTCTGTAGAAAATATAATATAATAAAGATTCCGACGAATTGAGACGATTAAAATTACCTATTATTTATTTAGATTTTAGTAAATCAATAAAGCATTTATGAAAAATAAATGATATAAGTAACTATTCGCATCTATAATTTTCGTATCTTTAATAATCGCTAATTCCTGTATCGGAAAAGTAAGGAGTTCACCCGGAGATGAACATGATTGTATTTTTTTCTTAATAGTCTACCGAATGTTGCTTGGACTCTTTCGAAAACCGGTTCTTAATTTAGGTACAATATGTACTTGTGTCTATATTAGGTATTATCCATACTAATATTATAAATGTGAAAGTGTGTTTGTTTGTTTGTTTGTCTTTCTTTCACGTCAAAACGGAGTGACGGATTGGCGTGATTTCTGGTGTGGAGATAGTTGGAGAGCTGGAGAGTGAAATAGGCTTCATTTTATCGCGGGAGATCATCTCATTCTCACGGGAAAACACATTATAATATAACCCAAAATATTTATGATCAAAATTACTTGAAACTTGATATTAATGCTCATCAATATAATTAAATAAATACATGTTTATTTATTTTGTAAGTTGGAAAACAGACAGCATGTATAAGCATAAAATGCAAAATACATCAGAAATAATACATTTCGCCAATAAAGTTTCCACATATACATAAATATAGCAGAGTAAGCTTACTAACAATAAAATTAAAACAGATATAAATAAAATGTGTAGCTACAAAATAAAAAGAAATATATAAAAATATTATTTATCAGACTCGTGATTTTTTAAGTTCAGCTATAAATTTCTTTAAATTATATCCGAATATGTCGAGATGCTTGTAGTAAATATTATAAACTAGCATTGCCCGCGGCTCCGCCCGCGTTCCGATGACCAAAAACCAAATTCTTAGGTTTTATATATTAGTCTAATCTTACATTGCACTGTTTGTATTTTTTCTAAAAAATGAGATATTTTCCCGCGGTAAAAAGTATCCTATATGTTGACCCGGATAACCAGCTATCATCATACCAAATTTCATCAAAATCTATTCAGTGGTTTTCTCGTGATGCGGTAACAGACAGACAGACAGACAGACAGACAGACAAAAATTCTAAAAACTATAGATTCGGACTCTGTATCGATAATAATGTCCATTTCAATTAGATTTTTCAAAAAAATATTTAATATACAGATTCGACTTAGTTACAATTTTATTATATGTATAGATGTTACAGACACTAGTCAGGAAACAATTCTTGGCATATTTGGTTCTATGAAAGGGAACAGAAAAGGTATCTCTGGATCGGCTGTTAGTTCGAGGGCATTTAAAGAAAATATTAGACAAAAGATAATTACAATCGATATGGTTATTAATATTTTGAAAAGAAGAATTTGATCTCTTACTTCCCTTCTTTTTTCCAAAGCTCACAAGTTTAGGTTATTACACTCAATATCTCCAAATTTGAAATGTAATCTCTCAATGAATTTATTTTGAACGTCCTCGATAGCGTTAATATATTTGTGATACAGAGGATTCCAAACAGTTAAGGCATATTCCAGAATGGATCTAACGTAACAGTTATATAGTACATTGTATGTTTGTATGTTCTTAAAATCATCTGCTTGACGAAAAATAAATTCAAGCATTTTGTAAGCCTTGGTTGTAATATTAGAGATGTGTTTATCAAAAAGAAGTTGAGAATCCAGTTGTACTCCCAGGTCTCTTACCTCTGGTACACGTTTAAGGGGTTTGTTTAAAATAGAATAATTAAATGAAATTGGAATCTTTTTTTTTTTGAAAAAGTTATAACATCGCACTTATCAGCATTAATATGTAATCCCATTAGCTATACAATAATTTTTAATTTTATTAATATCGTTTTGAAAATCCTCACAGTCTTTTATACTCTTTATCATTTTAAATATTTTAATATCATCTGCGTATAAAAGTGAGTTTGAAAGCTGACAATTTTCAAGGATATCATTAATAAAGATATTAAATAATACAGGGCCGAGGTGAGAGCCCTGGGGAACCCCTGATGTTGTGGGAACAAAACTCGAAACAAAACCTTTAACAGCTACTGCCTGTGTTCTATTTCAAAGATAGGAATTCAACCATCTGAGTAGATCACCATGTATGCGGGTTTGTTCAAGTTTGTAGACGAGCAATGAATGCGAAATTTTATCGAATGCTTTTGAAAAATCTGTGTATACAGTATCCACTTGATATCCGATTTCTAAAGCAGAAATAACGATGTCAAGAAACTCGTACAAGTTAGTTTTCGTGGAACGCTTGTTGATAAATCCATGTTGCTGAGTAATAAGCGAGGGTCTTAATAATAATGGGTACAGATGGTCATAAACGATCTTTTCAAATGTTTTTTTCATTTTTCGAAATTCATCCTACCAACAGGGGATGAAAGTTTGTATGAAACATACCTGTTTAGAGCTTTGTTGTAGTTTTAACGCGAGCGAAGCCGCGAGTTCTGCTAGTATTATTATAATAACAAAAAGGATTAATGATATGTTGCATAGGTACTTATAAAATTTATTACTCATAAAGTTTTACATAACATTAATAAGATTGTAAGCTTAGCCCGTTTAATATTAACTACTTGGTAGATAGATACTCAAAACTACTTTTCAGACATTACGTTGGAACGGTAATAATCTTATTCAATGGAATTAAGTAAAATACAGGACATAATATATAATGTATATAAAATACAGGATTTTTATTATCTAATTATTATTTATTTGTTCTTGCGGCTTTGAGCGGTCGCTATTTCCTATATAGTTTAAAATAATCACATAGAATCCGTCTGTAATTACCGAAAGTTATTGAAGAAAACGCTCTTAAATATGTATAAAACCAGCCTAAGTATCGGTTGCCAATTTTTTTTAAGACAACGTAACGTTAGAATTATAGTATCTATACACAAAATCTGAAGTAAAGTGTCTTTCGTCCATCTACTTAGTGTATATGAAGATATTTTGTTCTCATGGGAATTTATCATGGGAAAGATTTTAATCATCATGCATCCCTTATTTACACACATAGTCATTACTCAAGCAAAATATGACAATTTAACATTTATTTACATATATACAATATTATTTATAAACTTACCTGTTTAAAACCAGCCAGGTTCGTTAAAAAATAACACTAATTCCTTTTGTAAATTTATTAAGTGTGATTAATGTTTTACTTGAGAAACGACTTCATACGAAGGCTGCTGAGATCTCACTGCAGATCGGCATTAAAATGTTTAAGACTTTATAAACTTGTAGAATAATGTTATTGGTATATTAAAATACATATTAGTCAAGTGTGAGTTGGACTCGTGTGTACAAGGTTCCACCTTCCACATACATATTAGGTATATTAGGTATATTATATGGAATGCACAGACAGGTAGACTAACTTCGTAAAAACGGTGCTACCCGTAACAGTTGGGTAGCTACTGTCGATTAGTTTATTTTATAACTAGCAGAACCTGCGGCTTCGCTCGCGCTAAAACAATAAAAAAACTCTAAAATTGGGTTTCATAGAAACTTTCATCCCCTATATTACCCTCTTAGGGATTGAATTTTAGAAAATGCTGATATACGTACGTAACTCATTACTTTTGCCGTACTTAATTCATACGTTTCATGCAAATATGACCAAGGAATAAAAAGTTTCATACAAAGTTTTATCTCCTATTTCACCCCCTTGGGGGTTGAATTTAAAAAAATCCTTTCTTAGTGGATGCCTTCGTCCTATGAGGAGTAGGTACGTGTGCCTAATTTCAATTTTCTAGTGTTAAGGGTTTGGCCTGTGCGTTGATACATCAGTCAATCACTTTTGTCTTTTATATATATGTATATAGATAGATAAGTCATTTAGAAACTTAATAACCAATAATATTAATTTAACAGCAATGAAGCCCTAAATATTCTTCAAGGTTATATAATACTAGCGGCTCACCGTCGCTTCGCTCGGGTTCACCTCTAGAAAAGCACAAACAGATCTGTCCCACGGGAACCGTTCATTTTTCCGGGATAAAAATAAGTAACCTGTTGTTTGACCTGCAATATAAGGTCATATCAGCATGCCAAATTTTACTAAATTAGGTGCATAAGTTGTTGTGTACTGAGCTGTATAAGTTACTATAATTTTTTAACTATTCCACGGGAACTCTTTAATTTTCCGGAATGAAATGTATCAAATTTCATTTAAATAGGTTCAATAGTATCGGAGATTAGCCCGTACGAACAGACAAACAGACAGAGAAACAAAAAAATTGAAAAAAAAACTGGATTTGTTCTACTTCTCTCCTACGGGATGTAAGAAGAGAACTGACTCGTTTTTTAGCAATTATTTCTACCATCTATGTACAGACATTCGACCTCTACAGTTTTATTATTCATATATGTACCTATATTCAGATAGAATACATAACGTATAATAAAACAGAAATATATAATAATGAAAATAGTTATAGCGAGTGTACCTTAGGAGATAGACATATAATATCGTATGTAGAACTTTTCTATAGACATTTTTAAGACTTACAATTTTCTTGTACAATGTTTTGATCTATCTCTTAAGGTTGATCCAACGTTAGCCATATAAATTTCTAAGGACAATTCGATAGAACCAGTTATTGTTTTTCCCGTGGGAATGAATAATTTGCCTGTCGTAAAAAGTACTAAGTTTTATCACTATACAAAATGAAGTTAAAATCGGTTGAATACTTTTTGCGTAAAACGCGCACATCGATTTGACTAAGTTTTATTATAGGTATAGATAAGAATAAATATTGCGAGTGTAACTTAGGAGATAAGACATATACTATTCAGAACTTTTCAAGACCTACAATTTTTTAGTATATTGTTTCGATGTATGTATGTCTTATAGCTTAGACAGAGGAAGGTTTCTAGGGAGGACTCGATAAAACCAGTTATTATATTTTCCCGTGGGAAAGAAAGATTTTCTTTAAGTATAAGGTATCTAGGCAGTGGTATCCCAGTGGTAACGCGCTCGCTTGGGAAACCGAGTGTAGCAAGTTCAAATCCCGGGTCTAGCACCTCTGATATTGGCCAGCGTGGTGGACTATGGCCTGATCCACCTCGTACTGAAAGGAGGCCCGTGCGTGTGTTAAAAAGGGCTGAATACAACATACATACATACAAAAGGTACCCTAAATGTTGACTCGAGTAATAAGTTATCACTTCACCAAATTTCGTTGAAATTAGTACATTACTTTTCGCGTGAAACGCGCACACTAAAACAGACAAACAGACATACAGGCAAACAAACAAACAGACATTTTTTTTAATAACTATTGTTTTGGGGTCTATGTTGTGTACATAATACGTTACAAAGAAACAAAAACATCTATCCCACGGGAAAAGTACATTTTTCCGGGATAAAAAGTTACCTCTTTGTTATTCTGATGTATGAACTATATTATTGTACAGTTTCATCAAAATCCAATCAGTGGTTTTTGTGTACTAAGCTGTATAAGTTACTATAGTTTTTTGACTATCCCATGGAAACTCTTTAATTTTCCGAGATGAAAAGTAGCTGATTTGTTTTTGTCATGTATGAACTATATTATTGTAAAGTTTCATTTAAATCCAATCAGTAGTTTTTGTGTACTAAGATGTATAAGTTGTTATAGTTTTTTAACTATCCCACGGGAACCCTTTAATTTTCCAGGATGAAAAGTATCTAAGATGTTGCCCGGGGATATAAGGTACCACCATGCAAAATTTCATTTAAATAGGTTCAATAGATCCGGAGATTAGCCCGTACAAAGAGAAAAACAGATAAACAGCTCGCTCGGGTTCGTCCATACATACGAATATGTTGTATTATCTCTTTAACCATTTGTCCAAATTATATGCAGTAAAAGGGAAAAGTCTTTTATTTTAAACATTTTAGACGATAAATTTACTTATTTTGATAAGAATTCATAATTGTTGATAATATGACCAATAAACATGACCTACCGATTTAAATGATTTTTTTAATATAAAAAACTACTTTTTGTGACTTAAATATAAAAGTTAGACATATGCTGTCGCTGACTTTTTTGTAGGCATTATTAAGCTCTACAACTTTTCTCTAGAACATAATCATATATCTCTCATCGTTAAGGCAGCGTTCGTAAGAAACGTTTTCGTTCGACCGTTTTTTCTCCGACTTACTTTGCAAATACGACTACCACAAAAAAGCCTTTTCATTTTTCGGGTTAAAATATAGCCTATGACACTCGGAAAGAACGTCGCTTTCTATTGGTAAAAGAATTTTGAAAATCGGTTCAGTAGATCCAGAGATTACCCCCTACAACGTCACAAACTCACAAACTCACAAACTCACAAGATCACAAACTTTACCTCTTTATAATATTAGTATAGAAAAACAGTTATCAAACATTAGAAAATTTATGTGTTTGTTACGTTAATAATGGAAAAAATATGTTCTATTTAATCTTACTAAATTTAATTCAATACATGTTATATAATTAAAGCTCACTAATATTATAAATGGGAAAGTTTAGATGTTTGGTACTCATTCACGCCAGAACTGCTAAACAGATCTGGATGAAATTTGACACAGAGATAGATTATAGTCTGGAGTAGTACATAGGCTAATTTTTATCCCGGAAAAAAGTACGGTTTCCGTGGGATAGGTTTGTTGTAGTTTTTCTAGAGACAAACCCGGGCGAAGCGAGGCGAAGCGAGCTAGTATCTATACATAAAAATATCTAAGCATCTATATATAAAAAACTTTAAAAAGCCGACTTTCAAGCACTAAAAAGTAAAAAATAGCTAAACAGGGGTTTTCATTTTGAATAAATAACTAATCAGATATTTTTGAAGTCGGTGCCAGCCGCTGTAAAATACATCACAAATTATGCATAAAATGTATAAAGTTTCGATAAAGTTTAATCTTTTTTAAGTATTTTTTTTGAGAAATGCAAAAAAATTATTTATAAATGATATCAATTTTTCGAAAAAGCATTTTCGATAACGCGAAGAATTTTTTTTTCGCCCCCTGAATTTTGCCGCCCTGGGCACTAGCCCCGAGTGCCCCTAGTGTAAATCCAGCGCCGTATATTCTATTAATTATCTTTAACCATTGTTGGCTGGCACCATAGAGTATATTGCTACATATATAAAGCTGGCACCAACTTCGAAAGTATCTGATTAGGTATCTAATTAAATTTAATTTCAATCTTTTTAAATGGATGTTTTTGTAGGTACAAAAAACAGCAATTTTGAAATCCAGGAAACTCACGGCAGCGTTACATAAAAAAAATAAAAGTAATTTAATTTCTGAGAAGCAAAAGTAAATATGTATTAGACTGCGGAGGAAAACATACATGTTATACATTTTTATATTCAAAATTTGCTATTTTAATATTGTTGAAATTACTGCTGTCTTATTAATTAGTATCAAACGCCATAAAAGAATTTTAACCCCATAAAAATTACCTCATTCTGGTAATATGGAAAGATTGAGATATTTGTCAAAACGATTGTTACTTTTTGTGTTAAAATAATATTATATAATAGTAGGGGAGCCCACTATGCTAAATATGGATTTACTCGAGTGTGACCTATTGAGGATTTGAAAGATTGAATGATAGAAATAAAAAAAGGTCATATGAATTTATACCCTTTCACCGGTTGTCCCCCACCGATTATACGTTTACAAAAGTGTTAAAAAAACACCCAAAACGAAATATTCTAGCGCGTCAGGTATTGTTATTATATACGCCCCACGTGTATCCAATAATGGAGGTATGTTAATCTTCCCGTTTGCATGATGGGGGTGACTGTATGGAAGGATAGAAAATGGAGAGAAAAATACTCGAGCGCGTCAGTTATTTAGAGGGAGTGTTAAGTGAACCCGAAAAAAGCTCGGCGCATTTTTGAAGATGCAAAAAAAAACGCTATTTTGAAATACTCGAGCGCGTCAGATTATGATATAGATAGTTTGCTTGATGTATCATGTTAGTTGGTTCCGGCAGTAATAATATTAGGAACCAGTAGAGTGTAATAATACATGAAGTATTTACTGACTTTATCGCTTTAAGACATTTCGAACTTTTATTGATGAATTCCTTTATTGGTCTGTGAATATAGACGTCCTCCTTAGTCTGTAGTATATGGGGATTGTCAGATTATTGTCAGAAACTTAATGGTTACATTCTCTTTATGGAGGGTTTAACTGCCTCGGTGATGTAGTGGCTAGCATGTACAGCTGCACACCCGGAGGTCCTGGGTTCGTGTCTCGGGTCGGGCCAAGTTTAGTTTTTGAGTTTTTCTGTATAGTAAGCCTCAGTAACAGCCCGGAGTTGGGAACTTGACGGTGTTTCACCCCCGTGCCTCGGAGAGCACGTAAAGCCGTCGGTACTGCGCCTTTACTGTCACTGGTCGTGTCGAGCAGTCGTCCCACCGGAGTATAAGAGTGACAGGAATAGAGAGTGCACGTTGTGTCCGCGCGTACACTTGTACACTAAATTATCTCCTGCGCAGTTGGCTAGTCTCAATAAGATTGGCTTCCGTGGCCGTGACCGTTTTGTATGGGGGATTAGTTGAAAAAGTGTCCACTTGTAAACAGCAAATTATTGTTCAAACACCCACCGACATAGCGCTAATGTAGAAAATAGAAATGATATGAATTTAGCAGTTATAAAAAGAGTGAAGTGTGCTGGGTTGAAAATTTGCTTGTTACATATTTTTTTTAATTTCGGTTATTATTTAATACTATTTTCTATTTGCTATTTACTAATAATTGGGTTACTTAAAATACTGCATAATTTTATTCCATAATCATGTTTGTCTGTATATTATAATAATTTAAAAAAATGCGCTGTAACAAAGCGGAAATTTTTCTTTCCTTTTTTTAATTTAGTAGCCTATTGAAATAATTTGTGGCGTTGACTTTTTAAATACTTCCACTGGCTACTATAGCGCCACCTTAATTTGCTCCTTTTCAACGCACACTTTTTAATACACTGAGATGGTCCTCCTTCCTTCTACCCTACATAATTCTCTTCTTTGATTGTCAGTGTCAACTTATGCCTTATGCTTAAGTGTCACTGTCAACTGACAAGTTTATACTTTTTAACCAACCGGGGGAATGAGTTATTAACTATAATCGTTATTCGTTAAATATATAAAAGACTGTGATACTTAATAATGCGAAACAGTATTATTATTTAAAAATAAAATGTCTTTAGAACAAACAGCTTGCGATGGTAAGTGGTAGCACACCATTACTATTTTTCACTAAGAAACTGTACCAAATATAATCACTGATAACAATAAAACGAAAATCACTATAGTAGACTACTTGCAAATATACATAGTATAACATAGTGAAACTCACCATTATATTAAAGATTAACAACAACATACTATTTTAATGCTTCTTATATGTATCCTGCCATTGTAATATGAAATCTATTGCAAATGCTGAATATCGACTTTTATTATCATAAATATTGTATTATAACAGGTTTTAAATGAATTATATTTCTGCCTTTTGTATTATTATTACATAAATGGACAGTGCAACAAGTACTAAAATGTCTAATTTCTAATGTTGCAAGCGGTTCTTACAGACTTGAAGGCTTTTGAAAGGCGATTGACAGAAGTTATAGCATGTCTTCAACCTGCTACCATGAGATGGAGAAGTAAGTTACATAAAATCTGTAATTGAAAATTTACAATACATTATCAATGCCAAAGAAAAATTTCCCTGTCTTTTTTCTCAATAAACCTGAGAAGGAATAAAAGGTAGTTTTGATTAGATTGATCATTATATATTTTAGATTTGTGATGTATAAATATTAATGAACTTTAATTGCCGACAAACATTTGTGGACTTATTAGACAATTGTGTTTCTCTTTTTTACAGTTTTGTTAGCAGTGGTGTCTGTATGTACTGCAATTGCAGCTTGGCACTGGCTCACTGATCCACTTACACCAGTGGTTTCTCTCACACAGTCACTATGGAATCATCCTTTCTTTGCTTTTACATCTACATTCTTAGGTAATTTTATATTATGCAAATGAATTTTATTAATTACATTGGCTAAAATTGTATTAATACTTTATTGTAGAAACTGAATATAATAGAAGAAATAAGAAATTCTTGAAAAATATTATTATACTCTTGTTACCCCTACTTCGGTCTCACTTGCATACTAAAGTTGTCTTTATCATTATCTATACATAAAAAAAATTCTAACTGAGTCGAATGTGTAGGTACATTAAATATTTTTTGAAAAATCTTATTGAAATAGTATTATCGATACAGAGGCCAAATCTATAGTTTTTAGAATTTTTGTCTGTCTGTTATCGCATCACAGAAAAACTACTATAGGGATTTTGATGAAATTTGGTATAGTCATAGCTGGTTATCCGGGTCAACATATAGGATACTTTTTACCGCGGGAAAATATTTGGTTTTTGAGAAAAAATACAAAAACTGCAATGTAAGAGTATACTAATATGTAAAACCTAAGAATTTGTTTTTTTGTCATCTGAACGCGGGCGGAGCCGCGGGCAATGCTAGTATAATATATAGTCATAAAGTGATCTGCAACTATATAAGAGATTTTCTTTTTGGTTTTCAGTATTACTGTTTATGATGGGTGTGCACAGAAAAGTAATAGCCCCAAGTATTATCACTGCAAGGACTCGCTCAGTGCTCAATGATTTCAACATGTCCTGTGATGAAAGTGGAAAGCTTATTTTAAAACCCAGACCAGCTAACACATAGTTTTAATAATTGTAAATATAAATTAAGAATGTTAATTTTTATTTGTGTTAATAAGATATAAATAAAAGAATATAAGAGAGACTATTTGTTTATTATTTATAACTTTGGTGTGTTTATTATATATAATAAATAAATGACAACTAAGAAAATAGGGTTATCATACATCTTAAACAATTATTAGTTAAACACAATTGACTTAAACCATTCAATAAACAACAGTTAGACTACAATATGCGATATACTTTATCTAGAATATATTCTGCTAAGATTTAATAAAGGAATTCAAATTTTAACAAATCACAATATAAAGTAAGTATGCTAATTGAAATAACTATAAAATTGTTAGCTAAAAGTAGAATATTAATTCATAGTAAATGTATTTCAAACAGATTGTATAGTAGGGTGGCGCAAAAAACTGAATTTTTTGTGTCTTGTATGAAAATATATTAGTTTTTCATATTTTATGTCTTATTTAAAGATCAGCTCGAAAAAATAAAACTGTAGAAGTCACTCAAGATTTTTAAAAATTCAAAAAGTGATCAAAAATTTTTATTTTTTTCTCGCTGTGGTTAAATTTAGTACCTAAAAAATGATAACTTCCTCAAAGTTACAGCTTAAAATATTGATTTTTAAAAGTTAAAGGTCACTCAGAATTTATAAATATGTTTAACTTCATTGCCTTTGATGTTTGCTAGCGAATATTAAAAATATTTTTTTTCGAGCTGATCTTTAAATATATTTTCTTTCATACGAAACACGAAAAAAATCGTTTTTTGTGCGCCACCCTATTGTAAAGTATAATTTTGTATAGATCAATATATTAATTAGATGCGAAATAGACGTCCATAGACACGAGGAACTCTCAGTAATTCAATAAACTACATTCAACAAGTATAAAATCCATTTATATTTAGCACAGCAAATTTTGCTATCATTATTTTTTTCTTTGAATACCAGTTTAATCTGATTCTTAATACTATTTTCACATCTAATCTATATTATTGGAAATAACTGAATTACAATAAAAAAATTTATAAATCTGAAATATTGTATTATAAATGACATAATATCAAACATTTTATTAATAATTAAGATTAACACTATGAATTATTGTTTTTGCCATGTAATTTAAAATATAAAATTTTTAAGTATTACCGACATGAAATAAAAATGATATTATATAATCTGAATGAATCGGGGCAGTGGAAATTACAAGTTTTTAGGTGTTCAATTCCATATAAATGCAATGTGTGTACATAATTATAATAATATTAATTAAATAAAGATCCACACATATCTCAACAATACTAACTATATATAAATAACAATATTGTGCTAACTGTGCGAGAATTATAAGTGTTAACTAATCATCTAAATTTAAGGATATTTAATACTCAATATGTTCTAATCTACTTTTATACTTGTGCTGTCGTATAGTCGTACTAAATTAAATTCGAATTTTAAACTATTGGGACTGGGAATTATTTAAGACACATTGGCTCCTAGGTTGCCATGTTTTATGTGCCTGTAAAACTACTAAACTACTAATCATAAAAGAAACTTTACCAATCAGAAAATGAACCTGCGACCTGCTTTTAGGCAAAAACTCCGACTATTCTTCAATTTTATTGTTGACATTAGAACTTATGTGTTGCCTACGTAACTACAGCAAAATGTGCTAAGTCAATAAATAAACACAACTTGTAGCTAAACATATTGATTAATTACATATATTATTATAAAACTTTAAATTATGTCGTAGTCGTTATATGAATCCAATTTCGTATTAAAGCTTTTACCTAAGTTTTATCAAACAAAATTAATATATTTGTAAATTATCAAACATTTTAATTATTTAATAGTAATTTGTGCAATGTTAATTAGGAATAGCGCAAAGGAAGACATAGTTAAAGAAAGTATTTCTCATTAGTTTTCGGCAACTGTAATTGTAGACCAAACAGAATGTGTTGTTTTGTATCTTTAAAAAAAAACAATATTTATAATCTGTAACTGTTAATATTTTTGTATTACATTTAAGTAGTGTACGATTTCTTTAATATCAATTGTTGTAGATATTCAGAGAAAACACGTCCCCAAAATATAAAGAAAACTTGGACTTGTTGGTGAACTGGTCGCGCGACATATGTATTACAAATATCCATTTTAAAAGTAATTTACCGGCGAATCCAAAAAAACTTATCTGTCTGTGATTTTTCCTACTAGAGTTTGAAATTTGATATTAACTCCATACAAACTATGTCAAATTCCTACCCTTAGTAAGAAATATTAAAAGAGAGTTTATTGGCGTTTTCCAAAAGAGGTTGTTTTTTTATTACGTCGCAGTTTATTATAGAGACGAAATGTGGAGAAGTTGGCAACATTTCTCTTAAATATCTACATTATTCTTATAATTTATGTCAATTTATAATATTGTAAAACATATATAAAATTCCTATTAATATTATTTTGATACATAACATCAAGGCAGTGGTACATGGTACATGCATAATTTTATTATTTAACAATATTTTTTCATTAAATAGCCTCAGACACGAAGTTGACTTATTTTTTAAGATATTACATAATATTAGTTATGGTAAAGATGTAGCCTGCCAACTGTTTGGTATTAATTTTGTATTCAGTCTTTGCGTTTTAACAAGACTTTCCTTACTAATTTTTGGTCTAAACCAGATAAATGCATTGTCTATTTAAATATATTAATAGCATTACTCCGAGGCTTACTCACTAATATATTTTCAAATTACAAAACTTTATTTAGAAAAACTTCACTGGGCGTAATATTGCACAATTTGTTGTGGTAACCGATTAACTACAATTTGAAGGCAGTTTTCGTTATATTAATGTAATACTTTGTTTTTTAAAACTCTACAGCCTCTTATCTTTCTAAGGATTAAAATCTAGCTTAAAAGTGACTTCGATAAATTCTGTTGATTGTTGTGACTAGTGTTGCCAGGTCCGTGATAAAGGAGAATTATGAAAAATTAAAAAGAAATATAATTAAAAAGATAAAAATTCTGAATATTCTTCGTAGAACTTCGCTATTTTATCACCTGGCAACATTAGTTGTGACATACATATCTACACCTACGAACCTTGCACTCGTGTGGGGGTAAGGGAAAGATTTCTCAAAAATAATTGGTTTGCAGTTTGCTTTATAAGCATTATCTAAGAGGATTTATCTAATAGTGCGACTATTTACCACGTACATTAACATATGTATCACTTTTTATTTAGTATATTATAGAGTACAGTTAAAAAATTCTGAAATTTATATACCGCTTTCACCATTTTGAGGTAATCTATGTACATCACACATGTGTATTGATATATTTTTGAGCCTTAACAATACAAGGAAATTATAGGTATAACATGTATGAATAGAATATCTCTTAGTTATATATCGACACTTGGAAAGAACAATATTGTAACTTAGTAATGAAATAATTTAAAAATAGAAATATTTTTTCTATACATTTAAAGTCCAAATTTAAAAATTATGACAATACCGAGTTACAATGTTTTACCTTGCAGGTGTCGACACGAAAATTATTACTTTAACTAGAACATTTAATATCTACCTATTATACTTAACTACCTCTAATAATTGTAACTTGATTTCAATTAAAAAATTAGAACAATAATTAAGCTACATTATTTTAAAGTTTGTTTTCAAATAATATTTAAATTATTTCTTAGAATTAAATTAATCTTCAACGTTATATGGTAATAAAAATAGTTCGTAAAATATTTTTGCTGTATTATATTTGCTAATATTATTTTCAATACAATTCTTAATCTCCTTTATGCCCAAATAACCAATGAGTTAATGTACTTATTATATTTAGATTATAAAGTGCACACATAAAATAAAAATATAACAGATTATAAAGTGACCTCTTATTGAAACAATGTTCCTATCATCAGTTTTTCAAAGTGAAAGCGATTTTAATTTTTAAATACATTTTTAGATCCGATGTTATTATTACAAACAACAAGTTATTTATTAAGTAGCATGTGGTTATAAAAAATTAGGGGCAATATGTAGAGAGAGGTGTTGACAAAAAATATAGTTTATCTATTGACAATTTTATATATTTTTTTTAATAATTTTGGCTTTGGTTAATGTTAGCAAATATAATGATAGCATCTGAAAGAAAAACTTCCCATTTTCTGTATAAAGTTAATTTTTACGCGATAAAGATTTAAACAAACCTAAAAACGCACTTATTTATGGACAAACGGACAACAATGACGAAGATCAAGTTACAACCAATATATATAATATAATGAAAGAGCAAAGTAAATGCCGACGAGAAATCCCCATTATTTTATTGTCACATCATTCCCCACAGCAACATGCAAGGCTTGAGTGGTGTCCTCACGCGGCCAGCAACGCCCTTATATTCTTCGGAGTGGATTGACTGTTTAAATGTTTTGTAGTGTACCTGAGCGCGTTTAGAAGAGGTTCAGCTTTTTGTGGGGGTTGTTGTTGTAGGAATTTCACGCACCCTTTCACATCGACTGAGGAAGAACGACAAAAAGCTCCGGAAGGGTGGACCCAATCGTATAGAATGATTAGACCTACCATGACTCGAAGGACCAATAAAGAGGTCTCCTCACGGCTAAATTGCGCGACCAGCTTCCTGAAAGCAAAATGAACACAATATAAGTTGGACATTTTGGAATAATTTTATTTCCGATTATGTTGTTAAGCTACAATAAAAAAAACTAAGTTTTGTGTACCACGTCTTAAGATGCATGTTTGATTCGCAATTAATATTTGTTATAATCAACCGACTTCAAAAAGGAGGAGGTTCTCAATTCGACTGTATGTTTTTTTTTATGTTTGTTACCTCAGAACTCCGTCATTTATTAACCGATTTGAACAATTTTTGTGTTGTTTGAAAGTGTATACTTCCAGATTGGTCCCATTTGAATTTCAAAAAAAAAATACCACCCCTAAGGGTGGAAAAATAGCTAATCATGAATTTAACCTACTTCTAATTGACATATTGTCTTGAAACTTTGCAAGTGTTTCTATTTCCGTTGATAGTACAGTGGTTCGGTATTATTGACCTGATCTGATGGTAAGGCCAGAAGGTGGATAGGTGGAACTCTTCAACGGCTAATAGTAGATACTTTGAGTTTGGGCTTGTTTTGTTTGATTTGACAAGCCTAATACGTTAGAATTCTTACTTTGCTACCACTGTCTACACTAAAAAGGGAAAAATAACAACTTTTTAACAAAAAAATAAAAACCGACTTCAAACAAAAGCACTAAAAAGTAAAAAATAACGGATTGGTAGTTTTCATTTACTATACATACCTAATCAAATATATTCGAAGTCGGTGTGCTTTGGCTAAGTAATTAAAGCCTACCTATTAAATACATACCTAATCAAATATTTTCGAAATCGGTGCCAGGCCATATAAAGCAAAGAACACCGACTTCGAATATATTTGATTAGGTATGTATAGTAAATGAAAACTACCAATCAGTTATTTTTTACTTTTTAGTGCTTTTGTTTGAAGTCGGTTTTTATTTTTTTGGTAAAAAGTTGTTATTTTAAATATGTTTATACCAGTGACTAGAAAAGAAAATGCGTAGTTCAAAATGACTGGACATCATATTATTGTGCTAACTCTGTTTGCCCAATAAAGTATAATTAAAATATACAATATGTCAATATCAGCACCAAAACCAACTAATATTTATTTATAATTTTCTAACCTAAGCTTAAATTTAAAACTATTTTTAAACAAAAATATAAAAAACATGTATCTAAAGCTTAAAGGCATGTTAATTAAGACACCAAACGAAACCGTAAAAGTATTTTGTTCAAAAATACACAAAATATGCATAAACATGGCTGCTATGAACATCAAAGACGTAGCATGTATTCCGTGGACGGTCTCTAGCGACCCGAATCGCTGGTCCATAGTTTTATTGTGCCGTAAATCCCAATAGGCAATAGATGTTTATACAACGTGAACCCAACGCTACTCTATTTATTTATTCAAGCAGGTAACTAGGTTTGTTATAATTAGGCCAGGAAGATGTGAAATTTCAGTAAATATGGAATATTGGGTTATTAGTGGTTACCCTAGTAAGTGCCAAAATTCCGTAAACTGGTTTACATATTACTTGATGTTTGAATAGGAAATGATTGACCATTTTTTAATTAAATAACAACTATTTTAAATTTGGGTATTTTCTCATCACTATAAAATATTAATTATAAACAAATTATAATTATACTTGTATTATTTTAAAATAAAATAGTATGTAAGCAATATATTACTTCTCATTTTATACAAAAGTAAATGTACAAAGCTATAAAACAACATTTAGTATCGATTAAGGAAAAACATTTCGAAAATTGTATTTTAGTCGTTTATTATTACGAGTATTAGTATTAGTTGACCCTAATAACAAAAACAAAATGTTATGTTGTGTGGTAAACTGTGATTTTCACAAACAATTAAAAAAAATATGTTAAAACAATTTAAGAAACAAAGTGTTAAAAACAATTTTAAATACAATTAAAAAAATCTGTATGATCAGAATTAATTGAAATTGAGTATAAAATTCTTCAACGCAATTTAATAATGCGTTAATTAAAAAAAAATAGCCTCTAAGGGGTAAAAAGCGATGGTAAGAAAATCTGCCATTTTTGTTGTTATGGTTAGGTTAGATATGGGACCCCCCCAACGTGCGTTCACCTTGTCATGGTGGGCCTCAGTAGTGCCCTGCAATCCAGCCGGGCGCGAAGCTAAGAAACACACAGGGAGGCAGCCCACCTCGGTGGGCGGTGTGCTGTGGGGGCAGCCTCTGGTACTTCTCTGATAACAGAATGGACTGTGGAGCAACCCCATGGTTGTTGTGGTCTGCTTCGGCAGACCTGTCGTCAGGGCGTCGTAGTTGAGTGCGTGATTGGTCCTGCGACGCGCCATTAAGACGGGGGAGGTTCCGTTGGGTCTTAGTGGGTAGTACTGGCTTTGCCCGTGAGTCACTTCGTGCCTAAATACATTTCCCAACGTTTAAAAATATAGATATGGGATCTCTTCCTCCCAATGTGCGTTGCGTGCGTTGCGCGTGGAGCAACCCTATGATAAATCAAAACACACTTTTGGTGGTACGTACGGTCGGTATCTACGTTCGGCGCAAGTACAAAAATTTACAAACATTTTCATTCGATTATCGAATTTGGAAACTGAAGGCTGTTTCTTGGTTGTCAAAACGCACTAACGTTGGCGGAGTCGCGGGTTGACACTAGTTTATATATTCACGTAACACATCACACATATATGTAATGAAAAATAATAAGTACGTAATGAAAAAATTACGATGAAAATGATATATCACCCGTCACTGTGTAACAAAATTTCATATTTTTATGAAAATTGATTACAGCATGTGTCATCAATCGGCTATTAGAATCCTGACAATATTGTTATCATTCAAGGCACATGGTGCCATTGTCACTTTCAATGGCGCGGTCGATAGGGTATAGGTATTTGGTTGAACGGGTTAAGTGAATGATTGCTTTCAAGCAATTATCAGCCGTAAACGGTAGAATTAAACTAGATATTCCCGTGCACATATGCACGGATGAAGCTCGCATATCTACCAAATCATTTGATAAGGAAGTTCGTACGTCAGAGGATGACCGGCGTGTAACACCTTACATTTACTCGTATACATATCATCGGTCAATAGATTTACAACGTTTCCTATCCAGTTTTGGCAGTATGTATTAATGTCAAGTCGTTAATTTATGAATTAATGTCAATTTCGCGGACATCCGCTAGGACAAAGATGGCGACGGTAATTTTAGGAGTGATATCGTTATCAGAAACAGTTTGTATGCTATCATTGATAAGAGCTGTAAGTGTGTTTGCATGCAAATGATGTCTTCAAGACAATTTTATTTGCAAATTGCTTTATTATTTAGGGAGCGCAGCAACACGTTTACTTAGTAGCGACTTTTAAACTGCGATGTGTTCCAGCATAAGTTCAACTAGTATTGTTTTTGTTAGAAGAAAGCAAGCACGATGCGGGATTAACTCAAAAATATGGAAGTGACACTGCGTTTTTGTCTTACTCTTTAAGTTATTAAATTAAATACCTATTAAATATGATGTAGATATCTTACCTTCTTATTTGCTAAAAATATTTTGAAGATAATTTTACTAACCATTTCTTACTAAGAAACTTATAATTTTATAAAATTATTATTACTAGCGACTCAGCCTGGCTTCGCTCGGGTTCGTCTCTACGTGATTATTTAAATTGACATAACTTTTTTATTTATGAACCGATTGAAATAAAACATATACTAAATGTTAAGTAACGCTTACCACAATACGATAGTGAAAACCGCATCCAAATTGGTTAGGCCGTTTCCGAAATTGGCGCGCACGAACACACAGACAAAAATTCTAAAAACTAAAAATCATTGTTTTGGATTTTATTGCATTAATAAATACCTCTAATAATGGTTTTTCTCAAATATCTTCTATTTACAGACAGCGATCTGTTACAATTTTATTATTTGTATAGATTATATACTAAGAAGTCATTTTAGAATGTTTATAGCAAAATGACCAATTGAAACTTATCTTGCATGCCTACATCTATACATATAATAAAATTGTAACTAAGTCGAATCTGTACATTAAATATTTTTTGGAAAATCTAATTGAAATAGACATTATTATCGATACAGAGTCCGAATCTATAGTTTTTAGAATTTTTGTCTGTCTGTCTGTTACCGCATCACGAGAAAACCACTGGACCGATTTTGATGAAATTTGGTATGATGATAGCTGGTTATCCAGGTCAACATATAGGATACTTTTTACCGCGGGAAAATATCTCACTTCTGAGAAAAAATACAAAAAATGCATTGTATTATGTAAAACCTAAGAATTTAGTTTTTGGTCATCTGAACGCGGGCGGAGCCGCGGGCAATGCTAGTATATTATAAGACTATAGAAAAATATAATTATCACAAATAACACTGGTAATAAGGAAGTAGATAGACGTAAATCGAAAGGGGAGTCGTGTGAGTGACATTTGATTTATCATTATTTCATTAGCACTCGTTAGTATTGAATGACGAGTGACGACTCAACTCAACTCAAACGATAGTTATCGAGTGCTACAATAAATTCGCCCTTGTCGCAATCAGGATGAGTGTAATATACATGTGCATATTGGCTTTGTTTATCATATTTATAGAAAGTACTTATATGAAAGCTTAACATATATGTTCACTTTGTATGTAAGTCTTTTCATAAGCCTACCATTTTGTTAAAACTTCTAATCAGAATTCATTGTTTTAAATATAATTTCTAAATTAAAAAAAATGATTTAGCCGTTAACTATTTATTAGAATGACTTTCTCGTAAAAAATCTATATCTATACAATATATTTTTTTTAAATAATCAGATTCATCAGAACATCAGAGGTCTTCATTTAAACACCGGACTTTAGTCACTTTCAGCAGGATATGGGCGGACATAATTATCATTTATTTAATGTAAAATCCTGTACCATGGTATAGTTTTTTAATCTTAAATTATAGCTTACTTCTTTACTATTTGATGTAAACTAAATATTTATATTTAGATATAAATTTTTTAAACAATTTGACAAAATACTGCCACAAATACATTTTAAAGCTATAAAACTTCCATTTTAAGTCAGCTTTCAAATTAACTCTTTTTTTTAACGTTGGGAACTCACCGGCGTAATACAGCCAGTACTACCCACTAAAACCCAACAAAAACTTCCCCCGTCTTAATGGGGCGTCGCAAGATCGCTTACGCATTCAACTACGACGCCCCCCCGACGGCAGGTCTGCCGAAGCAGACTACCACAACCAAGGGGTTGCTCCAAGGTCCACTCTGCTATCAGAGAAGTACCAGGAACAACCCGCATGGTACACCGCCCCCCGAAGAGGGCCACCTCCCACCGCCCACCGAAGTGGGCAACCTCCCTGTGCGTTTCTTAGCTTCGCGCCCGGTTGGATTACCGGGCACTACTGAGCCCCCCCACCACGACAAGGTGAACGCACGTTGGGGGGGTTTCAAATTAACTCTTAGTTAAGTTAAATAAAAACTATTTATAGTTTTCATAGAAGTTTGTTGATTATAGTTAGGTTTCTTATACTTCGCAGTGTAGGTACCTCATATTTCATTGTGATATGGCGCTTGGGAGCACAATTACGAAGTAGAATATACTACAATACTATATATTATATGTTTGTACTATAATACCAACAGGTTGAGTTCAATGGACTGAAGTCATGATACAGTTACCGATTTAAAAGAGCATTAAATGTAAAAAAAGTACAATGTAATTACTAAATTGAAGGAACCTAATAATTATTAAAGCAAATTATTGTTTTTGTCTTAATAATTATATGCATCACTAAACTTGTGTTATGAAATTGAGACGGTATAAGAAGTCTAGGATAAATGCTAGTGCTAATGCTCTAGCTAGTACTTTATTACGTAAAAATAAAAAAGTCTATCCCTACGCGAAAATAACGTTAATCCGTGAAATATGAACACACCAATAAATACCAATCCGTATCCTAAATCAAACTATCCTTTCGGTTTTTTTTGCGGTTTTAGATTTTTTTTAAATCCGAAAAAATAATTATTTAAAATGTCAAATATTCGCGTAAAATTAAAGAAAGTATTAATTCGTATCCTACTAATATTATAAACGCGAAAGTTTGTGTGGATGTATGGATGTAACATACATGATGTATGTTACATCCACACTTTCAAGCAAAATATGATTTGATAACTTTTGGAAGACTGTATCAAAACTGTGAACAAAATGTACTATGTTCCTCTAAAGGCAGATAAAAGTGAACACGCACACACAAAAAGCAGAAAAATATTGATTCAAAAACATTACTAAATATTTGATTTGAAATAATTATGATAAAAAATATAGCAGCGATGTTAAAAATAAAAAATATTTCAAAATGATAAGATAGCTATGATAGGCATGTTCCAGATTCAGTAGTAGAACCATAACATCAAATTTAAATATTTACGTGTCTGTAAACACGTGTTTTTTATTTCGATGTCCTCAAATTCCTTACAATGCTGTTCCATAAGAATTATTCCCACAATTATAATTATTATACTACCCGCAAACTTTGACAAGTGTCGTAAAATCACAGGCTAAAGTTAGCATTGAAAAGTAGTACTTACGGATTTTCCAACATCCTCAAACACACTTTGGCCATCGTGCTGAGTGTTTCTGTAGTATTCTCCAAATCTTGTTGATTGTCGTTGACAAATTGACTTGTCGCTTCTGATAGAACTTTTAACATTGAAGTTGCTTGTGCGTAGAAGAGTGACATCCGGTTGGCAACTTCTGCTCCTATGTGAGGTTCTTCTCCGGGTGGCAGTTCCGCGTTAATAAGCCCACTTCGAGATACAATTCTTCTGTAATAGCTGAAGTCGTTTTGTATCGCAGGTGTTTTCATCTGGACAAAGATATTTTGTTGCATTAGCTATCTATACTAATATTATAAATGTGAAAGTTTGTGAGTATGATGTATGTTTGTTACTCTTTCAAGCCAGAACGGCTGAACGGATCTGGATGTTTGGCACAGAGATAGATTATACTCTGGAATAACACATAGGCTACTTTTCATCCGGGAAAAATGTACGATTACCGTGGGATAGGTTTGTTTTTGTCTTCTCAGTTTCTGCGTCAGTTTATTATAAAAAGCAAAGATTATTGCAGATGTTTATGTTTACGCAAAAATAAATGTAGGTACGTCGTTAGAAAAATCTATAATGTATATATTAGTATATTGGAATATACATTAGTATATTGGAATATACATTAGTATATTGGAAGCCGCGAGGGGTGTGAGGAAAAGTTCCGTAAATTAAGAAATTTTAAAGTAATTGTAAAGTCTTATCATGATATTCATAAATGTTTCGTGTAAAATATAAATAAAATCCAATTTGTAATTTTTTCGCAACCGTAAGCTCAGTGCTTATCGTTCATCAAAGATGACGTAAACAAATACCAAATATTCGTTTATTATATTTAAATCATTTAATTATATATTTTAAAATTATAAATAGAATATGTATGTATCTTTCATAACGAGGCTATAAAAATTAGTTTATTTTAATCGTCTAATTAAACCTAATTAGACCCACAAAAACAGCTAAATCTATCTAAGGTACAAAACCCTTAAAATATGATAAAATGATTAAGTAAAATTTAATATTACGGTATTACAAAATAATGACACAAATATGAAGCAGTATGAGTAACTAAATAAGATTTTGCATAACATAACGAAATTATAAGATCATAACTTTCACGGATTATAACAATCATATTATGTTAAAAGCTAATTATGATGAAGATAATAATAATATTAATATTTAAAACGTTTAAGAAAGTGACATACAGGTCGTTAAATTAAAAAAAAGTTACAAACATTTAACATATATTTTCATATATTTTTTTATTCATTAACTAGCATTGCTCGTGGCTCCGACAGACAGACAGACAGACAAAAATTCGAAAAACTATAGATTCGGAATCTGTATCGATAATAATGTCTATTTCAATTTGATTTTCCAAAAAATATTTAATGTACAGATTCGACTTAGTTACAATTTTATTATATGTATAGATAAACAAACGCATTACATCTACATGTTCGAATTATTTCTATTAAAAATGAGCCAACTGTAAATCACTAACCATTTATCTTACATATTAACGTCAATAACCCAATAACCTCCAATTTAGAATACCCGGTTAAAATTGTATCATGTAAATATTCTTTCTTTGCCCACTTAACTGAAGTAAATAAACAAAGCTTCAGAATGAGTCAGCTCACTGTGCCGAGGTCAGACGGGCTTTCTATTACAATGTTCAATTTGTCGAATTCGCTACCTTAGCCGTCTGATGGATGACTAACGACAACTAATGAGTAATTATAAACAATAGACGGACAACTTTGTATTGTACCTACGATTATGAAACGTGACCGTTTAAAAATATTATAGGATAATTATATAATAACGAGAATATATAGCTCTATCCAGCGCTTAGTAGTAAAAGGAAGAGTAGAGAACACCGGGGTGTGTGACCACCCATGAGGTGGATGGATAAGATCAGATCGGCAGTAGATCCCTTACCATGGATGACCGAGAAAGCCAACCACTTTGCTAGTAGAAGTGGAGACCGATAGCCAAGCAGGTTATCATATCATGTTAATGAAAGAATATCATGTCAAAATATTCTAAAAAAATAACAATGCCTTAAAAACAACTCTTAAATATTTAAAATTTGCTTTATACCATGACATAGAAAGCTGTTTTTTGTTGGTGTTTGTATGCTGAATCGATTTTGTCTACGCCAGAATAGTTTTCTTAAAAAATCCAATGGTATCTAAAACCGTTTTGCTGTTCTAATACGGTTTTTGATTTCACCATACTGTCCTAGTTAAAAGCACACGTGTCGTATATCCAGTTGCTAAGATAAGTGCACTTCAAATTCGTTCACGTTTTCAGTGAAATATATTTAAATGTAGTTTAAATAACTTGAATATCTTATTTATTCAAAAGGGAGATCATGACCATCTTACTTTTTATTTATACATTTTCTTTATACTTTTTATACGTAATAATATCTCTAAACAATTTATATGGCGTGGATAATTGTACTGTGTTATCCAATAAACGTACATACATATATATTTGCGTGAGTAGGTAATTCATATCGGTGGCAACGACACTGCAAGGTTGGGGTCAAAATGGCCCTCGATTGTCTGAGTAACAAGCACTTATTCAATTCTAGCCAAGGGTCACGTCAGGCATTGCTTTGTTTACATAATAATGGCTGCATGATTTGACGATACTTTGTTGAAGTTTTTCTTATTTGTTTTTGTTAAATTTGAGTACCTATGAATATTATGATGTTTTAATATATTGAGTTGTATTATATAGATGATGTATAGATTTGTATGTATAGATTATGTAGATTTAATATTATAAAGAGGCAGAGTTTGTTTGTTTGAACGCGCTAATCTCAGGAACTACTAATCCAATATGAAAACTTTTTTACATTAGATAACCCATTTATTGAGCAAGCAAGGCTTTAGGCTAAAAATATCATCATGCTACTACCCAAGTTCGGATAGACTTCTATACATTATTGTAAAACTATATATGTTTTATGTATGCATATTATATAAATACATACCGACCAACCCGAACGAAGTGAGGGAGAGTTGCTGTATTACATGCAAGCCAAAGAGTTTTTTTGTAGATTGAACGCGGGCAAAGCCGCGGGTTTTGCTAGTATGTTAAAATTTTTATTTTTTTTCAAAATTAAGCACTACTAGTTAGTAAACGAATTAAGATCAATATTTATTTAATCATCATAATATGTATAACTATATAACAGTGTATAAATTGCGTGTTCAATGCGATGGTTATTTTCCCATATAGTATAAATGTAAAAACATTATACTTTATCATTCCAATATAGCATTACGAAATTGGATAGACTGGGAGTGGTCATAGTAAAGGTCAAAAAGGAATTGATCCTGCTACTGATTTTATCGTATTGCCTGTTTGTTGCCTGTTGAAATTATATACGAATATATTGCAAATATTTATTATTTTTAATCAATCCCACGGGAACCGTACATTTTTCCGTGATATAAAATATTTTTTATAGTTATTTTGATGTATGAGCTATAATATTGTAAAATTTCATTAAAATCCATTCCGTAGTTTTTGCGTGAAAGCGTAAGAAACATACATACATCTATACATCCAGACATCCTCACCAACTTTCGCATTTATAATATTAATAGGATATTTTTTCACTGCGTTGGTTTCTGTTGAAATTATAACCATATAAGGTAATGTATCTTCTCACGGTGAAAATAACCTATTGATTAGTTTATTTATAACAAAGGGTAAAGGGGTTGTAAAAGATCATGATTATGCAATTTTGTAAAGCTAATCTTTTCTATATTTACTGCTAAATAAGTGTTCACAAGTGACCGGTGCTATAAAAACATCTAAATATTTATATTTAATTATATGTTTATCTGATTAATTAAAAAAAATTACGAAAATCCCAAATTTCTAATAGGCATTTATTAAACTAAGGATGCTTCAGATGTAGGCCTAGATTTTAGTATTTAAGGACCTGTGTGACTTTGGCCAAATGGGTCAGCTATTTAATAACAACGCGTCAGAGAAACTACAAATCATTTATTACTTTATCCAGTTATATACATTCATATATAAGTGTCCAATTTCCTAAACATATACGTAATTTGAAGAATATAAGAAATAAAAATATAAATACTTATTAAATTATAATATCCAGCTATAAATTACTTACTTTATGTTCGTCAAATTTTAAAACGAACTCCAATATTTCCGCAAATTGCTTCACTAGTGCTTGTTGCTGCTCCAAATGCTGTGTGGGACTCATAGATCCTCCGACAAGTGAGCCTAAGAGACGTGGTACCACCTGAAAAGGAAAAATAAATATTTAAAATCTTAAATTTATTGCACTACTAACGATTTATTCTCGCTCGAGTGCATCCCTAGGGATCTTTTTGCCATACATTTTATTGTTTTATTTCAAATTATTCAGACAGCGTTCGTCGATAAAGCAACTCAACTACCATTTGTCTTTTCGATATCTATTAAGACAATTGACAGTTAACACATTTATATAATAAACGTAATAAAACTAAAAAAAAACCCTAAAAAGGTAGCTACCTAAGTTTCATATAAACTTTCATCCTCTATTTTATCCCCTAATAGGATGAATTTCGAAAAATACTAAAACACGTATTTACTTATTTGTATTGAAGAGCATTAATACCAAGTTTCAAGTAATTTTGATTAGAAATAAATTTTTAGTTTGTATGATAACGTGTTTTACAGTGGGAATGAGATAATTTCCCGCGATAAAAAGTCATGTCACTCTCCAGGTCTCCAACAACACAAACAAACACACTTTCATATTTATAATATTAAGTATGGATAATAATAGCACTCGACGGTAATGTAGGTACTTTTGTATTAGTAAAAACTTTCTTAGAATAGATGTATGTATGTATTTCACATACAAACATCACGTCTTTATAATATTCGTGTAGATTAGTATAGTTGTTATATATAAGAGTCTATCGCATAATAATAGAGCAAAGTCAATTAATACTAATAAACTATCAAAGGGGTTAACGATTGTCATCAGGCGGTAATAGACACAGACAGTTTAACGAGCTCTACACAGAGAAGATGAAAATTTGAATATTCATACATGACATCCGTTCATCCAGATACTAGTTACTATCGACGTGAATAAACTTTTGTCTCTATAAATATTACAATGCATAGTGATGTTTACAATGCATACGTGTAATTATTCACGATGATAATATTATTATGTAGACAAGCCTTTATGGGATATATATATATATATATATATAGATTTATTCATTTACAAAATGAAAGTTAATCTGAACCTGCCAACTCAACGAGGCGACCTATTTACAATGTTTCTGTAGGAGTTTAATTCATATTTGAGACGGGTTAGCTAAATGGCACATTGTTCGAAGTGAGGTACTATTGCAACCAAGTATATACATGAGCTGTGACATGACGTGAGGCAGTTCAGTAATTTCTGGCGCCGGTTGTATAAACCTACGAACGGAAGCGACGTATAAATTAAAATACTAAGATGTTTTAAATAAACCATTTCAGAGAATTCTGTTCGCCAAATTGTTAAAAGGCGACATTGTAATGTACAAAATGAAACAAAACAATAGCAATATTTAATCTATGCATACAATAAAATTCACAAGAGTGGAATCTGTACATTAGATATTGTTTGAAAATTCTTATTGAAATAGTCGTTATTATCGATACAGAGACCGAATCTAGAGTTTTCAGATTTTTTTCCGTCTGCCTGTTTGAGAATGCATCACGAGAAAACGACTGGGCAAATTTTGATGAAATTTGGTATGATGATAGCTGGGTATCTGGTTTAACATATAGGATACTTTTTACTGCGGGAAAATATCTCATCTCTGAGAAATCTATAATAACTGTTAAAACGTTTCTAGGGACGAACCCGAGCGCAGCGAGGGTGCGATGCTGGTATAAAATATAAGCATTTATATTGTTACTGATTTGACATTGTCATGTACAAATTTTAAATAAAATTATATGTTGTCTTTTCGCTTATATCATTTTTTCCTAAAACTCTTATTCAGACTATTACGCACATTTTAGAAAAATAATTAATTAGTTAAATCGGTCCAGTCGGTCTCAAGTGATGCGTCATATCTATACTAGATACGAGACCATCGAGCATAAGTTTGTAATTAGAAGTCGGTTAAAAGTTACCTAACATCTGATTTAATATCAGAGACTTAAATGAACTTAATTTTATAATAAAGTCATTGTGTCGAAACCTAGTTAATATCCTTCTTACAACGCTTATCTGGTCGGTATCAAAGCTTTTCGAGAAAAAAATCTGACCTACATGATTAGCAGACCAGGCTACATTTATACTACAACACTACAGCAATTTTCTTACGGTACACGTACGACTTTTATTGAACATAGTAAAGAACTGAAACATTCATTTATTATGGATAATACTATTGTGATGATTGCTTTGGTTCCATTGCTGGTAGCGTACTAGCTAAACTAAACTTCAGGAAGTTGTATTCGCAACGCAGCATAAGTAAGTTTAAACAACTTGGGACACTAAAAGATTTCCTTTAGTTTACTGCCAAATCCACGTTCGCGAAATATTTTCATTATTGGGACTTGTTTTTATAAGAAACTTAAAAGTTTATTTATCTTTTAGATAAATATATTTTACTACATGGCTCCGCTTGTATGGTTGGTGGGACAAGTAGTCTATGTCCATGGTGGAATTCGCTTCAACTGTAACAGACAGACAGAGTTACTTCCACATTTATAATATTAAGATTGGGTTTCACAAATCTCTGTAGTTTAAATCATTTAACCAATGAAAAGCAACTAGGTTATGAGTTATGCAGATAAGCGTATCAAGAGTTATATAGGTCGTTATTGTCCCATTAATGTGAAATGTTATACGAATCAGAACAGATTGCATAATCTTTCCACAGGAAGTAGTTGTTGTTTAGTAGATTACGTTGCAACTGCATTGGGAGCGCTGGTAAGCAATTATTTCTATTAGGCCTCTTCCGTATCCTGACTCGGATTGTAATCGGAATATATGCAGGGATCGTGCAAAAAAAAATTTAGCCTCGGTTGTATTGGCCATAAACCAATACAAATTTTGTTTCAATATTGTGATCGATTTATATCACATTATTGTTATATATCCTACAAAAACGTGTTAGTAGAAAATTTAATTACTGAGACGGTTCAGAAATTACAAACATTTTGCTATTCCTTCCAAAAATTCTTAAGGCGTTTAATCCTTAGTTGGCAGTAGGCACTGATAATATTTTTAAAAGAATTAAGAAGTTGATTAAAAAGATTTTAATCTTGGTTGCACCAGACGTACCTCATTAAAAGCGTTAGTAGAAAACAAAAGAACCTCATAATCCATGTTCACGAAACGAATGCTCTAAAGGGAATATTACGTTTTGGTGTTAAGTTTTCTTTATGATTTACAAAGCAGCTGTTTCTTTGTAGTCCTTTAAGACTTGGGTGTTAGATCATAGAAATATTCCGAGAATATCACATATTTTCTCATACTGAGTAAAAAACACTTCTTGCATAAACAAAATAATATACAGCAAAGTGGTTGCATTAGAGATATTAATATTTTATACATAATAATAATATAATACCGACCGACATTGACATCTGTTCACTGTACCTGCGGTTTTCATGTTATTTATACGTACAATAGCTCCCGTAATTGTATGCTTTATATAAAATGTGGTGAATCACAAGAGATGAGTCACGTGGCAGTGGTCGTTTTCGAATTCGCATCCCGATGGCATCAGGGCTTGCAAATTAGTGAGATTCGCCATTTCATGACGCATTTAACGGATTTAAACACATTTAGGGACATATTTTTCAAAGGTATTCATTTCTCACTGTCATTACGTCGTAACTGAACGGATGAGTTTAGTACATATTTTTGTAAGTATGAGAGAATAGTCTAATTTTGTTTAATTATCTATACTAATATTATAAAGAGGTAAAGTTTGGAGTTTGTGACGTTGTAGGGGGTAATCTCTGGATCTACTCAACCGATTTAGACGAAATTTGGTAAGAAGATAGTTTGAGACCCTGGGAAGGACATAGAATACTTTTAATCGCGGAAATAGTCCCTTAAGGGGGCGAAAATGGGGATGAAAGTTTGTATTAGGAAGCAAGCTAGGGACAAACCCGAGGGAAGCGAGGGTGAGTCGCTAGTTATCTATAGATCCGTGACGCAAAGTAACTTTTATTGCTAACATATGCATCAAGTATTCGTGACGACATAGATTTTTTATTAGTCACTTTGTCCTAAACATTGTAAAGGACGAAGCGGGATTAGTTTCGAATGACGTAATATTCTGTAAATGGACCCAAGGCGCAGCGAACACGTGTTCAAAATAAAGTAAGGACATACCTACATATTAACAGATAGGCTTAGATGTTGGGATGAAATTGTTCGATATCGAATCACAGCTCGATATGGATAGATAAGATTAATTTAGAAAGGAATTTATGAAACAATGAATTATTTATTGATGAAATGAATTATTAACTAAATTCTGTTAGTGTAGATTATGATGACAAGTGGTAATTTCACATTCGTCTAGGTACATAATGTTAAATTATGATTTAGCAATGCGAAAGTAGGTCAAATTAGTAAACCAGACAAGATGGTTTGCTTGGAATTAAGATAAATAATATTAAATGATGTTTTCGCAATAATAAATTTACTACTGCATATGAATAACTAGCAGATACCGTAAGCATAGTTTTAACAAGCTTCATTCACTGCACTGTTTTTCTGGTTTAAAATCTATAATCTTTCGTACTTGTTAGTGTTAATGGAAATTGCGCATTCCTATGCAACTGCGGTGATAATCTATACACCTAATAAAACTGTACATTATATATTTTTTCTAAAATCTTATTGAAATAGATATTATTATCGATACAGAGGCCGAATCTTTAGTTTTTAGAATTTTTGTATGTTTTTCTGTCTATCTATCGGTGACCGCATCACGAAAAAACCACTGGACAGATTTTTATGAAATTTGGTATGATGATACTGGTTATTCGGGTCAACATAAAAAAAACTTTTACTGCGGGAAAATATCTCACCTGTGAGCTAAACGCTAAAACGTAATTAGGGACAAGACTACTACTAGGGAAGAGGACTAAGTCTAAGTGCAAATATATATGGTACCAACTACCATGGATCATGGAGTTAATTTGCTCTGAAAGGCAATGTTAGGTGTCCATAAAAATTTACTAGACAATTAGTTTAAAAATAATCGCTTTTATATG